ACAGACACACAAACACAGACAGAGAGACACAGACAGAGACACACAAACACAGACAGAGAGACAGACAGAGAGACAGACACACAAACACAGACAGACAAACACAGACACACAAACAGACAGAGACACAGACACACAAACACAGACACACAAACACAGACACACAAACATACAGACACATAAACACAGACACCCAAACACAGACACACAAACACAGACAGAGACACACAAACACAGACACACAAACACAGACAGAGAGACACAAACACAGACAGAGAGACACAGACACACAGACAGAGACACACAAACACAGACACACAAACACAGACAGAGACACACAAACACAGACACAAAAACACAGACAGAGAGACACAGACAGAGACACAGACACACAGAGACAGACACACAGACACAGACACACAAACACAGACACACAAACACAGACACTCAGAGATGTTCCTCTTTGTCTCTTTGCTGTGATGACTGAAGTCACAAAAACAAAGTTTTCTTCGTCACTTTTATGATTGAACCAAAGAAGTTAAAGAACCAAACTCTCCGATTTTCTTCTTCTCAATATTATTTGAACCATTTAGATTTTTCTCCTGATCAATATTCAATGATCAGATTGATCAGGTTCCTGTTTTGGCTCCAGCCTGGTTGAGGGAGGTGGGCTCAGTGTCCTGGGTGACTCTCTCTGAGCTCTTCTTGGTTGAGAGTATTTCTGGTTTGTCTCTGACTTCCATGAACTCAGATCTGGAGGATTGCTGGCTGGTCCGGTCCAGTTCTGACAGTAGAGACAACACAGTCTGTTATTCTGGGTTGAGTGTTCTTGTTGAAGATCAGTGTACAGTGAGGGATGAAGGCAGACAAAGATCCTCCTGTTTCCTCCATGTCACAGTTCAAGTTCATTTTGAAGACTTTGATTGATCAGAGCGCTGAAGAGGAACAGGAAACGAGGAGTAGAGAGTGAGGGAGGACTTACAGCAAAGGATCATGGGAGTCCAAGCAGCAACTGCTGCAACAAGGACTCCACCTTCTGAACAGCTGAACCTCTAATCCAAACCAGTGCTCCATCACATTTGATGTCTTGTCTGTTATTTTACATGGAGGGTCAGAGCAGACCAGATCATGAGCTCTGACAGACTGGATCTGGTCCAAAGGTCTCCTGTTGGAGTTCTCTAAGCTCCATATTTTAAACCTGAACACCTGAAGTTTGATTATTAATTATTTTTATCTTCATTCTCTTTCCTTTTTTCAGACTGTGGAGCTGCAGTTTGTCAGAGATCAGCTGTTCTTCTCTGGTCTCAGCTCTGAAGTCCAACCCCTCCCATCTGAGACATCTGGACCTGAGTGACAACAATCTGCAGGATTCAGGAGTGAAGCTGCTGTGTGACTTTCTGAAGAGTCCAAACTGTAAACTGGAGACTCTAGAGTGAGACTTTTTTCCTCCATTCAAACATGATCATGATTTGTTTGTGATGATGACACTAAACTGCTGACTCAGGACTGAAATACTGACCCAGACTGAACACCTTCAGTCCAGAGTAGATTTTCTGCATCAGTGGATTATTTGATTGACTCCAGTTCGATCACTGCTGAGCTCCAGTGAATTAAAACCTGAACCCAAGAAGAAAACTCTTTGTAGAGTTCACAGTGAGAAGAACATTCAGACAGAAAACAGAAGCAGGGGGAGATTTGTCAGACGAGAACCATTCAAACTTTAGTTCAGGACAAGATCAGGGAATAGAAAAAACTCAGAGTTTAGTTTCTGACACTGATGAAAGTCCAGCTCTGTTACTTTGAATTTTGTTTTTGAATCTTTGTGTGAAAATCTGAATTTTCTGGTTTATCTTCACTTTTCTGAAGCCTTGCTGTGTTTAGACTGAAATATTTACCTCTCAAAGACGTGATATTTTTGGTTCAGCAAAGTGAAAATATTCTGATCATCCTTTATTTCCCATCCGTCCTGAAGTCGCTGACATTTTCTGAAAATATTGAGCTGCATCTACAATCAGTAAAAAAGTCTCTGAGTTTTTTATTTCACTATTTAATGTGTTTTTGAATTCACTGTTTCAAACTGACTTCCTGTTTGGTTCAGCTCTTTGGAGCGTCACTTTTCTTTGATTCATACTTTCCAAACCTTTCCCCTGAACTCTACAGATTTAAGACATCAGGTTTCAAACTGGATCATTTTTCTCTAAAATCTCATTATTTCCTCTTTATTTAGGTTGAATCGCTGCAGTTTGACAGAGATCAGCTGTTCTTCTCTGGCCTCAGCTCTGAAGTCCAACCCCTCCCATCTGAGACATCTGGACCTGGGTCAAAACAATCTGCAGGATTCAGACGTGGAGCTGCTGCTTGATCTTCAGAAGAGTCCAGACTACAGACTGGAGACTCTGATGTCAGTATAAAGTTGGAGTTAGTCTGTGCTGATCTCTCCTGTTCCTCTCCACACAGTATCACAGCAGATATTCAGTATTTCCTGCTGACTCTTCGACCCTCTCAGAGGATTCTTTCTTTAGTGAAGCTGTGAGAACAGAAATCATCAAACCAGGAGTGTAAGAGTGTCAGTGATGAAAAAAGTGTCTCCTCGTCTCTATATTTCAGATCAAATGTAGAAATGAGACATAATGAAACAGAAATGTTCAGTTTCTGCTCTGAAGTCCAGTTTATAGTTCTCTGTATTCAACACAGACTTTATTTCTCTGCTAACTTGTTGATTTTGAGCTCTAAGTCTGAAAACAGACAGCTGTTCTTTATACTTGTTATTTTCACAGCAGGTTTGTTCGATCAGCTTTAACACATTTGACAGGAAGGATTTCTTTATTTTGATGATGTTGGTTTATTTGTGAGGAAACCTGCTGCTTTACACCATCACTTCTGGTCTGAGCAGGACTGAGACCTGCTGGTCTGTAAACTGGATGTTCTTCAGTCCAGCTGATGAAGTGAGTCTCAGAGTGGAAACACTGATCGTCTGTTTTTCTCTCCTCAGATGGAGTTAACATCTGTCAGAGTGATTAAGAAGAGGATCATGTGTTTCCTGACGATCAGAGAGGTGGAGGCAGCAGCAGTGAGGGTGAGGTGAGTCTCTGACTGAGAGACTGACTGACCAATCACAGCGGGCAGAGAGGACTCTGGGAGCTGCACTTTGACCTGCTCTGAGATCAGCTCAGGACCTGGACTCTGGATATTTGATCTTTTCCCTCATATTCTGGGATCAAACAGTCTGAACAGGTTTGTTTTGTTGATGGAAACATGATCATAAATTTACACTTTGATTGGATTACTTTGTTTTTACCATGATGCAGCGCCACCCAGTGGAAATATAAAGAGGTGGAGTTGATTTATTCCCACATGTTTCTGCAGCAAGAGTTGATACCATGTGTGAGAGTAGATCAGTCAGAAGTTCTGATTAAACTCAAAGGTTTTTTCTTTCCTTTGCACCGTTAGAGACCGAATATAAACTGAAGGGAGAGGAAGAGAAGTGAGGAGAGATGGAGGTGAAGGGAGGAGGAGGAGGACAGGGTTTGGGGTTTTAACAAAAATCTGAAGCTTTATTCTTTCACTTGATTATTTTTATTCTTCCGTTTTCTTCTTCAGTTTCTGAAATGATTGTAAATATTGACTGGAGGTAAAAAGTAAAATGTGTGAAATATAATCAAAGACAAAAAAATAGAACTATTGTGAACAGATTTGTCCTCTTCAGTTTATCTAGTATCCATAGATCTATGCTCTGTCTGTGTAACTCTATGTTGGTTCTTCATTTACACCAGATCATTTTTGATTTCATGTCACTGTAACAATGTCATTTAAAGATAATAAAAACTTTATTTGAACCAAAACATGTTAAAAACATCAACTCAGCCTGTTTCAGTCACTGTGTCCAATTGATTATTATTATTTATCATTCAAACAGAAACTAGATTTGGTCTTTAAAAAGTCCTCAAAGTGAGTCTGAAAAGTGGAGGAAGGTTTTCTCATCAGGGTGCTCCTATATTCAGGTCAATACGGTAGTGGATCATAGAGACTCAAAGCCTTGATTCAGCTGAGGCTGGAGGACGCTGCGTGAAGGAAAGTCGGTGTGTTTAGTTGGTCTTAGTTTCTATTAAACAGGAACTTTGGTTTGATCGTCTTTTCTTGGAAATCAAACTTCCTGTTGGACTCAAAGATAAAGTCTGTGATCCCCGTCAGGTTTGAAGACTTCAGTCTCACAGCAGAGTGACTGTGGCTCTGAGTCGGGATGTTTGGACATTTGTTTCATGTGTTTTCATCTGTGATATTCTCTCTAAGGTTATTGTTCATTCAAAGTATGTGGAGGACAAATCCACACATCGAACAAAAAAAGGTCAAAGATGTAGATTGGAGATTTCTGCATGACATCAACGATATTCTAGATTTAGTTGTCTAAGCGAACAGGTGTAGTCTCTTATTGGGGGGTTATTTATATATAGATATATAGATGTAGATATCTCACAGAACAGATATACAGAAAGGCAACATGAGAAAGATATTTATATTGAAATGAATACATATATGTTGATGTGATGTGTTATTATAGTCATCACTTTAATAGAAATATTATTCATATAACAGACACTGAATGATTAAATGTTTTATATATAAATGATTTAATGTAACTACCATGTGTGTGTAGGTCTATAGCTATTACTCTATCTGTTTAATGTTTATTTATGTAAATCCATGGTTAAAATTATTCTTGAGTATTCAGGAACATAACTAAAACTCTGAGGTTTGTTACAAACTAAACCGTTTAAAAATCGGTTTTAAATGAATCAATCTATGGTTATTTAAATGTCACCTGCACCGTAGACTGGAATGTTAGGAGTGGGCGAGCTGCCCTTAGCAAGATGGCCGCCAAGCGCGCAGGTCGGTCTCCATTGGCTAAAAGCGCGCGTACGCCATCTAGCGATTACATATATATATATATATCTATGTGTGGTACGCTCCAACTGTGGGCGGGAAAGCGCTTGACGTCACGTGATACAGGCTCACGAGCCAATATGGCGACGAACAGGAGAGCGTAGCTTAGTAACAAGGACTTCCACTGAAGCAGAGGTTGCTGCGGGACGTTTGGATTTATTTATTACACCTCAACGTTTATTTTTTGTTTGTTTTTTGGTAAGTATGTTCTCTGCTTTCCGGTTTATCCTCCAACTGCTAAAAAAGAAACCCTCATAGCCCCTCCGTTCGTCTTCTTAGCTCCTGTTAGCTTCGTGCTAACATGGCTGTTTGTAAACATCGAGAGAAGTTTCCTCAGAAAACGAAGATCGGGATGAACTCCACCGCTCCTCACGGCTCAGACTTTTTAAAAGGGTCTTTAAAGAGAAGATGGAGAAGTGAATTAACTGTTGTCACTGTCACTTTGTGGTTTAATCCACATATTAGCAATCCCGTGTGGTCCCCTATTGACAACATGGACTAAAGGAGACCCTGAACCTAAATCTGCTGAAATGTTGTCATAGTACTTTTTTTCTCTGTCTGCCTGAAAACACCTTTAAATAAAAACCATGATAAAGTTGAAGGTTGTTCTCTAACAGTTTAAGTTTTCTCCGTCCTCTTTCAGTCGAGCTCTGACGCAGCAGGATGCCCGGGAAAACTGGGGACCAGTTCAAAGCAGGAGACCTGGTGTTCGCCAAGATGAAGGGGTTTCCTTTCTGGCCTGCCAGGGTACACACACACACACTTACACACACAGTTTTCGTCCTCTGTGATGTGTGAGTTTAAAGGGATATTCCGGCGTAAAATTAAGTTATGGTCAAACACACCGTAACACCGAGTCAGACCCCCCCTCCAGAGATGAATGTTGCCGACCGCTTGCTTCTCTAGTTATACCAACTTTAGTAACGACCACAGGATAGCAATACAGAGAGACAGGCCCCCAACCAAAACGCCACTCTATAGCCACAAATAATGCTCAGAACAGCACCTAACTTCATCAACAGGACATATAGGGTCACAGACATAGTACTAGACACCAAACATCTTTTTAACTTTGACTCATTTCTTTAGCAAAGATGCTATACACAACTGACCTCAGGCCAGTCCATTACGGACTACAGCGGGGTGCCGCAGCTCAAGGAAGAACATTTATGATAATTTCTTCATGGAAATACAATCAGACCGAGACGCCGAGGCCAGTGTTTCCCCTAGATTTTTTTTTTTGTCGTTGTTACCCCCACTCTCTTGCCGCTCCAGGAGCTCCGCTGTTACATTCACGTCTCGCTAAATAGACCGTGTATAAGCTTAAACTTTGTCCTCCACGTTGGTGGAAGAGGGTCCGACAGGAATCGATGCGCCCCTTGATGACTAACAACAAGTCGTAACTAACGTGTGTTGTTGTGCTCTCACAGTGCGAGTAGAGTCATTAGTGGCGCATTGATATTCCCTGGATAAGACAGAAGAACTACCGCGTCTGCAGTGCAAAATGATCAATATGGTGATTATTACTTCAAGGAAATGATGAAGAAATGATCTTAAATGTTCTTCCTTGAGCTGCGGCACCCCGCTGTAGTCCGTAATGGACTGGCCTGAGGTCTCTCTACAAACAAGCGTCTGCTGGAAGAGAGTAGGTGAGTTGTGTTTAGTCTCTTTGTTAAAGAAATGAGTCAAAGTTAAAAAGATGTTTGGTGTCTAGTACTATGTCTGTGACCCTCTATGTCCTGTTGATGAAGTTAGGTGCTGTTCTCAGCATTATTTGTGGCGTTCTGGTTGAGGGCGTGGCTCTCTGTATTGCTATCCTGCCGTCGGCAACATTCATCTCTGGAGGGGGGGTCTAACTCGGGGTTACGGTGTGTTTGACCCTAAACTAATTCTACACCGGAATATCCCTTTAATAATTGTCCTCCTGTCTGTTTCCAGGTCTGTAAATCGGACTCCGGCTACAAGAAGCGAATCCCGGTCTTCTACTTTGGGACCCATCAGGTGTACGTACACACTGCTGAATATGAATGACATCACTTCCTGTTGAACCACTGTCTCATCTGTGATTGGTTCCCCTTCTTCCTCAGAGGAACCCTCCCTCCGGAGAACGTTGTTCCCTACGTGGGAAACAAGCTGAAGTACGGCAGCGGCGTCCGTATCAAAGGCTTCGCCGAGGGCATGTGGGAGATCCAGAACACGCCGGGGGTCGGGAGCAAACTCAAAGTCAGTGTTCATCATCACTCATTCGTCTCTGTTTAGCTGACACAGTTTAGTCGCCTCATGAAATACACAGTTCGTTTACAGTCGCAGTTTAATCGGACTAAGCTCATAGTCGTTTTTTTTTTTCGCCGAATCAGACTTCTCTCCTTGTCCGCATAAACATGCAGCTGAGAAAACTTAGTCGAAACGTCCAAAGTAAGTCCAACTGTCCTTTCCAAAAGAGAGTTACCCCCGATCTCCACCTTCATCCTGATCGTCACAGACACAAAATAAAACATCCGTCTTCTTTTCAAAATAAAACACATCCTCTCACTTGTTCGGGCGGAGACGAACAAGTGAAAGGTTTTTAGACGTCATTTCACCCCGATGACACCATGGATGAGGAGATGCTGATTCTAGAAGTCTAGAAGTAGATTTCCTCCTCTGGAAGGACACAATCTACTGCTTATACGTCTATGTGTCTGTCTTTAGAGAGACAACTCGTTATCGCGCGTGAATCCGCGGGTTAGTGTGAGTTCTCACGATTCCTGCTGTCTACAATCCGCCACAAAATTCGCCTCACCAACGGCTCTGGAAGAATTGGCGTACGGCAAAAATCGCCGCTGTTTTGGATCAGTAAAAATTGTGGGTTAGCGTCCTCACCTCCGTGTCATGGCTGCGTCTCCCTTCAGGTGTCACTGATGTCTTCCTGTCTGTTTCCTCTAAAGCTCAGGCTGCTGATTCAGTTCTGTTCCAGTAAAGAAACCGACTTTTGGTCCTGATCCATTTCTCTGGTCTGTCACCTCCTCAGATGCCAACAAAAGCTTCACCTGCTGCCAAAACCACACCTGCCAAACCTCCTGCTGCTAAAACTGCGACCAAGACGCCGGCTAAACCGACCTCCGCAGCTAAAGGTACACCCGCAAAACTGACGCCTACGACCAAACCTACGCCTGCTCCAGAAGCTGAACCCTCAAACAACCAACCGAGGAGCACCCCTGCTAGATCCAGTTCCAACAGATCTGCGTCCTCAAAGCCGGAGAGTAAACCAGCTCCAGAGAGGAGTAGAGCTTCGACAGAAACCGCCGCCGCCGCCGCCGCTACTGCGAAAACCCCGACAAGAGCCTCATCAAGACTGGCTCCTGAGAAAACCAAAGACTCGGTCCAGGATTCAGAGCAGACTCAAGTAACGGATACCGACCCGGAACAGACAGCCGCAAACACGAGGAGCAGGAGGTCGGCTGCCGGGACCAGGAACCACACCGGCGAGGTACGGATCGAGAGCGGAGTCAGAGTCAGTGTCCCCGCCTCTCCGTTTGTTGACGTGTCCTCTTTGTTTCCTTCGTTAGCAGGTGGACGGTGAGCAGAACAGGAGGAGGACAAACGCTGATCCCGTGGTGACCGCTCCAGGTAACCGACCCGCTCAGACCTGCTCCTCATAATCAATAATCAATAATCAATAATCGATTCTCAAAGACTAACGTTTGTTTCTCCAGCAGCCAGCAAGAAACCGAGAACCCCCGAGTCTGAAAAAGGACAGAGGGAGCAGGAGGAGAAGAAAACTGAGGAAGAGGAGAAACCATCCGAGAGCCGAGGAGTCAAGAGGAGGAGACAGGAGGAGGAGGATCAGAAGAGAACGAAGGATGGAGAGGGAAAGGAAGAAGAGACGAAGACGAGTGACGCCGGAGGAAGAAGAACGAGGAGAGCCGAGAAAGAGGAGGGCAAAGAAGAAGAAAAGAGAGAGGAGAGGAGGAGAAGAGCAACAAGGTCAGGGAGCGAAGAGAGGAAACGAACGAGTGAGAGGAAGAAGGAAGAGACGGGAACGGAGGGGAGGGAGAGCAGAGGACAAAAGAGGAGGAGGAGGAGGGAAGAGGAGGAGGAGAAGAGCGGAGAAAGTGAAGAGACGAAAAGAAGAGAGAGGGAGGATAGTGAGGGGATGAAAAGGAGAAAGAGGGGGGAGGAAGAGGAGAAAAGCCGAACGAGACAAGGAGAGAAAGACGACAGAGAGGAGGTGAAGAAAACGAGGGAAGATAGAAAAGAGGAGAGGGTGGGGAGGGAAACGCGGTCAGAGAGCGAAGGAAGAAAGGAAACAAAGAGGAGGAGAGTGACGGAGGAGAAGAGGAAAGAAGCAAGAGAGAGAGCGAAGACGAGGGGCGCCGAGAAAGAGGAGGAGGAGAAGGATGAAGACGGAGAGAAAGATCTGACCATCCTGGAGAAGATGACGGAGAAAATGAGGGAGGAAGGACGAGAGAGAGAGAGCGGCCGCGTGGACGAGGAGGTAAGACCCTGTCCTGTCTTCTTTTGGGGGTCCCTGTGTCCGTCCTGGACACCCCCAGACCTTCAGGAGGAGGAGGAGGAGGAGGAGGAGGAGGACTCACCTTTCTGACCCTTCCTCCTTAAATTTGATTTTCCTTTTTACGCCTTCAGAGGAAACGCCACCTCGCCGCCAAGAGGGAGAGTCTGATCCGATCTCTGAGGGGTCTGCTGAAGGACGGGCGAGGAGCGAAGAGGAGGGAGACGATGAAGAGCGTCCAGTAAGAAGAAGAACTTTGAATAACCGAGTGAAAGAAAGAGGGGAAAAAAAGAAAAAGTGTTGACGTTTGTGTTTTTTTCAGGAGGAGCGGAGACGGAGGGAAGAGGAGGGTTCAGAGGACAGCAGACAAGAACCTCAGAGAGTCCACCACCAGGAAGAGGGACAAGGAGGAGACCACGACCGTCAGGAAAACCACCGAGCAGAAACGGAGAGAGTGGAGAAAAGAAGGAGAGAAGAAGGTGGAGGAGAAAACCACCGGCAAGAAGAGCGCGAAGAAGACGGACGACGAGCCGAAGACAAAGACCAGAGAAGAAGAAGAGAGCGGAGAGAAGAAGAAGAAAGAAGACAAAGCGGAAACGAGCGATGAGAACAAGAAAGAAAAAGAGTCGAAGAAAGAGGAGGAAAGAAAAGAAGAGAGGAAAATCATCGGGAAGATCGTGAAAGCGGGCGGACAGGGGACGAAGATCCAGGTGAAGACGATGATGGGAGGAACGACGAAGGCGGCGGCAACAGCGGAGGAGGAGAAGAAGAAAAAGGAGGAAAAAGTGAAGGAGACGGAAAGACAGAAAAGAGAAGAGGCTGGAGAGACGGAGAAGAAAGAGAAGAACAAAACCGAGGCGGAGAAGGACAAGAAAGAAGAGAAACAGAAGAGGACGAACGAAGAGACGCAGAAGGACGAGAGAGATGGAGACACCGTGGAGAAACAGACGAGAGAGAGGAAGGAGACGGAGGGAAAGAGTGACGGAGAATCGAAGGAGAAGAAGAGAGAAGAAAAGGTAGAGAAGGGGAAGATGGAGGAAAAGAGCGAGGGAGCAAAGGTGGAGAAAAGACCGACGAGGGAGTGGAGGAAGGTGGAGGTGAGGAAGGACGAGGAACAAGAGAAGAAGAGGAAGAAGAAGAACAAGGAGAAAACCACGACAGAACCAACGAAGAAGAACGAGACGGTCCAGAACCAACCGGAGAGGAGGACGAGAGGGGGAGAGAGGGAGAGGAGGGAGGAGAAGGAGAGGAAGGAAGAGAGGGGGAGGAGAGAAGAGAAGGAAAAGGAAAAGGTGGGAGAGAAGGAAAGGAAAGAGGAGAAGGAAAAGGTGGGAGAGAAGGAAAGGAAAGAGGAGAAGGAAAAGGTGGGAGAGAAGGAAAGGAAAGAGGAGAAGGAAAAGGTGGGAGAGAAGGAAAGGAAAGAGGAGAAGGAAAAGGTGGGAGAGAAGGAAAGGAAGGAAGAGAAGGAAAAGGTGGGAGAGAAGGAAAGGAAAGAAGAGAAGGGAAAGGTGGGAGAGAAGGAAAAGGTGGGAGAGAAGGAAAGGAAGGAAGAGAAGGAAAAGGTGGGAGAGAAGGAAAGGAAAGAAGAGAAGGGAAAGGTGGGAGAGAAGGAAAGGAAAGAAGAGAAGGAAAGGAAAGAGGAGAAGGAAAGAAGGGAAGAGAAGGAAAGAAAAGAAGAGAAGGAAAAGGTGGGAGAGAAGGAAAGGAAGGAGGAGAAAGGAAAGGTGGGAGAGAAGGAAAGAAGGGAAGAGAAGGAAAGGAAGGAGGAGAAAGGAAAGGTGGGAGAGAAGGAAAGAAGGGAGGAGAAGGAAAGGAATGAAGAGAAGGAAAAGGTGGGAGAGAAGGAAAGGAAAGAAGAGAAGGAAAAAGTGGGAGAGAAGGAAAGGAAAGAAGAGAAGGAAAAGGTAGGAGAGAAGGAAAGAAGGGAAGAGAAGGAAAGGAAGGAAGATAAGGAAAGGAAGGAAGAGCAGGAAAGGAAGGAAGAGCAGGAAAGAAGGGAAGAAAAGGAAAGGAAGGAGGAGAAGGAAAAGGTGGGAGAGAAGGAAATGAACAAAACAACAACGGAGGAAGAACGAAGATCAGAGGAACGTCAGGAGGAAGTAAAAACTGTAGAAGAAGAAGTGAAGGTGGAGAGAGTTAAGGTCGGAGGTCAGACGAACTCTGAGTCCTCTGCTGGTCCCGCGGCGGCGAAGGAGCAGAAGAAGAGTTCGACCATGACGCTGACCGACTCCACGCTGCACCGGATCCACGGGGACATCCGGATCTCTCTGAAGATCGACAACCCAGTAAGACCCGGTTCCTGAGGTTTTTGGACCTACGGGGGTCTCCTAGCCGGTCTAACCGAACCCCCTTTCTTCTTCCCTCTCCATCCTCCAGGACGTGGCGAAGTGTCTGATGGCGTTGGATCAGCTGAGCATGGTCTACGTGACGTCCAAACACGTGCAGAGACACAGCGAGCTCATCTCCACGCTAAGGAAGGTGAGAAGATACCCGGGCGTCAGAGCCGAGCTGACCAATCAGAGCACGCCGACTGACCTTTTAACCTTTTCTTTCTCCCGCCCTCCTCGCCGTGAAGCTGAGGAGCTACAGGTCCAACCAGGCCATCATGGACAAGGCCTCCATGCTCTACAACCGCTTCAAGAACGCCTACCTGCTGGGCGAGGGCGAGGAGGTGGTGAGCGCCGCCTTCCTGCGCTCGCTGCTGGAGGAGAAGGAGAGGGAGGAGGCTCAGCGGGCGGAGAGGGCGATGAGGGAGGAGCTGCTGCAGGAGGTGAAGAGGCGCATGGAGCAGGTGGAGGAGAGGAGGAGGTCTGACGGAGGAGGAGGAGAAGAAGAAGAGAAGAAGATGGAGGGTGAGTAAAAAAAAGGAAAGTCAAACGAACCAATCAGAGTTCTCCTCCTCCTCCTCCTCAGCTTCAGTGGACTCCTCCTGAAGCATCATGGACCGAACCATCTCAAGACAGAGGGGGGGGTCGACCTCCTCAAAGTGGACCTCCACGATCACCTTTACCTCATCACACCTGTTCACTTCCTGTACAGCTCGGCGTATTTATGGACCTCACCGACGCTCGCTCCGGGGTCAGAGTTCACTACGTTTGGACCGTCTCACCCGAGCAGGTTCTGGTTCTGGAAGAGTTGATTGTATTTTCTCGGTTCTCACGTAAAGCGTTACCGTTCCTCACCTGAGCATTAACCTGACCGCCGAACCCCGTGACCGGTGCAATTTTGATTCGGCGTTCGAGTTAGCTCGGAAGTCAGACGACGGAGCTGAAAATGACGTCACTACGGAGTTCTCAGCGTTTCAGTCACCGAGTCGGAAAAAAGCGAAATCGGAGGCCTGAAACAAGATGGCTACATCTACGAGAGTTATTTTAGCGCTAGCATTTTCCGAGAATAAGGCGAGCACTCAAATAACTTTCGTAGATGTAGCCATCGTGTTTTCTGACAAAATCAGAGGCGTAAACAAGATGGATACATCTGCGTAAGTTATGTAACCGCTAGCCTTTCTGAGATATAAGGCAGGTGCTAAAATAACTTTCGTAGACGTTATTTCCGGAGCAAAATCGGAGGCGCAAACAAGATGGCTACACCTAAAAAAGTTATTTTAGCCTGCTTTGTCCGAACGTGAGGCAAGCACGAAAAAAACTTTCGTAGATGTAGCCATCTTGTTTTCTGACCAATATTAGAGGCGTAAACAAGGTGGATACATCTGCGTAAGTTACGTAACCGCTAGCCTTTCCGAGATATAAGGCAGGTGCTAAAATAACTTTCGTAGATGTAGCCATCTTGTCTCACAAGCAAAATCGGAGTCGCAAACAAGATGGCTACACCTACAAAAGTTATTTTATCCTGCGCGAACGTAAGGCAAGCACGAAAAAAACTTTCGTAGATGTAGCATTCTTGTTCCCGGAGCAAAATCGGAGGCGCACACAAGATGGCTACGACTACAAAAGTTATTTCACCGCTAGCCTTTCCGAAATATAAGGCAAGCGCTGAAATAACTTACATGTAGCTATCTTGTCTCCGGAGCAAAATCGGAGGTGGAAACCAGATGACTACATCTACGAGAGTTATTTTTTCCGAATGTCAGGCACGCACTAAAAAGATTTCGGAATTGTAGCCATCTTGTTTCCGATTTTCCTTTATCCGACTTGGTAACTGAAACGCCGGGAACTCGAAGGTGACGTCATTTTCAGCTGAGTAAGCTAATCCAAATCTAACTTTATATCGTTTTAAACTTTAAACTTCTATTATTCAGTTTTTTTTTTTTATTTCAGTGTCAAACTACAGAACTCCACTAAATTTTTTTATCTTTTCGGATTTTCAGCGTACTGTCTCTTTAAGAGCCCGACCTAATACCTGTCAGAGGGAGGTTTTATCGCCTCGCAGTGATTTTTTTTTTTTGTGTATTTAAGAGAGAAGTCAGTTTGAAGATAAAATCGTTAAATTTAATGTTTTAAACAAAAGCTGCTTTACTTTATTTTTAATATCAACTACAGTTTGTTTTTCTCATTAATTCACGGCAGTGTTAAACCCTGAATGAAAGCATTAGTCAGCTGATCATCATCACACACACTGACGGATGTCCTCCGGTTTTATCGTCACACACTCGGGTGTTGTTTGTCGTGTGTGTGTTTTGTACTCTGTGGTGTAAATATGTAATTTTTGATTTTCAGACATTTTTAAAGGAGTGTTATTAAAACTCTGTCGCCTCCTGAGTTCCTTTATTTGATTCAGTAAGAGTGTTTTTTTTTTTTTATTCAGTAGCATTTCAACATATACGGACAAAATACGAAAGGAAAACTAAACATATATACGCAACTACATTAGCATCACATTGAAGTTATATATATCCTGTTTATATAAAGTATAACAAAAATAAAATATGTATAAAAAAATATTTCGACTTGTATAATAATCCCATTTTTATCCCTATATTCCCATCATAATATGGCTGAACCGTGACTTTAATCTCATAATGACTTTATTCTTTTTTTTATCACTGTATTTTTATTATTGTAACAAAGACTTCACTCTTTTTTTGTTTAACAATGTCTTTATTAGCATTTTTTCAAAGGCAGTATACAACTTCAATATCAACAATAGAATTATAAATTTCACCCAAACCCGCCCCCCTCCCAGAACAAACCCCATCGGCCAACTCTAACCTACAACCCCCTAAAATAATAGTTACAGTAATAATAATAATAATAATATATAATAATACAAATGTTAATCATTTAACGTGGAAAATAAATATAATAACAATAATCATAATAATATATAAAAATGTAAATGTTAATAAATAAAAGTATAAAATAATATTAAAATATAAATGTAAATGAATAAAAGCATAAAATAATAATGATAATTTATAAAAGAAAATTAAATGAAATAAATAAAAGTATAAAATAATAATATTAAAATATAAATGTAAATAAATAAAAGTATAAAATAATAATGATAATTTATAAAAGAAAATTAAATGAAATAAATAAAAGTATAAAACAATTATTGTAATATATAAAAGAAAATATAAATATAAATAAAAAGTTATAATAATTATATTTTGAATAAAAAACAAATAAGTTAAGTAATAATCAATAAATAAATAAATTGCATCAAAATACATGCAGCATGGGTAAAGACATTGACAATGGAAAAGCACAGCTACTCCTTCAGATGTTCTTCAACCCGACAACCACCACCGCACCATCGACAGTACTCATGTACTTATCTGTGAGAAGAGTCCGGATATGTTTTAAAGTCATTCCAGCATTTGTCAAGAAGATGGGGTTTCTTTTTCATATTGAACATTATTTTTTTCAGAGGCCATGTACGATTCAACGTTCGGTAAGCCACACTGAGTCAGCAGGTGGGTTTCCACTTTCGCACATTAAAGCGATACATTTATTTTAAGACTTAACTCTTAAAAAGATCTTTAATAGGGACTTAACGTTGAAACTCCAACCTTAATTTTCTCTCTCGCATGAACTCAAATTTATTATATTCTTTTAATCATTTAGTCATACTATTATTATTATTATTATTATTATTATTATCATTAGACTATCCTATTTATATAAGGTTTTTTCATTTTTATAATCATTATCTTACATATCTTATTATTTTAATTCATTATTATTATGACAGTTTTTTAGTATTAGTATTATTAAATCATCTACTTTTTATTTTTTTATATTTATTTATTATTACTATTATTATTATTATTATTTTTAGACTATCCTATTTATATAAGGTTTTTTCATGTTTTATAATCATTATCTTACATATCTTTTTATTTGAATCCATTATTATTATGACAGTTTTTTAGTATTAGTATTATTAAATCATCTATTTTACTTTTTATTTTTTATATTAATCTATTTATTATTACTTTAATAATTATTATTAGACTATCCTTTGTATATGAGTTTTTTTTCATTTATTATAATCATTATCTTACATATCTTTTTATTTGATTTCATGATTATTATGACTGTTTTTTAGTATTACCATTATTAAATTATCTACCTTACTTTTTATTTTTTATTACATTAATTTATCTATTATTATTTTTTATTATTAATCTATCCTTTATGTATGAGGTTTTTTTTTCATTTATAATATAATTATCTTACGTATCTTTTTATTTGATTTGATTATTAATATGACAGTTTTTTTAGTATTACTGTTAATAAATCATCTACCTTACATTTTTTTGTTATATCAATTTATGTATTATTACTTTTATTACTATTATTATTTTTTATTATTATTTTTGTTTATTTATTTTAATCCTATATGTCTATATACATAATTGTATATATATATATATATTTTTTTTTTTTGTTTGTTTTTTTTGTTTTTTTTAAATTTATTATTTTTTTTTTTTTTCTTTAAATCATACCTATCTTACAGGATGGGTGGGTGGGGGGAGAGGGTCTGTACCCTCTTTAGTTCGCTTTTGTAGTGCAATTTTTTTTTTGCTTTTTTTTTTCACTATTTATATAATTATGTTAACTCGACGTTGTATTATTACTATAGTTATTTGTGTATGTTTGTGTTCTGTATTTATAACTTAGTTTGTTCTCCTCTATAGTCATAAATGTGATAAATCTAATTTTATCATCATTATATTTATTTTTATCATTCGTACCTTTTCCAGAACTTTTCTTTAATTAAAAAAAAAAACAACACTCAGACAGGTTTGTCAGATCCGGAGCGGCTCCTAGTGGACACTGGAGGAACTGCAGTTTTTGTTTTATGAGGAATCTTCATTTCTGACCATGAGATGTTTGTTTTTTTTCTGCTCGGGGGGAAAATCCTCCATTTTAACTCTCTGTGGTCAGAATCTGTGAAGGACCCGGATGATGAATCAGTGAGTCATTCATTCATTCATTCACACCTGTGTTCGTGGACTGCCTCACTCCTTCACGCTCAGGTCCAGCTGAAGCCGCGCTCTCATTGGTCGAACAGCGCCTCTCTCTCCCCCTCTCTCTCTCTCTCTCTCCCTCTCTCTCCAGTGGGCGGGGCCACAGAAAATCCAGGAGGTGTGTTTTCACTGACGGTTTTTTTCCTCCTCCTCACGGAAGAGAGTCGAGGATCATCGGTGTCCAAAAAAAAAAAAGGAAAAACCTCCACGGACGGGAAAAGGACGAAGCGGAGAGTCACGGAGAGAAACCCCGGAGGAGAGCGACAGGACGGCGGACAACGACATGGGACTGAGCCGCTCCTGATAGGAGGAAGCAGCGGACCTGAGGGAGGACAGGACAGGCACCCGGGCGCAGACATGGCCCACGTAGGCAACGGAGCGAGCGCGGAGGAAGAGGTGCGACCCACGGCGACTGCCACACATCTGTCCCCTTCACCCACTCTTATATAAGATTATGAATATTATCACAGAGTTTATTTACACTGTGGAAACAAACGGAGGGCTGTCTGTGTCTGTGTGTGTCTGTGTGTCTGTATCTGTGTGTCTGTGAGAGAGTTTCATGAGACTATCATCTCCTCTAACAGCTGCCTCTGCTCAATCTATCATAGATCTATCATAGATCTATCATAGATCTGTCATAGATCTGCAGAAATAGGTATAACCTGTAAACAGTGACCGTTTCTACAGGGTTGAAAAAGAAAAAACTACATCTGAAGAGGGTCTGATTCTCTCATCAGGGTCTGTCGATGATAAAAGTTTAATGAGACAAAAATATAAATAAAGAGTTTAAACTTCAGAGTCACAGAGCAGAAAAAAAACAGGTTATTTAATGAAAAATCCAATCTAAGTTTATTTATGAAGCACACGTTAAAAAGAGAATAAAAACAGGATTAAAACGGAGGAGCTAAAGTGAGTTTGATTTAAAAACAGGCGGTTTTTAAATCAAACAGGGACACCAAACAGAGGTCATAAATAAGACGATAGGAAAATAAAAACAGACGCCTGGAATTATTCCTGTTTTTGACCTTTAATTCACCAAGAACTGTTTTAAAACATCATCACATTAATCATAGTAGAATACAAACGATAATGAGATTTTTAAAATTAGTCAAAGAATTTACAAGAATGTTCAAACACAGAATATTAAGATCCTAAAAAATACAGATGATATAGATATAATATAGAACAGTAGGGCGGGGCGATACGGGGAAAGTTTATCAGGATATATTTTTTCATATCAGCTGATATTGATCAATATCAGGATATAAAAATCTAACAGTGTTTATTGGTCTTTTTTTTGCGTTGCGCGTGCTCTGCGGCGTGGCGCTGCTTCAGGTGGTGAAAAAGATTTGAGGTATTCCCCGACTTTGTGAGAACATGTACTCGACATAATTTACAGTCCACATTACTCTGCTTCATGTCCGACCTCCAAAAACCAAAATACCTCCACACCACCGACGTTTTCCTAACGCCAGTGTTGTCGTTGACATCGATGTGGTCATCTGTTGCGCCTTCGTGGTCGTTTTCTTTGTTTCTCACCTGTTTTATCGTGTCGATGGTTACCATCAGGCGTTCCTGAGTGGTGGTGTTTCTACGGTGAACTCTGGATCATGTGTCGGTGTTTGTGGCGAATCTCCACACTCTCACCTGTGACCTCGGGTAGATTTATGAGACGCTCCGATTGGTCGCCTCTCTCGCCTCGTTCACACGTCTCTCCTCCCCCCCGTCACATGTTTGTCATTTACAGTGATCGTCCGTATGGATCCTGTTGTGTTGCCATGGTGACTCAGAGTCGTCTCCATCCTTACATAATGACCTTATATTTGCCCCCCCCCCCCCTCCCCGTGTGTGTCACTGATGAGCGGCGGCGGTGGGCGATCAGCTGATTATTGTATTTGTCGTTGTTCAGAGTGTAAGCGGCTTACAGGGAGGTGATACTATCACTCCTCTGTGTGTGTGTGTGTGTGTGTGTGTGTGTGGGTTTATGGAAATGACCCGTCTGATATCAACCACAGGCCGCCTCCTGACAAACAAACAGGAAGTCCGGGGAGAACATGAGGGCCGCTTTCTGGAGATCAAGACTAATTACAGTCATTAAGGCGGAGAAATGAGAAATGAGGATGAGAACTGAGAATTAGTGAAGTAAGCTATTGACTTAAAGCCTGGTATTTAGATTCTGAGCAGACTGTTTGAAATGGGAGAGTTCTAGTGAGGAGGATCACTTCTATTTACAGTCATTAAGGTGGAAAAATGAGAAATGAGGACGAGGCTCGGATCAGAGGATGAGAACTGAGACGTGGCGAAGTTAGATATGAACCTCAGTGAATCTAGAGCTAAAGACCGGTATCCAGACTCTGAGCAGACTGTTTGAACAAGGAGAGTCCCAGTGAGGAGGATCAGGACTATTTACAGTCATTAAGGCGGAAAATGAGAAATGAGGACGAGGATGAGAACTGAGAGGTGGTGAAGTTAGATATCAACCTTGAGCCCGGTCTTTAGACTCTGTGCAGACTGTTGGAAAAGGAGAGTCCCAGTACGTAGGATCAGGACTAATTACAGTCATTAAAGCAGAACATGAGAAATGAGGACGAGGCTCAGATCAAGGGATGAGAACTGAGAACTGGTGAAATATGAACCTCAGAGAAACTAGAGCTGAAGACCGGTATCCAGACTCTGAGCAGACTGTTTGAAATGGGAGAGTCCTAGTGAGGAGGATCAGGACTAATTACAGTCATTAAGGCGGAAAAATGAGAAATGAGGACGAGGATGAGAACTGAGAATTAGTGAAGTAAGTTATTGACTTAAAGCCTGGTATTTAGATTCTGAGCAGACTGTTTGAAATGGGAGAGTCCCAGTGATGAGGATCACTTCTATTTACAGTCATTAAGGCGGAAAATGAGAAATGAGGACGAGGATGAGAACTGAGAGGTGGTGAAGTTGGATATTAACCTAAAGCCAGTTCTTCAGACTCTTCTGAGACTGTTCCAACTAGGAGAGTTCCAGTGAGGAGGATCAGGACTAATTACAGTCATTAAGGCGGAGAAATGAGAAATGAGGACGAGGATGAGAACTGAGAATTAGTGAAGTTAGGGCCCGGTCTTTAGACTCTTCGCAGACTGTTTGAAATAGGAGAGTTCCAGTGAGGAGGATCAGGACTAATTAAGGTGGAAATGAGAAATGAGGACGAGGCTCGGATCAGAGGATGAGAACTGAGAGATGTTGGAGTTAGAAATGAACCTCAGAGAAACTAGAGCTAAAGACCGGTATCCAGACTCTGAGCAGACTGTTTGAAATGGGAGAGTCCTAGTGAGGAGGATCAGGACTAATTACAGTCATTAAGGTGGAAATGAGAAATGAGGATGGTACTCAGATCAAGGGATGAGGAACTGAGAATTAGTGAAGTTAGATATGAACCTAAAGCCCAGTCTTTAGACTCTCTGCAGACTGTTTGAACTGGGAGACTTCCCTAAAGAACTCGTCAACATTAGTCAGTAAAATCCACATTAATGGATCTTTGGAGGAGATCTAGAACAGAAGTGTAGACCTGTAGGAGGGTTCTGCAGGTGTCTCCACAGGGGTACCATCTGTCGTTCAGACCTGAGAAAGAGGCCAGGATCCCATTTGTAAGGTCCAGGATCTCTTCATCACCGTCTCAGAAACATCATCAAGAAAACCTCCTCTGAGGTCCTGAGAACCCAACAAACTGGTCTCAACACTTCAACATGGTCCGACTGACTTCTGTGAAGTTCCCAGTATCACATAACTCCAAATCCTGATCCGTGTAGAAAAACCGGACCTCCAGTGCTGCAGCCTTGACCTCTGACCCCTCAGAGGAAATAAGAGGTGGTGTTATGGGAGCAGAGGTGAACAGTGGACTCCTTGTCCTTTCTTCATTCTCACATTCTGTAAACTCTGACACAACAGTCGGCATTCAGAGCCGGAGCTGAGACCGGGGACCAGGTCTGAGTCAGAAACTGGGATTGAAGGAGAATCACGAACCGTCTACATTTGATCTTTAGTGATGTTGAAATCAGACGGACACACTTTGATGAGTCAAAACTGACATGATGAGACTCCAACCCCCGACCTCCACCTTCATCCTGATTTACACCGACTTCTTTCCATCCTGGTTTATCAAACCCACCATGAGGACCTGGATCTGGAGTGTTCACATGTGTTCAGGTCTTCACACTGGAGTCGAGTCCTCCTCACAGTGCAGAACTGTGTGCCTGTGGACCAGGATGAAGGATCTGGATTCTCAGGGTGTTGTTGACATTCCCGTCATAGCTGAGGTTTATTCATCAGCACCAGCGCGAGGTCCTTCATTACCCGGAGACTGGGCCTCTGTCTCTGCAGACATTGTTCGCGCCTGTCCCCGTGGTCCTGGTCTTGATTGCAGCCTCGCTGAGTCCGCGTGTCGACCCTCCTCTGACATTCCTCACGGATCCTGCTGAGTCAGCCGATGAGGAGCGACAGAGGAGCGTCTGTGAGGAGGTGACCCGCCGAGGTCTGACGCTGCGAGATCTCGGTGCGGATGTACAGGATTGGGTCAAAGGGTCTTTGTTGAGCGCTGTGGTGTCTTTGGCCTTCCTGAAGGTTCTGGAGAGTCCTGCTCGGGTCAGACGGTTCTGGAGGGAGTCAAAAATGTCTCCAGAGCTTCTTAAAAGTTTTCAGAAAGTCGGCGTGAAGGAAAACCGGGAACCCTGACAAGAGTTTTTGTGAAACCATCTTGGAGGGATTTCCTGAAGGCCGATCTGGACCAGGAACCTTAGACTCTGAAATCCTTAGACTCTGAGGTACACTGAGGTCTGAGGAAGTCCGAGTTTATGTCTCAGGTGTTCCTCATAAAACCAGGACTGTTCTCTGTGTTCTGGAGTCTTGAAGACGTAGACACAGTGTGGTCTCTCAGAGGAGTTCCCGCACTCTTGTTGTCCCGGACAGAGGAGGTATTCATGAGGATTTTTGGACTTTCCAGACCTCCACGTGAGCCGTTGTTTATCTGGGAGCCTGTGGGGTAACAGGACCCGGTCTTGACTAATTGATTAGCGAGCCTCTGCTGTCACCAGAGAAGAGACTCCGACAGTGACCTCCACCTCCGAGTGTAACATCAGACAGCTGCGGGGTTTTTCCACATCTCCTGAAAAACCAAAATCTAAGAAGTCCACTTTCCTGAGCTCCTTTATCGGCGCCGAATATCGGACTCCGAGTTTAAGGTCTGCATTAAAACGGTGGAGGAAGTTCACGGAGACAGACGTGACGGTTAAACCAATTTAGAGTCCAGTTACTTACGGCAACACGGAAAAAAATAAACATGATCACAATCCCCAAAGAAGTCGATATTGATTATCATCCCGATCAATCAAAAGTGATAAAGTTCTTTTTATCTCATTACGACTTAAGTAATCAGGTTAACTCTGAGGTCACAGCTGTTATTACTGTTTTAAAACTTACTTTTAACTTTATTTTAACTTCATTTTTCCTTTTTTTAACTCCCTTTTTCCTTTTCTTTTTTACTTCATTCTTACTTTTTTTTTACTTTTTTAAATTAGTTTTTACCTTTTTAACTTTTTTAACTAACTTTTAACTTTTTATCTCATTACTTTTTTAACTTACCTTTTTAACCTTTTTTTACTTAGTTTTTAATTTTCTCTGTTAACTTAATTCTTACTTTTTACTTACTTTTTAACTTTTAACTTTTTTTAAATTACCTTTTACTTTTTTACTGTTCTTTTTTCACTTCATTCTTGTATTTTTAATTTTTACTTTTTTAACTTACTTTTTAAATTTTTTTAACTTACTTTTTACTTTTTCTCACTTTTAATTTTTTTACTTCTTATTTATTTTACTTACTTTAAACTTTTTTTAATTACTTCTTACCTTTTTTACTTTTTAATTTTTTCCTTATTAATTTTTCTACTTACTTATTATTTTTTGACTTACTTTTTACTTTTTGACTTCTTACTTTTTTTATTTATTTATTTATGTATCTATTTTTTAGACTTATTTTTACTCATTTTATCTATTATTTATCTCCTCTTTCTGCTTTATTCACACTGGAGTTTCTGCACTGAAAAGCGATTATTTAAGTATTTCTGATTCTGATTATTGATGATTATTTGTAGTTGTTACAGGAGTCGACCAATCAGAATCGAGTATTTCATCATCATATAACGGTTTATAAACAATTTCCAGTTCCCGTTCGAATCCCTGAAAAAGTCTTTTAATTTTTTACCATAAAATAAGTTTGTATCGTCTGTAAAAAGTGAGACCACGAACATCATAGAAATATAAAGAGCAAAGGACCGATCATAGATCCCTGAGGTACTCTCTAGGTTACTTTTCTATACTTTGACGCTGTTTCGGGATCTTTAGTGATGTTGAAATCAGACGGACACACCTTGATGAGTCCAAACTGACACGGTGAGACTGTTTGACGTCTGGAGTTTGGAGGAAAATCTGAAACGTTTTCAGGACAGAGGAAGTGAAGAAGAAGAAAGAAGTTTAAAAAGCAGAATCGTCTTACAGAAGCAGAAGTGTGTCTTTCATATTTACAGACATGTGATCAAATATCCAGAGTTAGGTAATCGATTATCTCTGCAGACTTTCACTTTGATGTTCGGGTCTCTTCTCGGTTCTGGGAGTTCTTCATTTAGAGTTTTATGTGTGCGTCAGCAGGATTTGACCGTCCTCTCAGCCTCACCTGTCCGTCCACTCGGAGAGTCTTTTGTGTTGAGTTAATGTTCTGGACCGTCTGGTTAAACAGCATTCATTCACAGTAACACACACTCGGACACACACACACACACACACACACTCATACACACACACGCTCAGCAGGAGATTATGGCGGGAACTTCACAGAGTCAAAGGGAGCATCTGTTCGTGAAGGAGGGAGTGATAAAAGTGTGAAAAAAAGAGAGAAAAAAACAAGGAGCGTCTGCTTCACACTTTTGTTCTCCAACCATCTCTCTCCTCCTCCTCTTCCTCCTCTTCCTCCTCTTTATTCGTTTAAGTCCAATCCTGAACTTCTGAACCTGGTAAATACTCGGATCCTTTTATCGCCCTGAGCGCTGACTTCCAGGCACCTTTCCAGACAAGTTAGTTTCAGGTTGGATATATTTTCCTGTAAATACGGCGGTGAAGTTAGTTTCAGGTTGGATATATTCTCCTGTAAATACGGCGGTGAAGTTAGTTTTAGGTTGGATATATTCTCCTGTAAATACAGCGGTAAAGTTAGTTTTAGGTTGGATATATTCTTCTGTAAATACGGCGGTGAAGTTAGTTTCAGGTTGGATATATTTTCCTGTAAATACGGCGGTGAAGTTAGTTTCAGGTTGGATATATTTTCCTGTAAATACGGCGGTGAAGTTAGTTTCAGGTTGGATATATTTTCCTGTAAATACGGCGGTGAAGTTAGTTTCAGGTTGGATATATTTTCCTGTAAATACGGCGGTGAAGTTAGTTTCAGGTTGGATGTATTTTCCTGTAAATACGACGGTGAAGTTAGTTTCAGGTTGGATATATTTTCCTGTAAATACGGCGGTGAAGTTAGTTTCAGGTTGGATATCTGATGGACATTCTCTGAGGATCTACCGGTGTCTTCTCACTCTCCATAACCGGGAATAACAACAGCAGCGCGGTTAAATCTACTCGACACCCTCACTGTCAACGTCGGTGTTGAATAAGGGACCGTCAATAAATTACTGGTTGATGTTCTCAGAAAAGGCTGTTTTCCTTCAACAGCTTCACTGTCATGTGACCAAAAGACCTAAAAGTTGGTGTTAGGCCCTGAAGGGTCAACTTTGGACACGTCAAGGACCTTTACGACGGTGGGAGGAGGTCTGTTCTACCTGAACAGCCTCTCTAGAGTATTTATCGTAATTTCTTTAAAATGATAAATTAAACTTCAGCTCGACTTTCCCTCAGAGCCTCACTGAAGTTTCTCTGTCAGGGCGTCAAATCTTTCACGTGTCGTTGTGCGGCGCCGACTCTGACCCTGTATTTAGCGTCTTTATTTAGAGGACTCGTTGGTCTGAGCCTGGCAGACCGAGTTCAGGGTAAAGCTGTGAACTGCGGCCTATAAAGCGATGATAGCGATCGTTGTAAACACTTAAAAAGAGGAACCATCTCCTGGCTGTTATCTGACAGCGGCTGATAAAGTGAAGTGGGTCAGAGTGCGTTGACGTTCTGGGCGGGTGTGTAACCGCGGCGGGTCGATCCGTTCAGCCTGGAGGCGGCGTTTCCTCTGCAGTGTGTGCCACGGCCTCTGCAGCCGGACTCGCTTATGTAAGACGCCACTGGGAAGGTTATTATTAGCTGCCACTGAGTGTGTGTGTGTGTGTGTGTGTGTGTGTGTGTGTTCCAGTTCACATGTCGCAGCAGAAATAGAAAAAGAGAGAGAGAGAGAGAGAGTCGCACTGAAAGACAAACAGAGTGACCCTGAGCAGAGCTGAAGTCAGACAGAAACCTGCTGAGCCAATCAGAGGCCTCCAAAGCTGACGCCGCAGTGTGTCACTTCCTGGACGAAGCTCCAGGAGACGTCGAATCACCGAAACAAAGACGAGACGAGTGTCGACTTCGACTCAGAGAAAGGCTAAAGTCGAAAATCACTCTAATCTCGGTTCACGTAAAACGAAACACCTCTCAGCGCCAGCAGGGGGCAGAAGTCCAAATCAAGCATTTTCATAACCACTGTCTTTATCGCAATTATGGTGAATTCGTGTTTCCTCGGAAGTCAGATGTCGGAACTGAAATTAACGTCTCACCTGACCTCCCAGCGTTTCAGTAACCGAGTCGGAATAAAAAGCAAAATTGGAGGCGGAAACAAGGTGGTAACATTTACGAAAAATTAAAGCCCTGTCCGAAAATATTAGGCTAGGCTAAAACAACTTTCATAAATGTAGCCATGTTGATTCCGTCTTCGATTTTGCTTTACATATTAACATATTTGCTGCTTTCCAATTTCTTCAGAAGTCAGATGTCGGAGCTGAAATTGACGTAAAACCGGAGCTCCCAGCATTTCAGTAACCGAGTCGGAATAAAAAGCAAAATCGGAAGCGTAAACAAGGTGGTAACATTTACGAAAGTTTAAAGCCCTGTCCGAAAATATTAGGCTAGGTTAAAATAACTTTCGTAAATGTAGCCATCTTGGTTCTGCCTCCAATCTTGCCTTTTTTCCGACTTTGTAACTGAAACGCTGAAGTTTTTTTGGGTCTTGCTTTCTCTAACTATCTTTCGCGCACAACCGCGCTAACATTTTTGCTGCTTTCCACTTTCTTCGGAAGTCAGATGTCTGAGCTGAAAATAACGTCACACCTGAGTTCACAGTGTTTCAGTTACTAAGTCGGAAAAAAAAGCAGAATCGGAGGTGTGAAACATGATGGCTACATCTAGAAAGTTATTTTAGCGCTAGCCTTATATTCGGACAAGACAAGCGCTAAAATAACTTTCGTAGATGTCACATCCGAGTTCCCAGCGTTTCAGTTCCCAAGTCGGAAAAAAGCAGAATCGAAGACGGAAAGAACATGGCTACATTTACAAAAGTTATTTTAGCCTAGCCTAATATTTTCGGACAAGGCTTTGATTTTTCGTAGATGTAGCCATCTTGTTTTCGCCTTCGATTTCGCTTTTTTCCGACTTAGTAACTGAAACGCTGCTAACTCGGGTGTGAGGAATTCTGACTTCCGAGTAAACTCAAACGCAGCGTTATAACCGTGACCGCCCACTCCGGCAATCTGACCAATCAGAGAGAGACTGACAGAGAAACGCCGAGATTTCACCTGTGTGTCATCCATGATGGCGCCGAGGTCGAAGACGAGGACGTCTGAGATCTGAACGTTTTCATCAGCACGTCAGTTTGACAGTCTTCACAGCAGCAAATCAGGAGGCGGATCATGGTCATGTGACTTTCTAATGTGACGTTTTTTCTCTGTGTCTTCAGGACTGTTTCGAGGACGCCTACGACAGGATACCTGCGTGAGTACAAGCAGAATACACACCTACCTGTGTGTGTGTGTGTGTGTGTCTGTGTGTGTATAAATATGTGTGTGTATGAGTGTGTATATGTATATTTGTATGTGTCTGTGTATATATGTGTGTGTATATGTGTGTGTATGTGTAAATATATGTGTGTGTATGAGTGTGTATGTGTGTGTGTGTATGAGTGTGTATGTGTGTGTGTATATATGTGTGTGTATGAGTGTGTATGTGTGTGTGTATATATGTGTGTGTATGAGTGTGTATATGTATATTTGTATGTGTCTGTGTATATATGTGTGTTTGTGTGTATATGTGTGTATATATGTGTGTATGTGTGTGTGTATATATGTTTGTATGTGTGTGTGTGTATATATATGTTTGTATGTGTGTGTGTGTATATGTGTGTATATGTGTGTGTATATATATGTGTGTGTGTGTATATGTGTATATGTGTGTGTATATATATGTGTGTATGTGTGTGTGTATATGTGTGTATATGTGTGTGTATATATGTGTGTATGTGTGTGTGTATATATGTTTGTATGTGTGTGTGTGTATATATGTGTGTATATATGTGTGTATGTGTGTGTGTATGTGTGTGTGTGTATATGTTTGTGTATGTATATATGTGTGTGTGTATGTGTGTGTATATATGTGTGTATGTGTGTGTATATATGTGTGTATGTGTGTGTATATATGTGTGTATATGTGTTTGTGTATATATGTGAGAGTAAATGTTTGTGTGTGTGTGTGTGTCTGTGTGTGTGTATGTGTGTGTGTCCTTGATCAAGAAAAGATCAGTGTGTTGGTGTGAAGCTCGATGTCACTTCCTGTCTCTGTATCTCTGCTTTTTGTCATTTCCTGTACTAATGTGTGTGTGTGTGTATCTGTGTATGTATCTGTGTGTGTATATGTATCTGTGTGTGTATCTGTGTGTGTGTGTGTGTGTGTGTGTGTGTGTGTGTATCTGTGTGTGTGTGTGTGTGTGTGTGTGTGTGTGTGTCTGTGTGTAGTGCCTGTCAGATGGACCTGCAGACAGCCATCCAGGAGACTCAGTGCGCTCTCAATCTGGTCCTCAATAACAAGTTCTCGGAGGCCCTCGACCTTCTGAAGCCATGGTAACCACGGCAACAAGCCCCCCCTATCACATTACATCATACATACAACAGTGTGCGCAGGTGTACAAACGGGAGGAAATGACCCGTGTGTGTGTGTGTGTGTGTGCGCGTGCGTGCGCGCAGGTGGAAGGACAGCATGTACCACGCTCTGGGTTACAGCAGCATCCTGGTGATGCAGGCCGCCATGACCTTTGAACACAGAGACATCCAGACCGCCATGGCGACCATCAAGGAGGCGCTCCACACCTGTCAGAGGTGAGCGCGGCGGTCTCCCTCTGCACCAATCAGACGATGTCTTACTGAAACCTGCTGTAACCCTAACCTCAAACCCTCTGCTGCAGGTTCAGGAAGAAGAACTCGGTGGTCGGGTCTTTGTCCAGCCTCATCAGCAAACAGTCCAACCTGCAGGAAGGTACGTGACCACGCCCACACACGCTCTGATTGACAGCTCCTCCGCTGACGTCACGCCGCTCTCTCTGTTGTGTTTTTTTCAGAGGAGATGCACGCGGAGATCTGCTACGCCGAGTGTCTCCTGCAGAAAGCCACGCTGACGTTCGTGCAGGTCGGCTTTAAACCTCTAAAAGACTACATTTCCCATAATGCACCTCACAGTCAGCTCTCATTGAAATACCCTTGATGACGTCGTACATTCAGCTGTGAGACTGGTATGAGGAAAAAAAGGCAGGGTGCAGTTCTGGGAGTGTCCACCAGGGGGAATAAGAAGATTACAGTTTCCTTTGAATCAGTTTGATGTTAAAATCATTTTAAGTTCGTTTTTCTAACTTAGATCGTTTCATGTTTGGGTTTTTTGTCCTTAACTCACCGGATTTTCTCTAAATCACTCAAATAACCTCAAATAAAAATCAGTCAGCAGTTTAAACACCTTAAATCAACTCAACCTGATCACACAGGAGAAAGGTTTTAAGTCTCTTTTAATGACAAAAAGACCAAATGTTTCTCTACGATCCTGCTGCAGCGTCACCAAAAACATAAATCTGTTCCTGATAAAACCAGAAACACTTTCTAACAACACAGCATCCCTTTAAAGTCTCAGTGACGTCTTATTAAATATTACATCAAATTAATATTAAATCATTTTAAAGGGGGAAAAGCAGGAATCTGTTAAAGAAACATCTTTTTTTATTAGTTATTGATTATTTGGTAATATATCGATATCTCTGTGTTCTCTTATGTCTGTGTCGTCAACATTTGAACATTTTTGAGCGGTCCGCTCTTTCTGACTGTAAACAAAGCCGTTCTCCACCTCCTCTAACCTGATTGGTTGACCAAAACAGTCAACACCTAAACAGTCAACACCAAAACAGTCAGCAAGAAAACAGTCAACAAGAAAACAATCAACCATAAACAGTCAGCAAGAAAACAGTCAACAAGAAAACAGTCAACAAGAAAACAGTCAGCAAGAAAACAGTCAACAAGAAAACAGTCAACACCAAAACAGTCAGCGAGAAAACAGTCAACAAGGAAACAGTCAACAAGAAAACAGTTAACCATAAACAGTCAACAAGAAAACAGACAACAAGAAAACAGTCAACCATAAACAGTCAACAAGAAAACAGTCAACAAGAAAACAGACAACGAGAAAACAGTCAACAAGAAAACAGTCAACACTAAAACAGTCAACCACAAACAGTCAACAAGGAAACAGTCAACAAGAAAACAGTTAACCATAAACAGTCAACAAGAAAACAGACAACAAGAAAACAGTCAACCATAAACAGTCAACAAGAAAACAGTCAACAAGAAAACAGTCAACAAAAAACAGTCAACAAGAAAACAGTCAACCATAAACAGTCAACAAGAAAACAGTCAGCAAAAAAACAATCAACCATAAACAGTCAGCAAGAAAACAGTCAACAAGGAAACAGTCAACAAGAAAACAGTCAACAAGAAAACAGTCAACAAGAAAACAGTCAACCATAAACAGTCAACAAGAAAACAGACAACAAGAAAACAGTCAACCATAAACAGTCAACAAGAAAACAGTCAACAAGGAAACAGTCAACGAGAAAACAGTTAACCATAAACAGTCAACAAGAAAACAGTCAACAAAAAACAGTCAACAAGAAAACAGTCAACCATAAACAGTCAACAAGAAAACAGTCAGCAAAAAAACAATCAACCATAAACAGTCAGCAAGAAAACAGTCAACAAGGAAACAGTCAACAAGAAAACAGTCAGCAAGAAAATGCTGCTCCCCCGTGTCGTTCAGGAGCCCAAACAAAGTTAGCGTGCTACAATATCGGACAGTAGAAACCAACCAGAAAGTTCGGAAAATTGTCTGAATCCTCCTTTGGCCACGACTGCCGACACAAGCAAGAAAACAAAGTAAATACCGGAGACTCTGGAGGAATAACGGGCGCTTAAAACGGAGGTAGACCGGACAAGAGCTAAAAAGCCGGGTCAACATAAACGATGGGGGACGCTTGGGGATCTTGGTGACCCTGTAACCTTTCTGCTGGACAGGTAAACCGCTTTAACAAAGTAAGACAAGTGTCTGTAACAGAAGTGTTTCTTGTCAAACGGACCTGCTGTAGCGTGTTGTAGCGCCATCGCTAAACTGTCCTCCCTCGGGTCCTGGACTATGTCACTTTATCCTCGTTGTAGAAGTCCTGCAAACATTGTGTTTGATTTCAACCAACCCGGACCCTCTTTCTCTCCTCAGGACGAGAACATGATCAGCTTCATCAAAGGAGGCATCAAGATCAGAACCAGCTACCAGATCTACAAGTGAGGGTCTCCTCCAAAACCACCTCTGACTTATCTCGGTGTTCTATCGGGTCTGTAAAGAACGGGTTTTTATGTCTGATGTCGTCAAACAGGGATTGTCAGAACGTGCTGAACGTAACTCAGGACCTGGCGGGCCAGTCTGATTCGTTCAGGCAGTTTGAGGGCGGAGTCAAGCTGGGGATCGGGTCCTTTAACCTGGTAGGTTTTCGAAGGTGTCAAGAGTCAGTCCACAGTCTGTCTCGAAGATCAAACTGAATCCGATTTTATTGATTATTCCCCGACACGATCAAACGTGAATCATCAGCATATCGGCGAATCCTTACAAATTAAAAGTCTAAGTAAAAGTGTTTATTTTATTCTGAAAGGATGAACTCTGTCTGTCTGTCTGTCTTTCAGATGTTGTCGCTCCTCCCTCAGAGGATTTTGAGGTTATTGGAGTTCATCGGATTCTCAGGAAACAGGGTCAGTACGTCAGAGTCCAAAGCGGTTCCGGTCCAGGTGAACAGGTGATACTAACGCTGTGTGTCTCCTCAGGGGTTCGGTTTGTCTCAGCTGAGAGAGGGAGCGTCCAGTCACAGTCTGAGGTCCATCCTCAGCGCTCTGACGCTGCTCTTCTACCACACATACGTGTCTCTGATTCTCGGTACGACACAGAAGCAGAGATCCAGGGTTCTACTTTGAGTCCAGACCTCTTTTTAATGACATTACGGTTGAAGATAATCCTGTTATCCCCGTTTGTTTGATCAGGAACCGGAGAGGGGAACCTGGTGGAGGCTGAAGCTCTGCTGGAGCCGTACAAACACAAATACCCCAAAGTAGGTGGACCAAAAACAAGACGGATGAAAGTCGACAGAAATACGACACATTAACCCCCAATTTCCACCGCATCCGGATCGACTACGATTCGGAACGGCGGCAATTTCTGCCGTCTGCCAATTCCTACCAGATCCATTTGTGAGGCGAATTTCGTGGCGGATTACGGACAGCAGGAATCATGAGAACTCACAAGAGTTCTTGTAGAATCAGCATCTCCTCATCCATGGTGTCATCGGGGTGAAATCGGAGTTGGTTACGATCAGCTACGATCGGAAGATACAACCTTTTAGTAGACGATCAGGATGAAGGTGGCGATCGGGGGTAACACTCTTCGTTGAAAGGACAGTTGGACTTACTTGGGACGTTTCGCCTTAGGTGAAACGTCCCAAGTAAATCCAACTGTCCTTTCAACGAAGAGTTGGAAATCATAGATGCTGCATCCTCAGTTTTAAACAATATCTCCAGGTTTAGGAGCAACATCTGCGTCCATCCAGAATTTTCCAGGGAAGACCTTCAGATGATCCAGAACCACATTCTGACAACAGTTGAAATGTGGAAAGTCGGTGTAAATTGACACGTTAACTTGAATGGTTACGATCAGCTACGATTGGAGGATACGACGTTTTCGTAGACGATCAGGATGAAGGTGGAAGTTGGGGGTCAGACTTGGACTCAAGAGTTTGATATTTGATCATAAGAGGATAAAAAAACGAACTCTCTTTCTTTCTTTAGGGCTCCATCATTCTGTTCTACTCCGCTCGGATCGCCACACTGCGAGGAAACTTCGAGAAGGTCTGAACCCCCCCGACACACACACACACACACACACACACACTTTTACTCTTTCTACTGACATGAAAAACTGAACCTCAGCTGAGACGGTGGTACTTTCCAAAGTTTGACGAAGATTAGGGTCGCAAAATTCTGGGAATTTTTCAAAGTTGGAAACTTTCCACAGGAATTAACGAGAATTAATCTGAAATGTACAAAATCGAAGGTTGGCCCTCAACAGGAACTTAAATACAGTTGGTGAAAATATCTTGTAGCATCATCTTGACTGAAACAACCAGATTTAATGCGAGTACAGATGATTTCTTGAACCCTGGAGGCACAAGACTTTTGAGCCCACAGACTGTAGAAAGTCAAGTTTGGATAATATTCTGGGGTAAATATATCTGACCTATAATAGTATTAATATTTACAGAGTGATCATGGTCAGTAATTCTGCTCCCGGTCTCGTCGTGTTCTTGGGTCTGCGTTTCAGGCCCGGGCTCGGTACGAGGAGTGCATCAGCAGCCAGCAGGAGTGGAAGCAGATCCACCACCTGTGTTACTGGGAGCTGATGTGGACCCACTCTTACCAGCAGGAGTGGCAGCAGGCGTACCACTACGCTGACCTGCTGTGCAAAGAGAGCCGCTGGTCCAAGGTAAACACGCCTGAACCTGATACCTCACCAAAGTACCCATAACCAGGACCGGTACTCTTGTCAATGAAAAACTGGTCTTTGCGTCTTCTTTTTGTCTTTCCAGGCGATTTACGTGTACCAGAAAGCAGCGATCCTCAGCATGATGTCTGAGGAGGACGTGAAGAAGACGGGAGAGGACATCGTGGAGCTGTTTGGGTAAATCGGCCTCATCGAAAACCATCTGGAGATATCAAACACCCGAGGGTCTGACAGGAACCATGTCCAGGGTTCTGGTTTCAGGTTTCAGTGTTTTTGTGTTTCTGCGGACAGGCAGGTGGAGGGCCTGAAACAACGCCTGGCAGGAAAGTCGATTCCCACGGAGAAATTCGCAGTGAGGAAGTCGAGACGCTACAAAGCGGCTAACCCCGTCCCCCTGGTCATCCCCGCGCTGGTACGAACACGGACTCAAACACACATTTATGAAATAATCTGGGAGTCCTCAGGGCTCTTTGCTCGGCCCACGTGTCGTTATTTAATGATTTCAGACTCTATACTGTTATATTAACCTGTTAGCGACCTCTAGTACAAAGGTGCAGCGGTCCTTGTTTTAATACGTAAAGACGTTTCAGTTTTTTTAACACACCTACAGGAAAATGTTGTAAAATATAAAACATCACTGTTCGTCAAAATGAGTTTTAAATATCAAAAAAAAAAAAAAAAATGTTTCCCTGGGGAAAAAAAAGTTTAAATTTCCTCACATCCATTTTTACAACAACAATTTAACAGCTATTAGAACAATTCATTTTACAAGTGGTCTTAGTAAACCATCGTCTTTTGTTTTTTTTTGTTGTTTATATATATATATTTTTTTATACACATGTCAGTGAGTAAATCAGAAAACCAAAATTTTAAAATATAAGAAAGAATGAAAAGTTAAAAAAAAATGAAACACAACAAAAAAAATCATTAAAAAAACACTAAACAAACGAAAAGGACTAAAGAAAAAACACAAAAAAAGAACCAGACAAAAACAGGAGATACCTCCTTTTTTAATATGTTTACATGTTTAAATGAATAAATCAGAAAACCTAAATTTTAGAAAATTAAAAAAAAAATACACAATACAAAAAAAACACCACCCAAAAAAACCCCACAAACAAACAAGGAGGAAAAAAGAAAAAAACAAAAAAGTAAAGCAAAAACTGGAGGTACTTGCCTTTTTGTAAATATATATATATACATGTACACATGTGTAAATGAATAAATCAGGAAACCAAAATTTTTGAAAATTTAAGAAAAAATGATAATTAAAAAAAAATACAAAAACTACCATAAAAATCATCGAACAAACAAGGAGGACAAAAGAAAAAAACAAAAAAAAAGAACAAGACAAAAACAGGTGGTACTTGCCTTTTTTCTGATATATATACATGTACACATGTTTGAATGAATAAATCAGAAAAACAAAATTTTTGAAAATTTAAGAAAACATAAAAATTAAAAAAAAAACAACAACCATAAAAACATCAAACAAACAAGGAGAACAAAAAAAAGTACCAAAAACAAACAAACAGACAAAAACTTTCGAGGTTATCATTCCATTCCAAACTTATTTAAAAACAACAAAACAACTCCAACAAGTCCATTTTAAAAAGTTTCCAACACTGTTAAAAGCTTTTAACTTTGAGTTCATTTTCGTTTGGTTCCCTGCAGGAGATGATGTACGTCTGGAACGGTTTCACCATCGTCGGGAAGAGAGCGGACTCCACCGAGGCCCTGCTGATCACCATCGAGGCGGCTGAGGAGCAGCTCCGCAACGACCCTGGTGAGTTAAAACCCGGGTCACTGTTTCACTTATAAACCTGTTCTGAGGGAGTGAAGACGGGACTCCACAGGGTTCCGGTCTCGGCCCACTTCTGCTCAGACTGTATGCAGATGATGCTGTTCTGTACTACGACTTTTTGTGTCCTGACCGAGCTCCTAAAGGCCATAAAAAAACTTTTTTACCAGAACAAAATACGTTTGTATCGTCTGCAAAGAGTGAGACCACAAATATCACAGATACCAAAGAGCAGAGGACCGGTCATAGATCCCTGAGGTACTCTCTAGGTTACGTTTCTGAGTCGGGGATGTTGAACTCAGACGGACACACTTTAATGAGTCCAAACTGACATGATGAGACAGTTTGACGTCTGGAGTTTGGAGGAAAATCGTCTTAACCCTTTAATGCCCGAAACCACAAATTATGGCCAGAAAATTCAATTTTTTTTCAGAGCTAAAATATTTATTTTATTTACTACTGAAAACCAAAAAAATCCAAAAATGTCCTTAAAATTTCACAAATATATTTTTATTTATCTCGTTTGATACATCAGATGTTTTTGGAAACTAATAAACCACAAGAGGATGTTTTTATGGTTTATCTGACTGTATTCAGGTGTTTTTATTAATTTGTTGATCATATTGATTAGATAGAAGTTTATAAAAGCATATATCAAATATGATATAGGTTTGTCTTTTATATTTACAGACAGAAACGTGATCAAATATTCAGATTTAAATCATTGATTATCTGAAAGTTCATTAAAGTTCATCACGATTAGTTTACTTCTTAGTTCTGCGAGTTTTCAATCAGAGTTTATTTTTAAAAAGCAATTTAAATCAATTTTAAAATAACTAAAGGCCATAAAAAAACGTAGTGTGTGAAGTTCATAGAGCTTAAATTATGAATATTAAATTTTATTAATAACGCACTTTTACAGGCGCTCAAAGACGCTTAACAAAAATAAACAAAATCTAAAATACGGAAAATTTTTTAGACTAAAATGAAAAGACAATAAAAGAAGAGTTCACAGGTTAAAAGCCGATTTAAAAAGTTGTGTTTTTAGGAGTGATTTTAAAGTACGGGGGTCTGTAGGGTCTCGTCTAACATGACTCTTGTTTTTTTACCGTCCTGCTCAGACCCGTCAGAGTTTCACCCAGACGACAGCTGCCTGGTCCAGATGTTGAAGGGACTCTGTCTCAAACACCTGGGCAGGTTACTGCAGGCTGAGCTCTGCTTCACACAGGTGCTCTCCAGGTAAAACACACACACACACACACACACACACACAGATATGCAGACGGACTGGTTCAGCCGTCTCTTTAGTTTATCAGCTGGAGGTGTGAGAGTGATAAGATAGAGAGCGGTTTCTGTGCTTCTGTTCACTTCCAGTGAGAGTCGGATCCGATACGATCACTACCTGATCCCCTTCACCCTCTACGAGCTCGGCCTGCTCTACAAACAACAGGGAGACTTCACCAAGGCCGCCGCCTACATCGAAAACGCCAAGTAAGTCACTTTTATGATCTTGTCACCTTCATACCGAGGATGAGGACGATTAAAGGCCTGGGGCTCTATTTCCGTTCCCACCGGCGGACGGTGGCGCAACCCCGCGCAGTGGTATTTTCGTCTCGCAGAGCCCGGTGCACAGCCAGTTTGGCACCGAGGTCCGCCAAGCTGGGCGTGGGGTAGAGCGTGACACGGGGGCGGATTTTAACCCCTGTCCCGTCCCACTCCCAGAGAAAAAATCCCGGACCGGAGTAAAAAAATGAATCCTGTCCTGTCCCGCTCCCGTTTGAATGAAACCAAAACGTTGAAAAAACGTTTCATTTTTTGTTTTAGGTAAAAGTGGCGGCCGAGTTGGAGCGGCTGCCACTTTTTTTCTCTACTTCCGGTGGTGACAGGAAGTCGAACCACTGTTGTCGTCCTTTCGTGTTGCTAGCCGCGGTCAAGAGTGTTGGCTCTCACTGAGAGATGATGACAAAAATGGACGCATCTGTTCATCTGGTTGTTTGACACAGCTGAAATGATCATCCGTTAATGTTGTTCCCGCTCCCGTTGCTTTTTTCCTGTCCCGTCCCGATCACGGGATTAAGTAAAAAATGACTCCCATCCCCTGGTATCCCGCGGGAATCACGTGACCCACGGGAATTCCTCTAGCGTGGTGGCACGGTAGGAGGAGGGTGTTGACAGAATCAGGTGGCGCGGTGACATTTTCGTGCCCGCCGGCGGCGTAGAAAGCGCGTTGAAAGCTTGATGATTCAAACCTGGTCAGCTTTTAGTGCAGGCAGCTGGTCTAGTGGTACTTTAGTAGACCGGCGGCGTAGTGCACGGATGTCACGTTTCCACAGTGCAAGAAATAATCAACACAACCAATCTTCTGAGTCAGCACAAACATTCAGATCTATACCGATAAAGTTAACAAGATATTTAATTCGTCTTCTGTCGCCATCGTGTGGCGTTGCTGTCTTCAGACATCTCTGCATGAAAATTGTAATTCGCCTCGCCGGTGGTGGATTTAAAGGCGAGGAGAGGAGCTGATATGATTCGTGAAGACAGGTCTCGGCTGTGTTAAACCCACGCCATGCCTTCTCTGCTATTTACGCCGCTGGGAGGTGCTGAGTTAGAGAGGGGGGGTACTTACGCCGCGCCTGCGCCGTGCTGCCGGCGAGGCAGAAAATAGAGCCCCTGGTGTTAAAGAGAAGGTGGATCATAAAAATCAAACATCGTATCATTAATTTAAATGATCATGATCCGTCTGGTCCGGCCTCTTTCATGGTTCAGTTTGATCCTCATTGGTGTAAATCAGTCTTTAAGGTTCTCATGTACGGTAGATGATGAAGTCCTGCCTGAAATGAGTTTGTTGTCCTCTCCATCAGGACCAACTACAAGGACTACTCCATGGAGTCCAGACTTCACTTCAGGATCCACGCCGCCCTCAGCAGCCTCAAAGGTTCACCTGTAGGAACCCCCTAATCCTCCAAACTGGGTCACAGTGCAGCTGGAAACAACCGGGTATCCAACAAGAACCTCCACCATGAAGACCTAAATCAGGGTGGGAGGTCACGGGTCCCGCTGGACTCCGCCTCCTTCAGTCATAGCAATGATGTATTTATGGTTATTTGACGTATTTATTCCTTTTATTTTATGGACGCTGAGATGATTAAAACGGTTTAACGCCAAATGTAGATTTGATCGGGATACCGAGAGATAGACGCGGTTTCTCTGTCGTCATGGAAACAGGAGGAGGTTCAGCCTCAGGCGCCCGTCATTCAGAGCTGATCAATGCTGCGTTCCAGTTACCTCGGAGGTCGTAGCTGGAACGACGTTACACCCGAGTTGACGGCAATCCAGTTAACAAGTCGGAAAACCAAAGTGGACGCCTACAGTTACCGGTTGTTAGCCTTTGTTAACAATTGTTAGCAGTTGTCAGTCGTTTTTAGCGATATCAGTTGTGAACAACGCACAACACAGTATTTCGGAAATCCCGACTTTCGAGTACAACTGGAACGCAGCATAATATTCTGTCTGATTTGGAGGCGACTTGAGAAGTGGAAGCATGTTCGTAGAAAAAAGCACAATGTGGGAAAAGTTCGCCGATTTCTATAAAACACCGACTGTAAACAAAGATGGCCGACAGAGCACAGCTGATGCCAGAACACCTCCGAAACCGTGAGGAGGGATCTGCAGTGGAGACAGGCCCTCAGAGGTACAGAAGGTGTCAATCATGGGGCCACACCCCCTCCTTATACGGTCAGATAACTGAGTCAAACTGAACCTGATAGAAAAATTAACATTCGGACGTCAATCAACGAGTCTGGAGAACTTTTATTTGACCCGTGTTTCGATTTTTCAGTTTGACCCATGTCCCATCTGTTTACATGGAGAAGGCGGTCGTGTCGTCCATCTTTAATACAGTCTCTGTGAAGTTCTGAGGGAGTTAATCGGTATTTCTAGCACATCAGATGCTCCGTTCGAGTTACTTTGGAGGTCAGACGTCAAAGATGAAAATGACGTCACCCGCGAGTTACCGGTGTGTCAGAAAAAGTCGGAAAAAAGCAAAATCGGACGCCTGAAAAAAGATGGCTACACCTACGAAAGTTATTTTAGGGATCGTCTTGTCCAAATATAAGGCTAGCGCTAAAATAACTTTCGTAGATGTAGCTATCTTGGTTCCGCTTTCGATTTTGCTTGTTTCCGACTTCGTAACAGAAACCCTGGTAACTCGGGTGTGACGTAATTTTCAACTCGGCCTTCTGACTTCTGAGGTAACTCTAACGCAGCATTAGTCCCTTAAATCTCCGACTAAACGGGCCCTAAAATAAACCCCTCCCTCTGAATCACCGACCAACCTGATCCAGGTCTTAGACTGGACCGGATCCTCCAGCACCAGTTTATCGTCTTGGCGTGAAAAAAAAAAACGTTTTTATTTTGTGATGATAATCCTGAATTCATGCAGGTCACATGACGTCGATAAAACTGATGATGATGACGATGATGATGAGAGCTTTATATGTGTGCGGCAGAGAAACACTATAGATCTATATATACATAGATGCTTTATACATATATATGGACTTCTTTATATTTTGCCTTTTTGATTTCTAATAACGCCACACAAACGTGTCCGTGCGCACACGCAGTCGCAGCCTTTTCACCGAGCGTGGCTTATATTAACACACACACACACACACACACACACACACACACACACACTCATTCAGAGCTTGCACATTTACAGCGAAGTATCCAAGTCAGCTGGTAACGCACACATTTAGCAGCAATAGAAGAAACTCCTGCTGTCCGGTTTTTGGTTTCGCAGTGGCAGCGAATTTTACCCCCAATTTCCACCGCATCCGGAACGGCTACAAAAATTCGGTGTCCTCCGATCGTAGCTGATCGTAACCATTCAAGTTAACGTGTCAATTTACACCGACTTCTTTCCGTTCCTCTGCGGATCGCCGGACTCCTCAGCTGATATCAAGAGTTCTACATTCCACATTTCAACTGTTGTCAGAATCTAGTTTGGGATCATCTGAAGGTCTTCCCCGGAAAAATCTTTGTCTGGATGGACGTAGATGTTCCTCCTAAACCTGGAGATATTGTCTAAAACTGAGGATGCAGCATCTATGATTTCCAAGTCTTCATTGAAAGGACAGTTGGACTTACTTACTTACAAGTAAGTCCAACTGTCCTTTCCGAAAGAGACTTACCCCCAACTTCCACCTTCATCCTGATCGTCTCCTAAAAGGTCGTATCCTCCGATCGTAGCTGATCGTAACCATTCAAGTTAACGTGTCAATTTACACCGACTTCTTTCCGTTCCTCTGCGGATCGCCGGACTCCACAGTCTTTAGAGAGACAACTCGTTATCGCGAGGTTGGGTTCTCGTGATTCCTTCTGTCCGTAATCCGCCATGAAATTCGCCTCAAGAACCAGATCCGGTAGGAATTGGCGGACGGCAAAGATCGGCGCCATTCCGAATGCGGTGGAAATTGTGGTTTAGTGTTGGTTCAGTCCGGAGAGGATGGAGAGGAGGTAAAGGGTTCAGTGAAGGATCGTAGACTCCAAACAGATTCTCCTTAGATGTATTTTTGTTGACGCGTGCACACAGAGAGGAACATTTGCACAACTGAAACTCCTCCCGAAGGTCGAACGTCAGAGTCCTCTCCTCTGAGACTGAAATCACTCTGACTCCGTTCCAATCATGAAGGATCGCTTCTTTACGTTTATATTTATGAATTTTTGGGAAAAAGCACAATCGACGTTCTCCTCTCACCACCAAACCCTCAAACTAAAGGACAGGACCGACGTTTACAGAGTTCGTTTTTCTCATGTTTGAGATCTGAAAACCAAAAAAAGGTACTATGAGTGGATCTGGGGCATCGGTGGATTAAAATACTCTAATCTCTGCCGGAGCAGGAAAGCTGATCTCCACTAAATTAAAGTGAGTACATCTGAAGAATAAAAGCAACTTCACTTTGATTTGAAGCAGCTGGATGAAACTGAACGTTCAGTCTTCTCTTCTTCACCTCGAATTTACCGACAGAAAGACCAAACTAGAAGAGTGTGCGTCTCAGTGTGTGTTTCGTGTGAATTTTGTGCCTCTTCATCGTCTTTTTCGTGTTTGTGTGAAACTTCCAAAGTCGGCCAAGTGCAGTAAGTCCTCATGAAGTCTTTATAAAAGTCGTGGTTGACGATCGGAGAAAAAAACGGAGCTACGACACGCCCCCTCCGACGGAAGATCCTACGCTAGCTTCAAATAGGATTCACCATGTCGGATTGTTAGTGACTAGCGGCGGGAAACGCCAGCTCTGCTAGCGAGCGCCGTCTGCAGCTGCCTGGTCAGCCACGATAAAAGGCGACATTTCCTCTTCGACTCCGCCCTTTCTTCTGTCGGCGTTTGCGTTTTCTTTCCACTTTTGGCGGTGGCGCTCCTGTAGCTAAGCTGCTACGCTACTTTTAGCCGCTCAGAGCTCCGAGGAGGGATTTTTTTTTTTTTTTGTAGAATGGAAGGGCAAAGTCCCGCCTCCTTCGCCTCTGATTGGCTGTGAAACGGCATCACACACTCCGAACGCTGTCGGCTCTGTACGTCGAACAGAACATTATCGCACTTCTGAATCTCCTAACCTTAACCAGAAAGACGATGACGTTTCAGAGCCATAAGGAATGACCAATCAGAGCCCAGCACTCCTGGCCAATCAGAGGCGAAGGGGGCGGGACTTTGCCCTTCCATCCTACAAAAAAAAGTCTGCGGCCAGGAGAGTGGGAGGTGACGACTTGGAACTACGGGAGAGGGGTGTGTCGAATACAGCGGGGGGATTGGATGGAGATCGACCAATAGGAGCCGTCCAGGACGGATGGCTCCCATTGGTCGATATTTTTGCAGCCCTGCACCTGAAAGGGTGATTGGATTTTTTCCGTTCTTTTTTCTCTTCACTTTGTGGAGGTCGCACTATCGGACCATGATCGCCATAGAAACGAGGTTCGTAATAATTACCGATCTCTTCGATCGTCAACCGTGACTTTAACAGCCGTCTCTCTGGGACGGTAAAACGAGGAGAAGATCACAGACGTCTCTCTCTCAAACCCTCTCTGTCCTAAAACTGGACTCATGGTCAGGGTCTTTCTCCCCTGAAGGTCCTGGTCTGTGTTTGATTTCGTCGTGCCTCCGTGTGTCCGTACATTTTAATGTCGCATGTTCCTCTCTCTTATTTAAAACCATCCTCCTGAGATGAAATGTTTCCGTGTGTGTCGAAGGCGGCGGGTGGAAAAGGTTATAAATAAAAATATAAACATCTGTTCGGCTCCGGACGATGGTGCAATAAAACCACAAAGAGAAGAAGAAGCGTTTCTTTGGAGTGATATGAAGTGAATGTTTGATTTCTGCAGTTTTCACGTACACGTGCCTCTTTCTGTGTGAGTATTTAGCCTTTTCTCTCTTCAGCCTTGTGTTTATATTAAATATCTTTGATTTCAATCGGCTTATTTGTCTCGTTCATGTTTGTGGATTTTTGACACTAACGAAAGAGTTCGCTCAAACTGTTCATCTCAAACTTTAAGAACAACAAAAAACACCAACTAGAAACAAAAACACTGAACAAAGTAACGTGTGTGTGGCGTGTGGTGTATTTTGTGGACCCAGAAGCAGACTAAGAGACAGACAGACAGACAGTTAAAAGACGTCATTTTAATGTCCAAACTCAGACACTGTGGAGAAGGAGGTGAGAAGACATGCAAAGAATCACAGGGAGCAAACAAGTCATGAGCACTTATACGCGTCTGTACCACTCAGGAGTGACGACAAAACTCAGGCGCTGAGACTGAGGGTTAGGGTTAAGGTGTGGAGTCTCTCTCAGCCTCAACGACCAGGGGGAGTCCTCTGAAAGACAGTCAAGCCAGACGAGGGACACAAGGAAAACAGGAAGTTCTACCAAAATAAAACCGGAGATGGAGGCGTCTCACCACAATATGTTTGTCAAAAATAAACAGTTTGAGAAGGAACAGAACGGAGCAAAAAGCTGACCTAGTCCTGCCCCTTCACTGCAAATTAGACAGTTCATTTAAGATGAAACGATCCGATAACTCATTAAATTTACCAGCACAAACACGAATCATTTTCAGGAGGATTAAGTTCTTACTTTGTTTGGGCTCGTGAACGTTATTGGAGGAGCAGCGTCTGCCTCACAACCAATCAGGTTAGAGGAGGTGGAGAACGGCTTTGTTTACAGTCAGAAAGAGCGGACCGCTCAAAAATGTTCAAATGTTGACGACACAGACATAAGAGAACACAGAGATATCGATATATTACCAAATGTCATCAATAACTAATAACTATTGACTGATATTAGAAGAGTTTTGTTTATACAAAATAAAAAGATGCTTCTTTAACAGATTCCTGCTTTTCCCCTTTAAAACAGTTTTAAAAGTTTTTGTAAAGCTGTTTTCTAAAAGAGTTAAAGAGTCCGACTGTCTGAAGAGACGGTTTTATTTATTAGAACAGCTTCTTCTGAAACTCTGGTTGACTGATTTCTTGTTGACTGTTTTCTTGTTGACTGTTTTTTGTTGACTGTTTGGGTTTTGACTGTTTCTTGTTGACTGTTTTCTTGTTGACTGTTTGGGTTTTGACTGTTTCTTGTTGACTGTTTTCTTGTTGACTGTTTGGGTTTTGACTGTTTCTTGTTGACTGTTTTCTCGTTGACTGTTTTCTCGCTGACTGTTTTGGTGTTGACTGTTTATTGTTGACTGTTTTCTTGTTGACTGTTTTGGTCAACCAATCAGGTTAGAGGAGGTGGAGAACGGCTTTGTTTACAGTCAGAAAGAGCGGACCGCTCAAAAATGTTCAAATGTTGACGACACAGACATAAGAGAACACAGAGATACCCCTGACTACCCCACCTTTACTAATAAACATAATGAATATTTTAAACATAATAATAATAAATCAGTTAAATCATTTCTGTTCAAAGGCAGACTGGACTTGTTTTTAAAGTTGATAACTTCATGTGGTCTCATCTGTCAGGGATTGTAAACCACAGTTTGTACCCAGGACTGAGTCATTGTATTGATCATGTGTGTATTTGTGTGTGTTTGTGTTGTTGTTGTATGGACATATAGGAAACCCCGACACACTGACCCTTTATCACAGGAGCTGGACTTCCTGTTTGGACCTGAAAGTCCAGCCCCCTTTGGAAAGACTCTCTTATTGAAACAGTGTCGAACATTAACTTGTTTGTTCTTCCTCCGTTTCTGTCCCGTTCAGGGTCTCCTGTCCCAGAATGGAACAGTAATTTCCCGACACACAACCTGACTCATCAGAGAAAATGTTTCATAACGCTGGTTTTGTAATTCTAGTGAATTTCCTGTTCCCCTGTTGTCCTGTTCCTTGTGTTTCCTGTTTTATTTTGTAGGAGTTGACTCCTTGTGTCTCGTCTGTCTCACCTGTGTCTCGTTTACCTGTCTGTATATTTAGTTCCTGTCTTCCCCTCTGTCCTGGTTTGTCGGTCAGTGTGCGTCACTCTTAGTTGTGTGAATCTCTCGTCTCCTCGTGTTTTTTTTCCCCCAGTGTTTTTTGTTTGATTTTTGCCTTTGGGATGTTTCAGCTGAACATTTTAAAGTAAGTTTTTGTTGTTTAAAGTTCTTTTTATTAAATCTTTTTATGTTAAGTCTGCATTTTTGAACCCATGACAAGTCTAAAGGTCTTGATTTGGGTGGTCACCATATTGGAAGTACTGAACCCGACAGACACAAAATAAAACACTCCGTGTTTCAGGAGGATCGTATTTCACACCATGCAAATGGGCGGAGACGAACAAGTGAAAGGTTTTTAGACGTCATTTCACCCCGATGACACCATGGATGAGGAGATGCTGATTCTAGAAGTCTAGAAGTAGATTTCCTCCGCTGGAAGGAAACAATCTACTGCTTATATGTCTATGTGTCTGTCTTTATCGAGACAACTCGTTATCGTGTGACGGGTTCTTGTGAGTTCTTGCGATTCCCGCTGTCTGTAATCCCCCACGAAATTTGCCTCACAAACAGATCTGGTAGGAATTGGCATACGGCAAAGGTCACTGCCGTTCCGGATTGGTGCCGTTCCGGATGCCGAGTAGAGTTGAGTAGATTTTCATAATATCCTCCAAAAAAAGACAAACATCTTATTATAGTCTCACAGGCATTCATGTAAAACCTCATTTCAGTGCCGTTCAGTCTCTGTCCAAGATGCTTCGTTCTTGCTGCACTTCCTCTGACGGGAAGTGAGCTTGGGGTGTTACTTTTTACTGCTTTGCGTTCATGAAATGATCTGAATGTCTGTACAGGGATTATACGTCCATCTGTGTGTCTTTGATGGTTAAACTTTGTCGTGGTTTATTATAGACGTCCAACAGAGTGAAGGACTCAGGCACCCTACTGACGGTGGTCTCCAGTAAACAGACGGTCTCAGATCAGACTGACATTATCTCACACCTTTAAACCTTAAAGTAAATTTTCTCTCAAACTCAGCTGACCCGCTTTTTTTTTTACCAGGTCAGCTGATTACTGGAATCCACGTTTTGGTGTACAAACAAACACAGCCCCTCCCCCGACCTCCATGTTACAGTTCAGGATGAGTCAGCTGACTGTGCGTGTCCATGTTGACCAAACAGGTTAATGATTGATTGATTGATTGATGGCATCATCAGTGGACAGACGCTTGTATCAGACCGTCAGTCACATCCTTCCCTCTCAGAGAATCACGTCCTCCTGTCCTGAACTGTTTTCACTTTGAGGCTGAGGAACCTTTATTTCTTCTTCAGCAGCATTTTGTGACGTTTATCAGGATGAGATCAGCCCCAGTTCCTCTTCTCTTGTTGTTTCTTCTGGTCGTTTCCTCTGAAACGGTGAGTGAACTTTACCTTTTTATTCCTATAACGACAATTGTGTCCCAGATCAAGGGAAGGATCCCCATAAGGCTTGGTCCCTCAGAGGATCCAGCGGTCTACGCTAGTCTTATCTACGAGGGATTCCCAGCTGTTCCCACTCTTGAACATGCATCCACCTCCCTCTGTTGCTTAGAAACAGGAAGCTAACTAGGAATCCTGCTAGCATGTGTGGTATTAAGATACCCATGTTCAGGATATCTTAGTGTCCACTTCTTTGCCTTCAAAGTCCTTTTCTGTAAAGGTAAACAGTCTGCTTTTCTGGACCACTGACACAGAGAGCTCCATTATCAGTACCTTCGTTTATTCAATGTGGGACTTGACAAACAAGGACCGAGTATGCTCATGAAACCAACATGGTACCCCAAGATTTTGGCCGAGTGACCAAAACTCACAGAAACGGCTGAGGAAGTCCATAATGGCCGGAATAAGAGTCTCTTGACAAACTTAAAGTCGGGGTAGTCAGGATCTGAGTTAGTTCTAGTTTTTAGGAGAAATCTTGAAAGTAAACTCTACCCCTCCAACCAGTTTTCCCCTCAAGCCCCGCCCACAAACAGACGCTCCTGCTCGCTCCTATCGTTCCAATTAAATTCCGGTATAATGCAGATAAATACTTCAGATCATTACAAATGGGGCCCAGTCAAGGTGAAAGTCAAAAGCATTGGTGCTACTGTAGATGCCAACAGACTACCAGCAAACACAATGTTTGCAGGACTTCTACAACTAGGATAAAGTCATTTGAGCAGGACACGTATCTGATGAAAATGCTCTGTGACAGTTTCAGCAGAGGTCAAGAGAAGATTTTCAGCGTGATACGTCAGAGGATGAGATCGTCCAGCAGACTCCACAGATACTACAGTTACCGACCTGGCCCCCCCCACCTTCAGTAATCACTCCTGCCCCAACCACAGCTGGAGTACAGGAGGAGGAAGAGGACGAGTACCTGGGTCCAGCTGAGTGTGTGAAGAAGAAGTAAGTGGGTTTTTTTTGTGGCTGGGACAAACTTTTAACCTCTCCTTTAAAAGCTGTATTTATTCTGTTTCTTCTTAGACGAACTTTAACCTCCTGAGCACAGAGTTAAATTCAGCGACCACATACTGTGAACTTTAACCCCAGTTTGTTCTTAAGTCTCTTTTTTATTTAACTTCTCACAGATATACTCGAGCATCATGTGGCCTGGTGTTTTGTCCTCCGTGGGAACGCTGCGTCGATGGACATTGCGCCTGTAAAGCGCCCTACCTGTGTCCTACGGAGAATGTGACGCAAGTTTGTGGGCGGGACCACAGAACCTACCGCTCTTACTGCCAGGTAACAGTCGGGTATCTGCTGCTAATCAGAAGTTGGAAATTTCTAGAACGATCAGCAGCCAAGCATTGCTAAAGTCCTGAAACTGCAGTTCCTCAAGTGTCCTCAAGAGTCCACTTGTCCTTTTTGCCTGTTTCCAGGTCCATCAAAAGTTGTTTTGTCTTACTGAGTTGTCATCCAAGATCAGGAACTATTTGTCAGGGTTGAAAACCTGCTGACAAGAAACACTTCTGTTACAGACACTTGTCTTACTTTGTTAAAGCGGTTTACCTGTCCAGCAGAAAGGTTACAGGGTCACCAAGATCCCCAAGCGTCCCCCATCGTTTATGTTGACCCGGCTTTTTAGCTCTTGTCCGGTCTACCTCCGTTTTAAGCACCCATTATTCCTCCAGAGTCTCCGGTATTTACTTTGTTTTCTTGCTTGTGTCGGCAGTCGTGGCCAAAGGAGGATTCAGACAATTTTCCGAACTTTCTGGTTGGTTTCTACTGTCCGATATTGTAGCATGCTAATTTTGTTTGGGCTCGTGAACATTATTCGTGGAGCATGCTACCTGTGGTACCTACCCTACCTGTGTCCTACTGAGAATGTGACGCAACCACAGAACCTACTGCTCTTACTGCCAGGTAACAGGTATCTACTGCTCCTCTGAAGTGAGAAGTTTCTGGAGCGAAGCCATTGCTGAAGTCCTGAAACTGCAGTTCCTCAAGAGTCCACTTGTCCTTTTTGCCAATTTCCAGGTCCATCCAAAGTTGTTTTGTCTTATCCCAGTTAAACCCCAAACCCCGATGTACCTCACATTTTCATGTTTTTTCTTTTCCAGGCTATGGCGCTATCATGCCGAACCAAGAGACTTGCCATGTCCCACTTTGGAGAAAACTGCGGAGGTTGTCTCTCACAGATACCTTCAGTTTTATGTTTTTTTTTTTGTGGTCCTTTTTGACTCGGTCTTATCGTGAATGTCTCCTTTATATCGCATTGTCTCACCACAGAGGAATATCCAAAGTTTCAAGGTGACGTAGACCAGGACACAGGAGTGGTCCAGGTCTTCATTCCTGACAGAACAGAGGGAAGTCATAGTACGGAGGCTTTACTGGTTTGTAAGAAGATCTGGGACATGGCAGCTGCGAACGTAGCCTGCAGGGAGAGCGGCTTCCCACTGTGAGGAACGATTCATAAATATTAACAAAGAGCATGCAACTTCAGTTTCAGTCCACGCTTCATGACCGATGTGTGACTGTCTGTGTTCATAGAGGTGCAGAGACTGCCGGCTGGGTTTCATACAAGTCCCTACAAACTGGGAGAGAAGACGAGCAGCTCCCAGACAGGTGTGTGAGCATCCGCTGCCAAGGCTACGAGAATTCTCTGGCTGAGTGTCTGATCTACAACAAGGTGAAGATCGGCAACAGGAAAGTGGCAACTGTAACCTGTTATAAGGATTCAACGGCGCCAGGTCAGTATGTGTGGTTTCTATCCCAGTCCTGAAGTTGATCAGGAGATATAACCCATTTATCACCAATCATGACCCAACCCAAGCATCTGCTTCACCTTATTGTGAAGTCTGAGGAGTTTCCAAACAGGACAGGTAACAAGGTACAACCTCTCCGGGGTCAGTACTCCCTCAAACATCGATCAGTTCAACTACAATTTATTACAGTATTAGGGGAAAATCAAGATCTTTGGACTATGGGAGACAGGTGTCTGAGGACCATCCAGGACACTCTCCGTGTGACTATTAAGAAGTAGTATGTGGGTTAGGTTGGCTCGTTCCTGGTCCCTGGTTTATCCAAGGTCAAGGAGATGAAACCAAAAACACTCAGTTCGAAATGATCCACCATTGCTCAGTCCATGATGGACAATAAAGTCAAATCCACGTTCTCTGGTTTCTGGAAAGGGTCACTCAGTACGTTTCCATGACACTCAAGAAAACTGAATTATCGCCTTATTCCGATTAAGACCGAACAACTGAAGGTCATGTAAACACCTTAGTCCGACTATAATCAGAGTTTGAGAACTCTGATTAAGACACCCAGATAATGCGATTGGAATTCAACTTTCTCTACCATGTAACCAGCGTAGTCGAAGTATGATAGGACAATGCATGTGCGCGTGCACCACGCCCCCGTAACCCCGGAACAAAAACACCAGAGAAGAAGTGGCGCTATCATTTAACGAACTTGCGACTCAGAAGAAACTGCAACATGGCTGAGGCACAAAGGGCGTCCACTTTTGGAATGACCAGGAGAGCGCCGGTATGCTTTCCTTCCTGACAGAAATGGACGTTTTAAAGTTTATGGACGGTCACAAAACAAGGAACGGAGACATCTTTTAAAAAAGGTCCGGAAACAGCACCACTGAAAAGACCCATATCGCCCCCTAGTTTTAGGGAGGAGGACACCGTTCACGTCAATAATTCAGTTTTCTCAGCGGCATGTAAACGCAGACAAGGAGAGAAGTCCGATTCAGTGAAAAAAAGGAATAATGAGCTTAGTCCGATTAAACTGTGACAGTAAACATACTGAGTGTTGTCAAATGTGTTTCAGAGAAGGACTGTGGCTTCGAGTGCGCCAACACCAAGTGTGTGTCTCTGAACCAGACCTGTGACGGGGTGGACGACTGTGGCGACCGCAGTGACGAGATGTGCTGCAAAAGTAAACCAGATACCTGCTCGTGATTCGATCTTGTAACCTGGTACTTCAGGTTTTCACAGTGCTGGTGTCTCTGTGTTTGTGTGTCAGAGTGCAGGAACAACAGTTTCCGCTGTAAGTCGGGAGTGTGTGTGCACAAAGAGGCGGTCCACGATGGAAAGATGGACTGTCTGGATGGCGAGGATGAATCCCCGATGACCATCACGAACAGTGAGAAACACAAACATTTCAGCCTCTGCCTGAAACGCTCTGCTTCTCCACTGATGGACAGTTAGGCTCAGCTTAGTGGGTGTTACTTTTTACACAGCTGTGCAGCAAACAAACAACAGGAACGTTACCTTCTAAGGCTAACTATTACCCGGAGATTCCAATGGATCCAGAACGGCTCCGCTCCACTCCGGACCGGCAGGCGGATCAAATCATATAGTGCCGACCGGATCCAAGCCACCGCCACCATCGCAGGAGAAGCGCTTGCGATATTACCTATATTTAACATATCTGGCAAAAAAAGGAAGCCTTGCGTATCTGATCTGGCCACTGAAGCGGATCTGCAGCAGAGCCGGATGGCAGGCATTTGTTTAAAAACCTTTCACGTGCAGAGACGAACAAGTGAAAGTTTTTTAGACGTCATTTCACCCCGATGACACCATGGATGAGGAGAAGCTGATTCTAGAAGTCTAGAAGTAGATTTCCTCCTCTGGAAGAACACAATCTACTGCTTATATGTCTATGTGTCTGTCTTTATAGAGACAACTCATTATCGCGCAATTGCACGTGAATCCGCGGGTTCTTGTGAGTTCTAGCGATTCCTGCTGTCAGTAATCCACCACGAAATTGGCCTCACAAATGGATCCGGTAGGAATTGGCGGACGGTGAAAATCGCTGCCGTTCCGGATTGGAGCCGTTCCGGATGTGGTGAAAATTGGGTGTTATAATCTGGACTCTTTAAGCAGATCATCATCAATAACCTTCCTCTACTCTCATTGGTTAGCTCAGACAGTTTGAAGCCGTCTGTCTGTCAAACTTTGATTTATTTTCACGTATTTCCTCTCCAGAGACCGAGGCTGACAAACTGCTGAACAACACAGGTATGTGTGTCACCGAGGGATAAACAGCCGAGTCTTAAAACCTTTCAGATTAAATTGTTGTCCTCTGTGGTGATAATGGTAATGCTGTCTTTTTCTTCTTTATTTCAGAGTATGAGTCGCCCATGAAAGGTAAGACTAGTCACAGTACATGTTGGTAAAAACCTGGGCCCTACACTGTGAGGCCGCTCAAGATACAAAAGTAGTCCGGATAATTCAAGCTGGTGTAATAAGACCTCTTTGATTGGCGTTGACGCACCAGTTTGGCAATAACCATTGGGTACATATGAAATCACTAATGTTACCATGGAGACTGTGTTCAGAGAAACAAAACCCATCCATGCCAGTAAACAACCAGGCTGTCAGGGTTTGTTTGGACCTCAAATTATATGTCCAGTCCAGCTTCAGCCCAGTAAGGCACCACTGGTTTGTGTTTGCCGGGAGATTAGCATTCACCCGTGTAGGAGGACAAGTCCTAAAGGCAGGGTTGACTTCTTCTGGAAAACCTGAAAGAGAGAAGACCTTTACAACAGCACATCCTGATTTTGGAAGACCATGTCTGTCGATCAGAGATTCCAGAGTAATTCAGGGTTGTAGAAAAACCACCCAGGTGTAATTTCCCCGGAACAGCTGACCGCGGATGAGGGTACAGCCTGTGTGTCCAAGTTCAGGTCATCAAATAACCTCGGTAAATATCACGAGAGCTGTGTGTGACTTTTGAGGAACTCTGTTTGTCCAGAAATAACCACCAGCAGGAAGTACTTGGAGTCCATGGTGTACTGTGGGATTCCCAACGCGACCACAGTGGATGACGTGACGATGGAGGATCGAGGACGGACCAGCCGAGTCAAGAGAGTGGTGGGAGGAGTCGCAGCCAATCCGGTCAGTGAACACACCAGTGTGTCTGTCCCACTGTGGGTGTTTTTGATGGATGTCCTGAGCGTCACTTCGAAGTGTAACCCGTGTGGACCTTGTGTGTTTGTGTGCAGACCCAGATCCAGTGGCAGGTTGCTCTGGACGATTACGAAAAGGCGCATTGTGGGGGCGCATATATCGGGGGTTGCTGGGTACTCACTGCTGCTCACTGCGTGAGGTAAAGCAGAGATGATTCAGGAGTTCAAGTATGAAGTACTGGAGGTTGTACCATTACGACTCAATAAAAGAGCGCCCCCTTTCTTAAGATGGTTGTTATAAAGGTCTCCCACACCTCTCTTTACCAGGCAGAACCCACTGGCATTCAGGGTGAAGTTTTCTCTCTGGAAAAAGTATGAAGCTCAGGGCACCACTGACATCGTCCCCGTTCAGGACATCTACATCCATCCACGGTAGATCTGTATCTGTGGAGCATATAGATCCTGAATGTTCGTGTTGATTGGATGCTAACAGAAACAAAATTCACTGCAGGTACAACGCAAACACATATGAGAACGACATCGCTCTGGTGCAGCTGAAGAAACTTCCTTTTGAGGAAAAGTGTTTCGTGGATAACCCGGCCATCAGCGCCGTCTGTGTCCCCTGGACCGAACACCTGTTTCAGCCCAACCACGTCTGTAGCATCTCAGGGTGGGGGCGGACTGCAGGTGTGTGCATAAACAGACACAACATGTCATTTCTATCCAATCAAAGTGTAGATCTTAGTTTCTGAGGACTTGAGTGATTGGTACAGTGGAATATCATCTGCGTAGTTAGTTAAAATGATTGGTCTGAGCACTGAACCCTGTGGAGCTCCATAACTGACCGGAATGATCATTAAAGGTGGGGTAGTCAGGATCTGACGAAGTGCCAGTTTTTGGGACAACCAGGATAAAGTGACATAGTCCAGGACCCGAGGGAGGACAGTTTAGTGATGGCGCTACAACACGCTACAGCAGGTCCGTTTGACAAGAAACACTTCTGTTACAGACACTTGTCTTACTTTGTTAAAGCGGTTTACCTGTCCAGCAGAAAGGTTACAGGGTCACCAAGATCCCCAAGCGTCCCCCATCGTTTATGTTGACCCGGCTTTTTAGCTCTTGTCCGGTCTACCTCCGTTTTAAGCGCCCGTTATTCCTCCAGAGTCTCCGGTATTTACTTTGTTTTCTTGCTTGTGTCGGCAGTCGTGGCCAAAGGAGGATTCAGACAATTTTCCGAACTTTCTGGTTGGTTTCTACTGTCTGATATTGTAGCACGCTAACTTTGTTTGGGCTCCTGAACGACACGGGGGAGCAGCGTCTGCCTCACAACCAATCAGGTTAGAGGAGGTGGAGAACGGCTTTGTTTACAGTCAGAAAGAGCGGACCGCTCAAAAATGTTCAAATGTTGACGACACAAGAGAACACAGAGATATCGATATATTACCAAATGTCATCAATAACTAATAACTATTGACTGATATTAAAGGACTTGTTGTAAATACACCACAAAAACAGACGCTTCTTTAACGGAATCCTGCCTACCCCACCTTTAAACCAAGATAAAGTGATGCTAATTAACACTGAGACATTATGATGTTGGTCCTTCATTATGATTCTGACCCCGATAATTACGTTGCCGACAGAGGGCCGAGCTGCAAAGGTGCTGCTGTGGGCCAACGTCTCGCTCATTGGTCAGTGTGAACGTTTCTACGGAGACCGCTTCAGACCGGGCATGATGTGTGCAGGTGAGTGACCCTCACAGACCCTCAGGCTGGTTTACAGACCCTCTACCCGGATCCTAATGTCAGTCCGTGTGTATTTGCAGGTGACCTGGAGGGCGACGTGGACTCGTGTCAGGGGGACAGCGGGGGTCCTCTGGTCTGTCAGGATGAACTCGGGGTTTCTTACCTGTGGGGCATCGTCAGCTGGGGAGAGAGGTGTGGTCAGCCGGGGTTTCCTGGAGTTTATACTCAGGTGAGATAACCACAGGTGGAAAGAACTAGAAGAGGTCGGCGAGATCGCGCTTCCTTAAAAGACCTTAACCAGATCCTAATTATATTTATTAGATTACAAACATGTTACCTGTTTTTACACCTGAATGAACCTCTGTTTGACGATAACACGTCTCTTAATGAGTTACACTGACACAGAATAACATCCCATCTCCGATATCGGCACTTTTTTGACCTTAATTCTCCGTTTTTCTTGCAGGTGGCTCACTACTTCGACTGGATCAGACATAACACCGGCTGGCCTGCAGTCACCAAGTTTAACTCCTGATCAGATTTCTAAAAGTTTCAAACAGATTTTTGTCCCTGAAAGAGTTTTAAATGTCTGATAATCAATTTTTGTTCCAGTGAATGATAAAAGCTCATTGGTGCAGCTCTACCATCAGAATCACAATGTTTTTGTAGGCTTTTATTTGTTTGTTTTAAAAAGAAATAAATATTCCTGAAGGACCAGAGAGCATCTTTGGAAGAACGAGAGCGTGGAGCGTTTTGGACTTTTTATTGTCTGTTGTCAAAAGTCCTAAAAAATGTAAGAAATCAATAACTCTATAAACAAAATGTGCAAATAAGGAACAAAATTATCACATTAAAAAGGGGAATCATCAGGGGGAGTTCTGAGGCTGGTTCTGATCCGAGGGCGGCAGTATGATGCTCCTCAACCTCCCGAGATCCGCCTCCACCTGCACACAGAAGACGTCCGTTAGAGGTCAGGTCTGCAGGTTTAAAACGCCACGATAAATATCCGACAGTAACGCACCCTTCAGTCGGTGCGTTTTCATGCACAGTTTAATCGGATTAAGTTCTGCTCCTCTTCTCTGGTGTTATTGTTCTGGGGTTACTGGGGCGTGGCGCACAAGCACATGCACTGTCCGATCATACTCCGACTACGCTGGTTACATGGTAGAGAAAATCGAATTCCAATCACATTATCTGGGTGTTTAATCAAAGTTCTCAAACTCCGATTACAGTCGGACTAAGATGTTTACATGACCTTCAGTTGTCCGGTCTTTATCGGAATAAGGCAATAAATCGGTTTTCTCGACTGTCATGGAAACAGACTGACTGAAGGCAGCGGTGCAGAATGTTGTGACCTATTAAAAGGGCGCATTAAACAGAGAGTTAAATGCGCCCACTTTAACAGGTCACTGAACTCTTCGTGTGAAGCCTTTCTACAGTCGGAGTAATCCTCCAAACATCCTCCGAGGCTTTGGTGCGCTTTAGTTGCAACTTTTCGGTGCAATTTATATTGTGCAAAAGAGTTGAGATGGCGCAAGTGCTCGACAAATAAAATATTCAAATCAGTGATGGAGGATTTTTTAAGTAGTTTCAAACTAATCTGACTAAATCTGAGCAGGATTAAAGTGACAAAGAAAAACTAAAGAAAATACAAAAGCGCATTAACCAGAGAGTTAAATGCGCCCACTTTAGCAGGTCATTAAACTCTCGTCGTGCGCAGCCTTTCTGCAGTCGGGGTAACCTGCTGAACATCTGCACCACCTCAGGAGGTTTTAATGCGCTTTAGTCACAACTTTTCGGTGCGATTTATATTGTGCAAAAGAGTTGAGACGGCGCAAGTGCTGAACAAAATAAATCATTCAAAATAGTGATGTAGGACTTTTTAGGTAGTTTCCAAATCATCCGACTAAATCTGAGCAGGATTTAAGTGACACATAAAAAAAACAAAAGAAAAGATAAAAGCGCAGTAAAATAACAGTTAAATGCGCCCACTTTAACAAGTCATTGAACTCTTGTTGTGTGAGGACTGTCAACAGTCGGGGTAATCCGCCGACCATCTGCACCACCCCGGGAGGCTTTAGTGCACTTTAGTCACAACTTTTTGGTGCAATTTATTGTGCAAAAGAGTTGAGACGGCGCAAGTGCTCGACAAATAAATCATTCAAAATAGTGATGTAGGACTTTTCAGGTAGTTTCCAAATTATCCATGTGTGACTAATGACTGTTGGTTAAAATGGTTTAACGTCTTTTAAGTAATGCATAGTTGTAAATCTGGACCCTGCTGTGTGCTGGGCCGACGTTATGAGTGTTGGCGTGTTTGTCACCTTTGCCAGCTCGGTTCTGAGCTCGTTGTATTTTTGGACGTTGAATTTCTGGTGGGACGCTGAACGGTGGAAGAAATGAAGGAACTGACGGTCCCGGGCCTTTGGATAGATAAAGTCCTGCAAACAGACGTATAAACAGATGGAGTATCAGAGTAACCAGGTGTAGCTATGCTGCTTTTCTGAACCGGGTCAGAACCTGTTTTTAAAGACACTGGTTAACTCGAGTATCTCCAGGACTCCTACCTGTCTGGTCAGGATGTAGTAGCTCAAGAAGATCATGCTGGTGGCATAGGTGATGAAGTAGGTGACCGGCTCCATGACGTCCCATGGGAACACAAACCTTCACAAACACAAACACACACGTTTGAACCCGAGCTCAGTACTGGGCAAAGCCGCCCCACATCATTGGCTGGTTCAGGATTCCAGGATAGGTGGGTGCATTTATGAATAAAAAAAACACCTAACCCTAAAAAAATTCTAACCAAATTTTTGGATTTCTCTTTTTATCACTCTGTAAATGACAAAATACTGTCGTTCGTTTTCTTCTGTTTATCCAGCGCCGGGTCACAGGGGCAGCAGCTTCAGGAGGGAAGCCCAGACGGCCCTCACCCCAGCCACTTCCACCAGCTCCTCCTCCGGGGGGATTCCCAAGCGCTCCAAGGCCAGGTGAGAGATATAATCCCTCCACCTGGTCCTGGGCCGACCACGAGGTCTCCTCCCGGTGGGACATGTCTGGAACACCTCTAACAGGAGGCGTCCAGAAGGCGTCCTAACCTGATGCCCGAGCCACCTCAGCTGACTTCTCTGGACGTGGAGGAGCAGCGGTTCTCCTCTGAGCGCCTCCCGAGTGTCCGAGCTCCTTACCCTATCTCTAAGGCTGAGCCCGGACACCCTGAGGAGGAAACCCATTTCAGCCGCTTGTATCTGCGATCTTGTTCTTTCGGTCATTACCCAAAGTTCATGACCATAGATGAGGGTCGGCACGTAGATCGACCGGTAAATCCAGAGTCTCTCCTTACGGCTCAGCTCTTTCTTCACCACCACTGATCGGTTAAACGTCCGCATCACTGCTGACGCCGCTCCGATCCGCCTGTCGATCTCCCGCTCCAGCCTACCCTCACTCGTGAACAAGATCCTGAGATACTTGAGCTCCTCCACTTGAGGCAGGACCTTCCCTCTGACCCGGCGAAGGTAATCTAGTTGAGAAAAAGTCTTTGGGACCAAACTTACCAGGTGAGATAAGCCAGGAATCCACCCTGAAAGGACAGGTAGGCAAGCCCCACCCACCCGAGAACAGATGTTTTAGCGTCCGCCTCCTTCGCCATCTCCATTCTCGCCTACAAACACAAACATACTCCTTTAACAACGGCTCTGTTACCGTCACTTTGCGTTCTCGCAGTAATTTACTGTAAATGGTCATTTTCGTGGTCGTACCTTCTCCAGCGGCTGCAGCTGCTGTCGGAGCGTTTCCTGTCGGGTCAGCAGCTCTCTGTGTTGGATGAGCTGCTGCTGAGGAAGATTCAGAGCCGAGTGAAGAAGGCGGACCACGTACTTCATATCGTCGACGCCCAGGACGTGTTCGTGAGACGACTCTGATGGACACAGACCCACAGGTTTACGGTGGACTGAACCAGCGAACACTTCATGGACTGATGCTGAAATATTTACTCCTCCAGGCTGCATGAAAAAAGACGCTTTTACCTTGACCAAGTGAGCGAACGTTGTGTGTGACGTCGTTGATGACCAGCTGGAAATCTTTATTTAAAACCGTTTCCATGAACGTGCAGGACGAGATTCTCTGTCCGTCTGCAGGAGATAAGAGAGTCCTGATAATGTCTCAGAGGAAGGGGTTACGTGTTTCAGGTCACGTGACCTTACCTCCGTTCAGCAGACTGGTCGTGTGGACCCCGGGGTCTTTGGCTGTGATGTTTTGCAGGAGGTCACCCACCGTGGTCAACATTGGCGTCAGAGTGAAACGACACTGCTGACCTGCGGGGAGGCGCAGAGAGAGGACGGGGCGACCGAAGCTGTAATGTAGGTAGGCATCTAAAAAGAGAGAGAGAGAGAGAGACAGAGAGGAGGGGTCAAAGGTCACATCCCATGGTCATGTGACTCACAAGTGTAGACGGTAGATGTTTGAGTGAAAGTGAGTTTACCTTTGGATGGAGGCTGGCTGCTGTAACTGGAAACCAGTCCTGAAGACCAGACTGAACTGGGCTGGAGGAGAAAGAGAGAAGACTTGGTCAGCAAGTCTTTGTTTCAGTCATATGATGTTAAAGGGATATTCCGGCGTAAAATTTAGGGTCAAACGCACCGTAACACCAAGTTTTTATTGAGCCGAATTAATAATAAAATCGTAATTTTGTTAATAGGTATGGATTTATGTGCTGTTGAGTTAGTATGTTTGAACAAGAGCACAGTAAATTTAAATCAGCTAATTTTCCGATGAGGTTCTGTTACTAAACGGAGCTACACCATGTTCTACTCAGGTTAGTACATATAGGGTCCCAGCCATAGTACTAGACACCAAACATCTTTTTAACTTTGACTCATTTCTTTAGCAAAGAGACTAAACACAACTCACCTACCCTCTTCCAGCAGACGCTTGTTTGTAGCGAGACCTCAGGCCAGTCCATTACGGACTACAGTGGGGTGCCGCAGCTCAAGGAAGAACATTTATGATCATTTCTTCATTTCCTTGAAGTAATAATCACCATCACTTTTCTCTGTAGACGCGTTAGTTCTTCTGCCTTAAGGTCTTAAGGGAGAAACATTTATATTCTGTGTCATTAATTTTTTAAAGTTTGTCCACAGCTCCATAAGGAGGCAGGATTTATGACCTATACTGCAGCCACCAGAGGGCGCTGTTCTTGGAGTGGCTTCACCCAGAGAGGAGGCAGACGGCGTCTATTCTATACAGTCTATAATCTGATTGCATTTCCATGAAGAAGTTATCTTAAGCGTTCTTCCTTGAGCTGTGGCACCCCGCTGTAGTCTGTAATGGACTGGCCTGAGGTCTCTCTACAAACAAGCGTCTGCTGGAAGAGAGTAGGTGAGTTGTGTTTAGTCTCTTTGCTAAAGTTAAAAAGATGTTTGGTGTCTAGTACTATGGCTGTGACCCTATATGTACTAACCTGAGTAGAACATGATTCTGTTCAGTAACAGAACCTCATTGGAAAATTCGCTAATTTAACTTTACTGTGCTCTTATTCAAATATATTAACTCAACAGCACATAAATCCATACCTGTTAACAAAATCATGTGTTTATTGATAATTCGGCTCAATAAAAACACCTTTGTTTGAGGTTTGTTTATGGCTCCTCAGACCGCTGTGTATTGCTATCGTGCGGTTGTTACTAAAGTTGGTATAACTAGAGAAGCAAGCGGTCGGCAACATTCATCTCTGGAGGGGAGGTCTAACTCGGTGTTACATTTTGTTTGACCCCTAAATTAATTTTACGCCAGAATATCCCTTTAAAGAGGCGGGAGAGCAGCGAACGCTGAAACGAACGGTCTTCTCCACCAAAGAGGTGTGGTCACAGAGATACCAGAGCAGAGAGAGAGGAGTTGAGAAATACTGAGAAAAAGTTGGAGGACGGACAAAAAGAGATTTACAGCTGCACGCCATCACACCCGACACAGACGCACATTCCTGTCTGTAACTGAGAGCAGAGTCAGTAAAAACTGTAGATTTCTGCTGCAAACCCAGAGGACCGGGAGAACTTTGAACAACAACAACAGAGGGAGTTTGGTTCCTGTGTCTGTTGTGATGCCGGTGCAGCTGTTTTAGTTCCTGCCCAGTTTGAACCCACAGACAGAGGATATTTGGTTCACAGCAAACATGATTCAGCTGAACTATTCAATCCTGTAACAAAAGCAGCTTCCCCCTTTTTTCTTAAACTTACCGGATAGATCCGCAGTCTGACACATCCGGGACTGAACCTGCAGAGAAATCTGGAGACCAACATGCTGAACTGAAGGAGAAGAAGAGAGGAACTGGAGCGTCTGTAAACTGTGCTGAAATAAAAAAACCCAGCAGAAACCTCGGGGCTAAAAGTTTGAAATGTTTGAGAGGCGAGTAGGAACAGGTTTTAGGGCAGGAGGGTTAACCCTTCCCTGACTCGCTCAGATCAGATTTCATGTGGAAACACTTTGTGCTCAGGCAGGAAACCGTCCCCAGACAGGAAGAGACTTTTCCCCGTAAATGAGTCATGGAGCGTCTTTTATCGGCTAATACAATGAACACTGAACCCTTAAAAAAAAGGTCTTTGTCTGTTTGATGCCAGACTTGTTTTAAACAGCCTGACTTATTCACGTGACGTTTAAGATTGTGTTCGATTTAAATCTTCAAACGGTTCAAAAGAACGATCAGATCAGATCCTGTAAAACAAACGAAAACACGATAACATCGGCGAGCGTCAGCCCACGCTGAAATAAGCATCACTCTGTACTCATAAAAACAAAGACAACGTTTGTAGTTCACATGAATACAGAAATGATCCAGAACTGCCTCTGTTCCAGGCTGTAAACATCTTTATTTCTGCTGTGATGTTTTAACATGGGGCTCCATGGGGACAGACTGACTGAAGGACACAACCTCTAGTGGACACTGATGGAACTGCGGCTTTTGGGACATCATGATCACCCCCACAGTACAAGGTTACCTTCCTGATGTTGAATGTAATATTCCCATTGATTAATTAATTATATATAATTATATTAAAATAATACATAATAAAGTATAATAATGTATATATATATATAATCTAAAATATATACATGATATTTATGTATATTTATATATATATATTGTACAATTTATATATATCTTGCATTTATTTTTATATATCATGCATTTATATATAAATATATGTATATATAAATATATATATACATATATATATATATTTATATATACATATATGTATATATAAATATATATACATATATGTATATATATTTATATATCTATATATATATATATATTTATATCTAAATATCTAAATATACATATATATTTATTTATATACATATATATATATATATATATACACACACACAATATAACCATATACATAATTATAATAATTGTATTTTTGTATCATTAACTTTTTTGTTGAGAAAATCTTGACGTTCGTATTTTTCTATCTTTGTGACCGCACCATCAGATCAGTTTGTTGTGACCTCGGCTGAGAAGCAGAGCCCAAATCCACCTCCTCATGCCTCGCCGAGAAGCCCAGGATCTGGTCTGGACCTGCTGGGTCTGGTCTGGACCTGCTGGGTCTGGTTAACCCTGATGAAAGCTCAAAGATGAAGAAAGAAGAAAAGCCTGGAGGCTGAGACAGGATTCCCCCACAGAGGTAATCTGAGTTTATTTGATGACAGAAATCGTGAGGTTTCAATCTAGACCATCTTAGCTTAGCATGCTAACAAGCTAGCTTTAGGAAAGTTAAATTTCCTTCATCGTAATAATTTATCCTGACGTGTGTTTGACTTCGACCTCTGGGCTAATGATCCACCCAGAGAGACAAACTCTAATCTTCATCTCCTGCACTGGTGGGGCCTGAGGAGAAAATCTGGTTATCAAAGTAAGATTCATCCTCAGGGGATCATGATTGTGTTACCACTTTACGCACAAACACTCCACATAAATACTGTACATTATCTAAAAATATAACACATGCACCTCGGAGATAAAGGTCAATATTACAGATGTGATCTCTTCGATGACTAACAGCTGCATCATCAAATAAAAATACAGTTAAACACCATTTATGAAGGTTCACGTCATCAGATTTCGTATTTCTGAAGTTTCAGACTTCTCCTGAAGCTTTCTCAGTTCCTCGTCAGATCTGCAGTAATTCCATCATCTGTCCTCAGTCTGTACAGAGTCTTCATGAACCTCCTCAATCTCATAATCCATCCGACCCTCACTCATGAGCAAGACTCTGAGATACTTGAACCCCGTCCTCACCCAGAGGGGGTCAAACCATCGTTTTCTGGCTGAGAACCCCGGGCTCGGACTTGGAGGTGCTGACCCACTTTCACTTGGCAAACCCGCCTTGGAGAAGCCAACAGAACCACATCATCTGCAGACAGCAAAGATGAGATCCAGAAGGCCCGGGATCAGTAACCCTCCTCCCTCTGGCCGGACCCCAAGATCCTGTTTTTTTTGGACGAGTCTTGGATTAGTTGGTGTTGGTGACTTTGGGGTTTGAAGATAAGTCCAAGGTTTTACAGACTTCTGGTTCTCTTCGACTTTCCAGAATCTGAAACAAAAAAGACCATTAGATGTCTTACAGATTATAAAACATAAAAATCCAGGGAAAGACGCTCTGTTACCCGGGATTTCCACCGCATCCAGAACGACCCTGACTTGGAACGGCCGCAATTTTTGCCGTACGCCAATTCCTACCAGATCCGTTTGTGAGGCGAATTTCGTGGCGGATTACAGACAGTGAGAAACGCGAGAACCCACAAGAACCTTCACGTGCAATCGTGCGATAACGAGTTGTCTCTTTAAAGACGGACACATAGACATATAAGCAGTAGATTGTGTCCTTCCAGAGGAGGAAATCTACTTCTAGACTTCTAGAATCAGCATCTCCTCATCCATGGCGATCCTCAGAGGAACGGAAAGAAGTCGGTGTAAATTGACACGTTAACTTGAATGTTTACGATCAGCTACGATCGGAGGATACGACCTTTTAGGAGACGATCAGGATGAAGGTGGAAACTGGGGGTGGAAATACTCTAAGAAGGATGTCGTTCTTCACTCACCTCTCTGCGATTTTTCTGGTCGATTTCACCCTGGAAGGAAGAGGACACCACGGGTAAAGAAAACAGAGAAAATCAAGAACGGTCTTTTCTGATGTGAACTAAAGACACGAAAGCGCCGACACTCCTCACCTCAGCGGTTCAGCCGACAGTGTGAACCGTCTTGTTCCTCATGGAGCCGTTTTGAGTCCAGCAGCTGGTTCTCACTCAAGTCCAGCTCTTTCAGAGTGAAGGGGTTGGACTTCAGAGCAGATGATAAATAAACACAACTCAACTCTGACAGGGCGCAGAAACTCAATCTAAAAAAACAGAGAAAAGAAAAACCGAGTATCACTGACCGTGTCCGACAAATCCAGAACCAGTGATACCGGATCGACAGGGACCAAAACAAACTCACCTCAGAGTCTCCAGACCACACTGCGGACTCTCAAGTCCAACAGACAGCAGCTTCACTCCTGAATCCTCCAACTGGTTAAAACTCAGGTCCAGTTCTCTTAAACTGGAGGTTTTGGACCTCAGGACCAGGGCCAGAGAAGAACAGCTGCTTCCTGATAAACCACAGTGCCTCAGACTAAAAAGAGAGGAAGGCAGCGTTAGCATCACAAAGTTCAGATGAAGTTAAATCAGCCTAGATCAGGGGTGGGCAACTGTGTGCCATGGAGGACCGAGAGGCTGCAGGTTCTGTCCAACCCAAAACTCCACCAGGTGAGTTCACTGATCAGTAAAATCACCTCAGCCTCTCGGTCCTCCATGGCACATGGTTGCCCACCCCTGATCTAGATTAAGACTTTATATCAACCGTGCAAGAGTATCTTACCTGAGAGTCTCCAGTCTGCAGTTTGGACTCTCCAGTCCAACAGAGAGGAACTTCACTCCTGAATCCTGCAGCTTGTTGTTGCTTAAGTCCAGCTGTCTTAGGGGGCAGGTCTTGGACTTCAAAGCTGAGGCCAGAGAAACGCAGCTGTCCTCCGATAACCAGCAGTCCGATAATCTAAACGAAGAGAGAGACTTGAACATGCGGATCATGTCGACAAAAGTAAAAACCAGAATCTGTTCCGGTCGTCTGTCAGACCTGAGGGTCTCCAAGCGACAATGTGGGCTCTCCAGACCAGCAGACAGCAGCTTCACTCCTGAATCCTGCAGCTTGTTGGTACTCAGATCCAGTTCTGTCAGATGGGACGGGTTACACTTCAGAGCCGAGGCCAAGACCTCACAGTGGGGGTCAAAGAGTCGACCGCAGCAGACCCTGCAGAGGAAGTCTGATTACTGGACCAAATCTTCAGTGTGACCTTCTCCACAGCTGGATCTCCACCGAGGAGATCTTCAAAATATCTACATCTCCACTGTCAAAGAAACACCAAACACTGATCTGACTGAGTCTACAGGATGGAGCTACACCCACTACAGTCAGAAGATTCACCTCCCACCTCCACCCACCTCCTCCATCTGTTCCTGCTGTCTGATTTTGTTCTTACCCAAGCTGCTGACCTCCAGTGCTTCTTCTCTACACAGGAATCAAGATGTTCCTCAAAGTCCATCTGGGCCTACTCTGAGAGTCTACGGTATGATCTGCATAAGTTCTGGTCCTGGACTCACCGAGCCTTTCTGCAGTTCCTCACAGCTGGGATCAGTCGCAGCCGCCCCTCCTCCGATGTCCTGTAGACCTTCATGTCCAGCTCTTCCACGACCTCCTCGGACATCTTCAGCATGTAGGCCAGAGCAGAGCAGAGGATCTCAGAGAGTTTGGTCTGGGATCGGTTCTCTGACTTCAGGAACTCTTGGATCTCCTGATGGACTGAGCAGTCGTTCATCTCCACCAGACAGTGGAAGATGTTGATGCCTCTTTCTGGAGAGATGTTGTAGGTGCTCATCTGCTTCAGACTGTTGATAACTTCGTGGATGGTTCCCTGATGGTCCTCCACTGGATTTAAAACATCTCCTAAGAGTCTCTGGTTGGATTTGAGCGACAGACCGTGGAGGAAACGGACAAACAAGTCCAAGTGTCCATTTTTGCTCTTCAGGGATTTTTCCATGGCACTTCTGAGGAACACATCTAAAGAGGGGTCACAGACACGAAAAGGACCCCAGGCTTTCCCCAGAAATGACTCAAGTGTCTTCATGACCCTGTTGGTGTGACAGTGGAACATGTAGACCGCGGCGAGGAACTCCTGAACGCTCAGATGAACGAAACAGTAAACAGTTTTCTGGAAGATCACACTCTCTCTTCTGAAGATCTCTGTACAAACTCCTGAGTACACCGAGGCCTCTGAGACATCCAGACCACACCGCTCCAGGTCTTCTTGGTAGAACATGATGTCTCCTTTCTCCAGATGTTCAAAGGCCAGCCTCCCCAGCTTCAGGAGGACTTCACTGTCAGCCTCAGTCAGCTCCTGAGGACTTGTCTCATGTCCTCCTTCATACTTCTGCTTCTTCCTCTTAGTCTGGACCAGCAGGAAGTGTGAGTACATGTCAGTCAGGGTCTTGGGCAGCTCTCCTCTCTGCTCTCTGCTCATCATGTCCTCCAGAACTGTCGCAGTGATCCAGCAGAAGACCGGGATCTGACACATGATGTGGAGGCTCCTGGAGGACTTGATGTGTGAGATGATTCTTCTGGACAGATCTTCATCTCTGAACCTCTTCCTGAAGTACTCGTCCTTCTGGGCGTCAGTGAAGCCTCGTACTTCTGTTACCCTGTCCACACGAGAAGGAGGGATCTGATTGGCTGCTGCAGGTCGAGAAGTTATCCAGATGAGAGCTGAGGGGAGCAGGTTCCCCTTGATGAGGTTTGTTAACAGAACGTTCAGTGAAGACGTCTGTGTGACGTCAGACACCACCTCAGAGTCTGTGAAATCCAGAGACAGTCTGCTTTCATCCAGACCGTCAAAGATGAACAGAAGTTTACAGACAGCCAGCGTCTCTGCTGTGACCTTCTCTAGTGTTGGATGGAAAACATGGAGCAGACTCAGAAGACTGAAGCGCTCATCTCTGATCAGGTTCAGCTCCCTGAATGAAAGCAGGACCACCAGATGGAGGTCTTGGTTCTCCAAACCCTCTGCCCAGTCCAGAGTGAACTTCTGCACTGAGAAGGTTTTTCCAACACCAGCCACGCCGTTGGTCAGAACCACTCTGATGACCTTCTTCTGTTGGTCAGGTAAGGTTTGAAAGATCTCATGACACCTGATGGGCGTGTCATGGAGGGTCTCCATCTTTGAAGCTGTCTCCAGCTGTCTCACCTCATGTTGGGTGTTCACCTCTTCACTCAGTCCCTCTGTGATGTAGAGCTCAGTGAAGATCCTGTTGAGGAGGGTCTTCCTCCCTCTTTCATCGGACCCTTCAGCTGCACATTCACATTTCCTCCTTAGACCCTCCTTATAGGCGTGAAGCTCCGCTGGTTGACCTGAAGTCCACGAAGAAAAAAGACAACAGAAAAATGAAAGAGGTTAAACAAAATTCAAGAATAACCTCCGACCTCCACCTTCATCCTGATCGTCTCCTAAAAGGTCGTATCCTACGATCGTAGCTGATCGTAACCATTCAAGTTAACGTGTCGATTTACACCGACTTCTTTCCGTTCCTCTGAGGATCGTCGGACTATTTTTTCCGAACGCCGGAGCATGGCGGATGAAGGCTAATAATAGCCTCAATCGTCTTCTTCTGTACGATGACGATGTTTGTTTGCGACTCTCGGATCAGAGTCACCTGAGGTCTCAGTCAGCAGAGTCTGGGAGGTTATCTGAGGAGCTCACCTGTCCAGGTGGTTTCTGCTGACTCCAGAGACCGTTATCTCTGATCTTTGACCCTCATCGTTGAGACTTTTCTTCGTCTGTGGAAAAGTTTGTCCTCCGAGACCTTTTAGAAAATAGACGGACCCACTTTTTTTAACTTTGGTTAGAACCTCCGTGACCCGGTTCTTCAGGTTCTGATTCTGAGGAAACAAGATCCTGAACTAACATACCTGCGTTCGTAGTTCTTGTTCTCCTTTTTATCTTACTGTCCCGTCAAAACCCAACACCAGTCCGAGAACTACGTCTCAGATCTTTGATTGTCACCCGTCTACAAAGTCAGTAGTCCGCACCTCTAAAGGTCCTGGTGTTCAAAACCAGGACCGGGGACCTACATTCAGTCTTACCTCTGATGGTTCTGGTCTGACTGTGGGTTTGCCGGTCACATCCAGTTCTGTCTTGGGTTTTTGTTGAACCGGACTGGTTCTGGCACGAGTTCCTAAGACGTCCATAACTGGTCGTGGTTGAGTTCAGACTTGGGCGACGGCGGTTCTGCAGGCCCTCTTTGAACCTGGTCCTCACACTGTGGACATGAAGAGGACTTTAGAAACCATCACAGGATTTAGATGATCATCAGGGTCAGAATTAGAGGTTGAAAACTGGATCTTTGGAAATTCGGTTTGACTCTGGTTTGGTTCAACATTTATGTGAAAACCCTCAGAACAGGTGGACTCTGAACCTGTTAAATCCTGAACCTGTACTGTCCCCGCAGGTGTAAACATGTTATTTCCATGTTACTGTCTAACAGACCGTTCAGAAACAGGGTTTCACTTCAGTTTGACAGATTGAAACTGAAAACTGAAACTTTCTGCGGAAATAGACGGTCTCCAGGGCTCGACACGAACTGAAAAAGTGAGGAGCACAAAGAACTTTAGAGGATCAATGAAAACTGATCAATAATGTTTGTCTTATTGATCGACCTTAGTACTATCATTATAAATCAATTTTAGGTCTTTTGGTCACATGACAGTGAAGCTATTGAAGAAAACAGCCTTTTCTGAGAACATCAACCGGTACTTTATTGACGGTCCCTTATTCAACACCGACGTTGACAGTGAGGGTGTCGAGTAGATTTAACCGCGCTGCTGTTGTTATTCCCGGTTATGGAGAGTGAGAAGACACCGGTAGATCCTCAGAGAATGTCCGTCAGATATCCAACCTGAAACTAACTTCACCGCCGTATTTACAGGAAAATATATCCAACCTGAAACTAACTTCACCGCCGTATTTACAGGAAAATATATCCAACCTAAAACTAACTTCACCGCCGTATTTACAGGAAAATATATCCAACCTAAAACTAACTTCACCGCCATATTTACAGGAAATATATCCAACCTGAAACTAACTTCACCGCTGTATTTACAGGAAAATATATCCAACCTGGAACTAACTTCACCGCCGTATTTACAGGAAAATATATCCAACCTAAAACTAACTTCACCGCCGTATTTACAGGAAAATATATACAACCTAAAACTAACTTCACCGCCATATTTACAGGAAATATATCCAACCTGAAACTAACTTCACCGCCGTATTTACAGGAAAATAAATCCAACCTGAAACTAACTTCACAGCCATATTTACAGGAAAATATATCCAACCTAAAACTAACTTCACCGCCGTATTTACAGGAAAATATATCCAACCTGAAACTAACTTCACCGCCGTATTTACAGGAAAATATATCCAACCTGAAACTAACTTCACCGCCGTATTTACAGAAAAATATATCCAACCCGAAACTAACTTCACCGCCGTATTTACAGGAAAATATATCCAACCTGAAACTAACTTCACCGCCGTATTTACAGGAAAATATATCCAACCTAAAACTAACTTCACCGCCGTATTTACAGGAAAATATATCCAACCTGAAACTAACTTCACCGCCGTATATACAGGAAAATAAATCCAACCTGAAACTAACTTCACAGCCATATTTACAGGAAAATATATCCAACCTGAAACTAACTTCACTGCTGTATTTACAGGAAAATATATCCAACCTGAAACTAACTTCACCGCCGTATATACAGGAAAATAAATCCAACCTTAAACTAACTTCACAGCCATATTTACAGGAAAATATATCCAACCTGAAACTAACTTCACCGCCGTATATACAGGAAAATAAATCCAACCTGAAACTAACTTCACAGCCATATTTACAGGAAAATATATCCAACCTGAAACTAACTTCACTGCTGTATTTACAGGAAAATATATCCAACCTGAAACTAACTTCACCGCCGTATATACAGGAAAATATATCTAACCTAAAACTAACTTCACCGCCGTAGTTACAGGAAAATATATCCAACCTGAAACTAACTTCACCGTCGTATTTACAGGAAAATATATCCAACCTGAAACTAAATTCACAGCCATATTTACAGGAAAATATATCCAACCTGAAACTAACTTCACTGCTGTATTTACAGGAAAATATATCCAACCTGAAACTAACTTCACCGCCGTATATACAGGAAAATATATCCAACCTGAAACTAACTTCACCGCCGTATTTACAGGAAAATATATCCAACCTAAAACTAACTTCACCGCTGTATTTACAGGAGAAAAAAAAAATTGTTGATTTTTTTTATTCGTGACCCTAAATATATTTTACACACATCTATTTTTAGTCGTTAATGCGAGTGAAACGGTCACACTGTGGAGCCCCGATCTCTACGTTCTCGTGCAGATTCTGGATCTGTTTGCCTTCTGCTTGTACGTCAGCACTTCTTTAAATATTATTATTATAAACAGCAGCTAAACTTTTTTAGCAGCAGCAGGTTTATTTTCGCCTCGGGGATTTCCTCTTAAAGTCCACCACGCTTCACTCTGATTGGCTGATTTATTATAGTCTATGTATTATTATCATCCTGATCTGACCACCTTCAGGTCGCTCTCAGCGCTCAAATATCTGATAACTATTTCTCCTTCTCTGTTGTTTGTTTCTCCACATACCAGTCCTGATCTCATGACCTCCTCTAAAACCTGATTATGTCGCCTGACCGTCAGACAGACTCGGTTATTTCCTGGTTTTACAAACTGGTTCTTTGTTCCTGCAGGAGTAACTCTGTTCTCTTCGCAGTAAATCCTTCTTCACACTGAGAGGTCAGTACATGGATCATGAGTCCGTTTCATTCATACGATCGTGAACTCTTACTTTGGAGGGGTGTGGTCCCTGCTGTCACTCCTGGTGGACTTTCTCTCTGTCCGAACTCTGCAGAAATAAAAACCCACACAGAGGACCCGGGTTCAGCTCTGAACACGTCACTTCAGAACCAAACAGAACCAGAACTTCTCTCTTACCTCGGTCTCTTTTCCTTGAACAAAATAGGCTCCCCCATAGACCGTCTGTCGCTCCTCAGGGACACACAGCCCAGTCCTGCAGACGGCGCTCTGCAGCCCTCCAAACAAACGCTCATCTTCAGGACTTCACAGAGTCGGAGAGGAGAACTGGAATCACAGCAGACACACAGAAGAACCCGAGTTTAATGTTTCTGCAGAACTTCCTTCATGGTTTATTGTCAGACAGACTCTCCCAGTCTGCTCAGTCATTTCCTCAATCTTTTTAACCCACAAACACGCCCATCACTATGATGTGGGCCGGCTTTCCTCTCAGACTAATGAGACTAACAGAAAGCTCTAAATCTCAGTTCCTGTCAGCAAACCCAGTCGAAGTGCAAAGTCACTGTGAAGGAAAACAGACGCCAAGATCAAATAGATTCAATAAAAATATCAAAAATGCAGGTAAGTCCTGATTGTTGCCCCAAACTTCCAAGTAGATTTCCTCCTCTGGAAGGACACAGTCTACTGCTTATATCGTTAACCTATGTGAATATGCGGGTTCTTGTGATTTCTTGCAATTCCTGTTGTCTGTAATCGGTGAAAATTGCTGCTGTTCCAGATCGGAGTTGTGGAAATGTCTCATCTTTATCAACATCCAGTCTAAAATCTCAACAGTTTCAATTTACTGTCTTGCAAAGAAATCACCTCCTGTTTTTACAAAGAGAGCCGGTGCAGTTCCTCTAATGTCCACTAGAGGCTGGCTCCTTAAATGAGTCAGTCCCCATAGAGCCCCGTGTTAAAATATCGACTTTACAGCAAAGATAAACACGTTTACAGTCTAGAGATAAAAAGTTAAAGGTGGGTTAGGCAGGAATCACGCTGCTCCCCCGTGTCGTTCAGGAGCCCAAACAAAGTTAGCGTGCTACAATATCGGACAGTAGAAACCAACCAGAAAGTTCGGAAAATTGTCTGAATCCTCCTTTGGCCACGACTGCCGACACAAGCAAGAAAACACTCAAACATAAACAGTCAGCAAGAAAACAGTCAGCAAGAAAACAGTCAACAAGAACACAGTCAACACCAAACCAGTCAACAGGAAAACGGTCAACACCAAAACAGTCAACAAAAAACAGTCAGCAAGGAAACAGTCAACAAGAAGACGTCAACTATAATCAGTCAACAAGAAAACAGTCAACAAGAAAACAGTCAGCAAGAAAACGTCAACTATAATCAGTCAACAAGAAAACAGTCAACCATAAACAGTCAACACCAAAACAGTCAACAAGAAAACAGTCAGCAAAAAAACAGTCAACAAAAAACAGTCAGCAAGAAAACAGTCAACAAGAAAACGTCAACTATAAACAGTCAACACCAAAACAGTCAGCAAAAAAACAGTCAGCAAGAAAACGTCAACTATAAACAGTCAACACCAAAACAGTCAACAAGAAAACAGTCAGCAAGAAAACGTCAACTATAAACAGTCAACACCAAAACAGTCAACAAGAAAACAAGAAAATGCTGTTCCCCCGTGTCGTTCAGGAGCCCAAACAAAGTTAGCGTGCTACAATATCGGACAGGAGAAACCAACCAGAAAGTTCGGAAAATTGTCTGAATCCTCCTTTGGCCACGACTGCCGACACAAGCAAGAAAACAAAGTAAATACCGGAGACTCTGGAGGAATAACGGGCGCTTAAAACGGAGGTAGACCGGACAAGAGCTAAAAAGCCGGGTGAACATAAACGATGGGGGACGCTTGGGGATCTTGGTGACCCTGTAACCTTTCTGCTGGACAGGTAAACCGCTTTAACAAAGTAAGACAAGTGTCTGTAACAGAAGTGTTTCTTGTCAAACGGACCTGCTGTAGCGTGTTGTAGCGCCATCGCTAAACTGTCCTCCCTCAGGTCCTGGACTATGTCACTTTATCCTCGTTGTAGAAGTCCTGCAAACATTGTGTTTGCTGGTAGTCTGTTGGCATCTACAGTAGCACCAATGCTTTTGACTTTCACCTTGACTGGGCCCCATTTGTAATGATCTGAAGGATTTATCTGCATTATATCTGAATTTAACTGGAACGATACGAGCGAGCAGGAGCGTCTGTTTGTGGGCGGGGCTTGCTGGTTGGGAGGGGTAGAGTTAACATTCAAGATTTCTCCCAAAACATCCTGACTACCCCACCTTTAACTCTAGAGTATTCAAGTTATCATCTGCGTTAGTTTACTGCATTCAGGGCGGTAAATAAACGAGATCCTTCATCAGCAAAGACTGGGACAACCTGTCACTCTCAGAGTCCAGAACCAGTGCGGTGACGCACATGGAAAATATGGACCTGGAGCTGCTCTGGAAGGCATCACTGGTGTCAAATAAGGTAGTGAGGGAGAGTCAGCTGTGGATGAGTTCATCCTGCAGCTGCTGGACACCGCCTGGAGGAACAGAAACAGAACTGTCTCTTTGTCTTCCTGTTGAATGTTACTGAGGAAGACCCTCCATTGTGAGTCCATGAGTCGTGTCCTTCAGCGTTGTTGTGGGTAATCCCCTTATAGAAAATTTAAGACCATTGTTCAGACGAGCCTCCGGTCAAAACCCACTTAAACATGATCCTGGTGTTGACATCAACTTCTCTAATTACAACACTCATCCACTGTTGCCAAAGTAAAGTCCCAACCTTTCATCATCTCAGTCTGAAGTCATTCTGAAACAGATGAGTCGACCTCAGGGACTCTTTCTCAACCTGTTCTCATTTCAGTCATGTTAAAACAAAACAGGGACTGTACTATCTGTGTATATGTTAGACTGAGACTCAGAAGAGTTTTGGTTACTGTATGACTGATACCTCAGGAAGGAGGAGGAGGAGGTTTCAGCAGACACAGGCAGAGTTCAAAGAGATAAGGTAAATATTTCCCTACCTTGTCATCAGAGCGGTTTCACAGTCTGGTTTTAATGTCTCCAAGAGAGTCTGTCAGGTTGAGTGAGCTGTGACTCAGTGTGAACCAAAATCAATACTCCAATAAAAAGAGTATTGATCAGTGACTCCTTTATAAAAGTGAAAATATTTCCTGGTTCAAAGAGTCAGAGCAGGTGATGACTGTAAACCAGGAAAGTGGTGCTTTATTAGTTATTTTTTTTAAAGTAGAAACTCCTGATCAATAATAATAACAATAATTATAATTATTATCATAATAATAACAAAAAAATCATTTAGAAATAATTTTTTAAAAATAATTAAAATGATGATGATAATGTATAATAATAATAATTATTATTATTATTATTATTATTATTAATAAATAATAATAATTATTTTTTTTTAAATGATGATAATTTATTATTAATAATAACAACAACAATAATAATAATAATGATAATCATTATTATTATTTTTATAAATATTATTATTATGATAATAATATTTATAATAATAATAATAATAATAATAACAAAAATTTAAATAATAATAATTTCAAATAATAATTATAATAATGATACAATACAACTAAATAAATAATATTTATAATAATAATAATGATAAGAATAATAATGACACTAATAATAACAATAAAAACAAAAGTAACAAAATAATTAAAAAATAATAATTATAACAAAAAAAACAAAATAATAATAATAACAAAAAATAACAAAAATAACAATAATAATAATAACAATAATAATAATAATAATAATCATGCATTGTCTTCATAGGCGCCTTTCAAAACACTCAAGGTGACCTTCCAGGAGAGGTTTAAAACAAGACAAATATAAACGTCCACAGCAACAAGGTCAAACACTCAAACATGTCTGGAACTTTCCTCACCGCACTAAAGTGATCCCGACGTTTCAAAAGTTCGTTTGGTTTTTACACTAAATTTACTCAAACTAAGAAGTTTCTGCAGCTTCTTGTCTTGCAAACATGTCATGAGAGGCGCCAGAGGACGCCCAGTTTGAGAAAACATGACCAAAGTTTGTGATCGACTCCACCAGCTGACTTTACAACATTTCACCTGGACTCTGTGGTTCTGGACCCATTAAAGGAGTTTTAACAACAACAAGTTCTGAGCAGCTTAAAAAGGAGTCGTTACCTTTCTGCAGCTGTGTCCTCCATGAAACCAGACCAGCACACAGACCTCTGAGCCGTCCTCTGAGCTCGTCACCTTCACGGACGTAATTCGACCTGAACCCTGGCAGTCAGCCATGTTTACAGGTAACCACAGGTGAGCGCAGTGACGCGTCTCCACTGTTTCCAGACCATCATCAGAGCTCTTTGTTTGACCCCCCACAGAGCCAGCAGACCGGTGCGGACTAGAACGGTCCAGATACTTTATTATCAGGTATCATAAAACCTGTTCGGTCAGGGAAAATGACTCCACAGTCATGCTGGTCTGCAGTTATATCACTTTTTCCATCTTACAGGACATCAATCTCTACAGACCAAAGACAAACACTTGACCTGTGACTCGTCTACACCTGTTTTAAAAAGCTTTTGTTCCAGTTTAAATAAAGAATAAAGTCTCAAGGAAGTCCAGCAGTTCCTGTGAACCCCAAAACAAAGAAAGAGTCTCTGCCTTTTTCTAATATTTATAAGATCATTAAGTTTATTCTGTGTTATATTTAGTGTGTTTGAAGTTAATAACAATAACACGGTTAAAACGGAGCAGCTGCTTTTTCACAGATATAATACCGATGCGCTACAGCGGGGTGCTGCAGCTCAAGGAAGAACATTTATGATCATTTCTTCATGGAAATACAATCAGACCGAGACGCTAAGATCTGCAGTGCAAAATGATTAAAATGATGATTATTACTTCAAGGAAAAGATAAAGAAATGATCACAAAGGTTGTAAATTGGCTGATATCTGAGCGGACTCAAACACAAACTGAGAGTAAATACAGAAGTGTACTCACGGTGTAGGTCCTGCTCGGAGTCCTCCTCTAACGGCTCTGAGACTCTACAACCCGCTTGTCGTGTCTATTTTCAAATCTGACTCCTCCTGCCTTTGACACTAGACCAAATACCGAGACCCAAACCAGCAGGGGGACCATACATGGGTCCAGAGGTCTTTCAGATGGTGAGGAGACACAGCTTGCAGCTGAAGAGTCCATCAGTCTCTGTAGTAGTGGTCGACGGGACTGTTAGAGGGGTTTGATTGACTGTTTCGTTTCAGGGAAAACTCATAGCTGCCGAGAATCGCCTACGGTTGTTTCGATTCCTACTTCGGTCTTGACCACTAGATGGCAGTGTTAGTCTAGCCTTTGTTCCAACAGATTCACGTTTACAAATTCGAATTTATCATAATGTGAATGTAATAATTTCTCTTTTTATAAACTAATGAGTTTTTTATTCATGAACTGCTTTCTCTGAAATACAAATCTGGAGCTTCGCGTGTGTATAAATGTATAAATATATATTTTTTTCTTTTTTCTGTGTAATTTCCTGTGCCACATTCCAATCTAGTAGATGGCGGTAATGTTCCTTAAACATGGCTGCCAACCGCCAATAAAACGAAGAAGAAGAAGAACTTCCTTTTCCTGTGTCTCTTCAAACAGGAGCGCGGGATGGCGGGAGAGTAAACACCGCTGAACGCTTTACAACCAAATAGGATCCCTGGTAAAGACACAACCGAATTCATTCACAGTGAGTTTAGCCTCAGTAATCTGATTAATATTTGTTATTCTTATCTAGTCATGTAGCTCCACGCAAACTGCTGCGAGCGCACGTACACCAAACCCCATTGGGAAAAATGTCAATTTAAGGCCTGGCGTCTCTGAATGCGAGACGCTATTAACAGTTTAATTTTTGGTTAAATCTTTAAGGGAAGGTTGATTTTGTGGGTTTTTTTGCTGCCGTATTGTCACTTTCAACTGTTACGTCAATTCATTTTGGTTATTTTCTACATGTTAGTTTAATTTGAATCAATTGGACTTAATTATTCAAATCTCAATTGAGGTTCGTGTATGGTGTTTTTGTTTAGTATTGTCGTTCAGGGACTTATTTCTTCTTTCTGATCTTTTTTACAGTTTTCTTTTATACCCTTTTCAACGACCGACTAAGATGGAGAGCAAACTGGAGCTGAACCATCACCTCACTGAACTTCAGCGGTAGGATAAAAGTTTGAGACTGAAACACAGAAAATGAGGATTACTTTAATTAAAAACCAAAGACTGACAGAAAGAACTCTTGGATTTTTGAAGAACACATGGATTTTTTTTAACTTGAGTTTCTTTTCCTCTTTCTTTGTCTGAGTTTTGGATAATTAATTTAACTGTTGAATCACTTTACACCTCGTTTCCTGTTAAGATTATTTGAATCCATCATTTAAACCTAACTTTGTTGTATTGTTTCATTGATATTTTCACAGTCTGGGCTGTTTTTAATAAAAAGTTTAATTTTTCTAAATGTATGACTTTTCTTTTATGAATACAGACTTTTTTCTGATTTAGTTATTCTTTAGAATTTGCTAATTTTAATTCTCAAACTTGAACTCAGATTGAAGAGAATGACAATCGGTGATTTCACTCTTGTTTATCGCTTCATACCTCTAAATTTAAGACCTTATTCTTGTGACTTTTCCACATTATTGATGTCAGTATTCAGTTACTTCTCATTTTGACTTTATTCTCGTAGACTTGTTCATTCATGACATTAAAGTGAGGACTTTTTATCCAGGAAAGTTCAGACTTTTGTTCCCAGAAGTCTGACCTTATTCCTGAAATTTGAAACTAAAACTGAATTTCCCATGTTTTAGTCATAACTCTGATGTACTTTAACTTTTGTTTTGTCTCATTTTAAGAAATGGAAACTTAATTCAAAGAAGCATGAAGGAGAAAAGAAGCTTTTACATCTAATTTACAGACATCATGAGCACTAAATCAAACAAACTAGTCATTTTCCAAAAAGAGGGGGAACTTTGAAACAGAAGTTGAAATGGTTTTCATGGACTAAGGACTGTTGTCATCAGAAATCTGCTGTTTCTTTAACACTCGACACATCCAGACATCAGATATAGATAATTATTCTAAAAATATATTGTTCTGACACTTGACTGCAGAAAAAAATCCCCTCAAGTTCAGGAGGTCCCCTCTGAAACTCCAAAAGTTCTCTAAACTTTCTTTCTGATCCTGCAGTTCTCAATGCGCCCCACAAGAGGGCAGTCCTGCTCTGATGAGAACAGAAACTTCAGATCATTTACAACCATCTGTTTCTGTTAATCTACAAACACACACACACACTCTCTGCAACAGAGTGTGTTTTATTATTTTCACTATGTAGAAAGTTACAGTTAGGTGTTAGGTGCTGATTCCTGAAAAGACTGAGTTCTGGTTTATTTTTAGAATCTGAAGATCTTTTAAAACAGAGTCAGATTTCAGAATAAGTGAGAAAAAACATCAGTTTTCTTTATGTAATTCTGGATTTTGTTGATATTTCTGAGGGAAAAGTTGGAGTAACTTTTATAAAATAGTCTGAACTCTGCCATGTTCCCGGTAAGATTTTATTTTATTTATTTTTATTTTTCATTTTTTTTTAAATGCCGAAAGATGTCGGAATGTATTCAGAAGAAAAAGAATTGAATTTTGACTTTGTTCTTGATTTTTGAGATTAAAGTCAGAATGTAATTTTTCAAAGACAGAATTCCGACTTTGATCTCAGGATTCTGATTCCGATCTCAAAGTTCCGTCTTTGATCTCAGGATTCCGACTTTGATCTCAGAATTCTGATTTCAATCTCAGAATTCCGACTTTGATCTCAGGATTCTGACTCTGACCTCAGAGTTCTGATCTCAGAATTCCGACTTTGATTGCAGGATACGGACTTTGATCTCAGCATTCCGACTTTTATCACAGAATTCCGACATTGATCTCAGGATTCCGACTTTGATTTCAGAATTCCAACTTTGATCTCAGGATTCTGACTTTTCCATTGAATCCTGAAATTCGTTGAATTACTATAAAAAGTCAACGTAGAAATCTTGTCACAAGTTAAATTTAGGTGTTAGATTAGCTTAAATATATATTTTAAACTCTCATACTGAGATCAATTTGACTGTTGCTGTTGAGATTGAGCTAAAAATCCAGTTAAGAAGTAAAATTATTCGTAAAGTATGATTTCACCTACTGGAAAAGTTTAGGCACAGATTTCATTGTTAGCAGTGTCAGCCTTACACAAATTGTTTTAGCCTGTGCCGTAAAATAATGCAAATAAGTAATTTTCACATAAATTTAGTCGTGTTTGGTCGTCATAAAGGGCTAAAAAAGAAAAACAGACTCTGATTGTACGGGGGTTCAAATGTGTATTTCTGCTGTAAAGTTCGACAGTTTAACATGGAGCCGTATAGGGACTGACTTACTTTAGGAAACCGCCTCTAGTGGACACTCAGGGTATTGCAGATGCCACTCAAGTAAAAGGAGCTGTGTTTGTCATGTTGAATATACTTATTTATACTTATCTATACTCCTCTGCGCTTTGGGTTTTATAGTTTGATAAGTTGTTTTAAGTTTGGTTGAACTTGTAATGAGAAATATCCCTGATCATCTTTCACTTTAGGTCCTGTCCTTTTTAGTTCTCGTTTATTTTCATGTCTTTCTTTCTTTCTTTCTTTGTGTTTCACTTCCATGTTTTCAGCTGCTCTTCCTGCCGTAATGAGTAACTGATACAGGATGTTCTTTGGGAACGTCTTCAGAAGTGATGAAATGAAGTTTGTCCGTTTTCCATTTTTCCATTCAGGAGCAGAGAGAGGATATCTGGTTTCACTTCTGATAAACTGATATAACACACACACACACACACACACACACACACACACACACACACACACACACACACACACACACAAACTGCTTTAGGTCAGGAAAACACTAAAGGAAATTGGTTTGAGAGCTTTAAATATGAATCTGATGACATAATCTGTGTGTGTGTGTGTGTGTATATGTGTGTGTGTGCGCGCGCGTGTGTTACAGTAACAGTCCTTCATGACTGCAGCTCTGATTTTATCGACCAACCTTCAACACAGGCGCAGGTGTAATAGTGACGTGAGTGTGAAAAGGTCAAATGTTGCTGAATGAAAGGTCACGAGTTTAATTGTCATCAAGATAGAGATGTATGTAAAGACTGTGTGTGTGTGTGTGTGTGTGAGAGAGATGCTGATCATACTTTAGGAGGTTACACTTTGATGTCGTTGTACGATTGAAACTCCTCTAATAATTGTTTATTTATTTAGTATGAACCTTTCTGTCCCTCAGATATTCTGACGTTCCTACACAAGTATGGAAATAAACTTCATCAGTTTCCAGGTTTTAAAAAGTTTGGAGAATGAAAAATAAAGTATGGACAAATATTTATGTTTTCCAGACTATTACCACAGTTTAAAAATAATGTTTTTCAAAATAGAAAAGTCGGTATTTCCAAAAATAATTCTAAAAAGTAGGGTATGGAAAAATACGAGAATTCCGACTGTGTAGAACACTGCTAGTTCTGAGGAAAAAGTTGGAGTGACTTTTAGAAAATAGTCTGAACCCTTCCTCATTCCTGAAGGTTCTTTTTTATTAAAAATGCTAAAAGATGTCAGAAAAAAAGTTTGGTTTTTGACTTTATTCTTGATTTTTGAGATTAAAGTCAAAATGTTTTTTTTTCAAAGACAGAATTCCGACTTTGATCTCAGAATTCTCTTCTCAGGATTCTGACTTTGATTTCAGGATTCTGTCTTTTTCACTGAATCATTTAAAAATAATTCTACATTAATTCACGTAATTTCAGAATTCCAACTTTTCCTTCTGAATTCCAAAATAAAATGGAGAAAAGTCTGATTTTTGAGGACTTACTTTGATCCCACAATCCCGACTTTTTTTCTTTTCTGAGATCGATTAGAATTCCAATTAAAAAAAAATAGGCTGAGTAAATAAATGTAATTTTAAAATCCTTATTTTTCCACAACATTCTGAAGTTCTGAGGAAAAACTTTGAGTGAATTTTAGAAAAGTTTCTTTAATAATAAAAAAAAAATGCAGAAAGATGTCAGAAAAAAAGTTTGGGTTTTACCTTTATTAAAGATTAAAGAGATTAAAGTCAGAATATTAATTTTCAAAGACCGAATTCCGACTTTGATATCAAAATTTTGTCTTGATCTCAGAATTCTGATTTTGATATCAGGATTCTGTCTTTTCCGTTGAATTCTTAATTACGTAGTTTTAGAATTCCAAACTTAAAAGGAAAAAGTCAGATTTTTGAGGACTCACTTTGATAGCAGAATCCGGACCTCTTTCTTTCCTAAGATCGGTCAGAATTCCAACTAAAAAATTATCTGATTTTTGAGATTTAAGTCAGAATGTAATTTTTAAAAAACAGAATTCTGACATCGAACTTAGAATTCCGACTTTGATCTCAGAATTCCGATTTTGATCTCAGGATTCTGTCTTTTCTGTTAAATTCTTAATTCACGTAATTTCAGAATTCCAAGTTTTCCTTCAGAATTCCAAACTTAAAAGTAGAAAATTCGGATTCTGGAGGACTTACTTTGATCCCAGAATCCCGACTTTCTTCTTATCTGAGATCGGTCAGAATTCCAACTAAAAAAAAAAAAAATGGTCTGAGTAATTAAATGTGATTTTAAAATCCTTATTTTTCCACAACATTCTGGGATAAAAGTCTGAATCCAGAAAAAAGTCGCCCTTCATTTAGTTGTGTCAAAACTGATTGTCTGATTTTTCTCTCTGTGTTATGATCTTGTTTTTTTTTTTCCGATGATTGCGATGTTGACATCTCTTCACCTTCACGTGTATCGTCGTCGTCATCTCCACAGTGACAGAGACATGTCTCCACACGTGTCGGAGAGGAAACAAGAACGGTCCAGAAACCCGAAGTTTCATTTCTAAAGAGAGAAGAATCAAATCCAGACCAGGATGGAAACGGTTTTAAAAATCATTTTAGAGTTCAAGAAAATAAATGACCCTGAGAGGCTGGACCTGTGTGAGGAAGAGGAGTCCACGGATCAGAAGGAGAAAGTGTTACAGAGGAGGAGGGAGAAGATGGAGGTTCAGGGAACAATCATCAGGTAAGGAGGGTTTTTACCGTCTGAGCCGACTTCCTTTTTTTGTTTCAGAGACTAAAATTTTTTATTTCTGAGATGATTTTTCAAAAATTCATTAGAACATAAAAAAATATATATTTTACAAACTGAAGATCATTTACTGTTTAACTTTTTATCACTTCTAATTATCTTTGACTTTTATTCTCATTTTTCTGACATTAAGTTTCATAGTTACAGGATTTTTATTTTCACAACCATCCCATAATTTGAACTTTAATATCATGACTTTTTTAGAACTTTAACTTTTTATCTCATAATCAGGACTTTTATTTAGAAATTCAGACTTTTTTGTGTAAGATTTCTGTCTCCACCACAGTTTTACTTTTTATCTCAGTCTTTAAACTTTTTATTATAAAATATGAACCTTTTCCCTCTCAGTTTGGACTTTTTTTCTCATTTTTTCTCACTTTTTATAATTCTTATCTCAATACAGGGTTTTTTTTGTCTCACAATGTTTTCTTTTTATCCCTTTCTTTAAACAGTCTATGAAATTTTATCCCGCTATAGATGTTTTAAATCTCATTTTTTGGACTTTATTTCATCATTTGAACTTTTTGTCGATATATTTTTGACTTTTTAAACATTTTTCCAACTTTTTCACCTCACAATCTCTAGACTTTTTATCCCACATACTGACTGTACATTTTCCTTTAAAGCTTAATGTTTTAATGGCAGAGATGGGCCTCCATACCTGTCATTTAAAAGCATCTGTTGCTTCAGATTTTGGCTTTTCTTACTTTTTTATTATAAACTTTTTCATTTAACACTCAGAATATTCCCTCTTTTTTTTATGAGTTTTTACTTTCCTGAAACATCATTTGAATGAAAAACGTCCAACCTTCCGTTTAAAACGGTTCTCTCTTCCTCAGCCTCTCTCTGACTCTCTCCCTCTCCCCCCTCCCTCTCTGTATCGATGGCTGCAGGTGGTGGTGGTGGGGGCGCAAAGGTATCGATGTTGGCGCGGGGAGGGGGCGGAGGCGCGCGACCGAAGCCACGAGCTTGAGCGGGATCCCGCGAGGAGGCGGCAGAGTATAAAGACGAGCGGGGTCCGCGTGCATCTGGGCAGGTGTGATTCCTACAGACGGAGGTACAGACGACAGACAGAGGTACAGACGCTTCAGCTTCAGCAGCAGCTTCAGCAGCATCTGTGCTCACCTGAAGAAGTCCGAAACTTACCGGATTAAACTTTTTATTTGGAAAAAACGAGTCAAAGAAAAGAAACTTTCACCGAGAATCAGCAGGTAAGATTTAGATTCAGTCTGTTTTCACTTTTTTCCGCTGCTTCACAGTTTGAACTTAGTTTTACAACCTAGAGTGTCTGTGAAATACAGTTAAACTGTGAAAATACAGTTAAAAGATCAAGAAACTGTGACATTAACTCCTTAAAAACCAGAAAACCTTTTCATAAAATGATGTCAAATATCACAGTGAATCTTTAAAAGGTATTTTAAAATCTTTTAAGTCTTAATCTGATGTGTAGAAACTTAACCGTAGAGGGAGGAAACATCTTAAAAATAAAAAAAACTTAACTTATAAAGAGTAAAGTTAGGGGCCGATCCAGCACACTGCAAGGGGGGCTTTGTCCCACAATCTGAAAATTTATCTCTTCATAGATTTTTTTGACCTTTTTAGAGGCATAAATTACTTTTTTTGTATCAAGATGTTTTAAAAAAATTTTAAAGTCAGAATTTAAGATCTAAATGCCCCCATACTTTTTTGTAACTTCAAAACTATTTATTTATTTAAACAAGAGAAGGAAAAAAAGTATTTTAGGGAAGGTTAGTGTTGGACCATAAATGCTGCCAAAAATAAAAAAATACAGTTAAAAGTTTAAGAAACTGTGACATTAACCTCTTAAAAAATTCATAAAATGTTGTCAAATATCACAGTGAATCTTTTAAATGGTATTTTACTTTTTTGTTACTTCCTTAAGTTATTTTTTATTTTTCCTTTTTATCAAAACGTACCTTTTTAATCTTTCTTTTAGCTAAATTATATATCATTAACTTTTAAGTGTTTTATCATTTATCTCTTTCTAGTTTCAATGACAGGATCGTCTTTTATTGATCTATTTTGCTGCTCTTATTTAAGTATTTTTTTACTGTTGTTTCTACTTTATTTTATTAATTATTTCTTAAATTTCATTTTATGTGTCTTTGTTTTTAGATTTTAACCCCCACTGTTTCCTTATCTTGAGTTTTATCAGGAGTTTTAATATCGTGTGTTTTTCTCCTGCAGCGGTCATGGCTCATCTGTTGGTTCTGACGTCGTTTCTCGCCCTCGTGCTCTCGGCGTGTCCCCGGGTCGGAGGGGAACGTGTCAAACTGAACTCCATCAGGACGGTGGTCCTGAGGGAGGGTCACGCTCTGCCCCTGAACCGCAGCCTGTGGGAGCCGAGTCTGGACCTGACGGTAAGACGTCATCTCTGACTTGACCTTCATCGTAAACGCCACGGGTAGACCCGTTTATCACTTCGTGGTCGTCATTAACGGCGTGTTTCTGTGTGTCTGCAGCTCTATCAGTGCATGAGCGACCTGGAGTGCAGAGAGGGGAGCTACTGCCACGCTCCCACCAAAGGCCCCGCCCACTCTCGCTGCCAGAACTGCCGCAGGAGGAAGAGGCGTTGCCATAGGGACGGCATGTGTTGCCCAGGAAACCACTGCGTCAACAGTAAGAACCACTTTATGATAAAGCAGGAGTTTTAATTTAACTTGAACAATACAAATGTGTTTTATCATTTAAAAGCTTTTAAGACGTTTTAAAATCAGAATAAACTTCCAGGATTTAAGTTAGCTGAACTTATGTTAAACTTAAGTGAACTGAACTCAAGTTAGGTGAACTTAAGTTTGCTGGCCTTAAGTTAGTCAAACTTAAGTAAACTCAACTTAAGTACATTGAACATATATTAGCTGAACTTACATTCACTAAACCTTTTGTTAGCTGAACTTAAATTACCTAAACCTAAAATGTATTTTATCATTTAAAAGCTTTTAAGATGTTCTAAAATCAGCATTAACCTCCAGGAAGTTAGCTGAACTTATGTTAAACTTAAGTTAGCTGAACTTAAGTTAACTGAACTTATGTTAGCTTAACTTCAAGTTGCTGAACCTATGTTAGCTGGTCATAAATTAGCTGAACTTAAGTTAACTGAATTTAAGTTAAGCTAATTTAAGTTTGCTGAACCTTACGTTAGCTGAACTTAATGTAAGTGAATTTTAGTTAACATAACTTAAGTTTGCTAAGGTTGAGTTTATGTTAGCTGAACTTGTGTTAGCTAAACTTGAAGTTGCTGAACATACGTTAGCTGAACTTGTGTTAGCTAAACTTATGTTAGCTGGACTTATGTTAACTGAACTTTTTTAGTTAAACTTACGTTAGTTGGATTTAGGTTAGCTGAACTTAAGTTAACTGAATTTAAGTTCCTGATTCTTATGTTGGCTGGATTGAAGTTAGCTGAACTTCAGTAACATCAGTATCTCGTTTAGCGTTTCCATGTGAACGTTGTTTCCCTGTCATCACGTGTTCGGTGTTTATTTAAATACCAAAGATTTAATCGTCTTTCTCTTTGTTTCTCAGGTGTCTGCGTTCCTGACCTGGACAGTTTCGTGTCTCAGAGGATCCCGGACTCGGACGGAGGGATCGGCTCGCCGTCCAAGAAGAAAGGATGGAAGAAGAAAGGGAAGATGAGCGTGAAAGCGTCTTCGAGTCGAGGTGAGGAACACGTTTATCTGCTGATTACGACATGAAGGTTCTAAGAGTTCGTATTAACCGTCTTCGTCTGTCTCCAGGTCAGGTCGGCGACCCCTGTCTTCGCTCTTCCGACTGTTCGGACGGTCTGTGCTGCGCCCGCCACTTCTGGACTCGAATCTGCAAGCCGGTGTTGCGCGAAGGACAGGTTTGCACACGCCAGCGGCGTAAGGGGAACCACGGCCTGGAGCTGTTCCAGCGCTGCTCCTGCGGCGACGGACTCAGCTGCCGAACGCTACGGGAACCTGGCGCTCAGCCTCCGTCGCCGCCTTCGTCGTCTTCATCTTCATCGCTTCTAGCAGCGGCGAAGTCAAAGTTTGCATCATCATCCTCATCTTCTCGCCACTCCTCCCCCCACACGTCTCCTCTGTCTTCATCGGCGGGGAAGTCGTCATCGGAAGTGGCGAAGACGAGACTTCACGTGTGTCAGAGAAACTAAGGAAGGCGGGACAGAGCGGAGAAACGGTCTGAAAGGACGGCGGTTTCTTCTTCTTCTTCTTTCTGCCAGTGACCAATCAGAGAGAGGCAGAGACCGACGGCAGATGGGGGGGGGGTTGGATAGAGATACCTGTTCACACCTGTGAAAACCCCGCCCCCCGCCCTCCTCCTCCAGTATCTCTATGTTAATGAGCTTCCTGTCAGGCTGCATTCACACTCTAACTCGGCGGGATGTGAAACTCTTTGTTGTGGGTCAGATCTGGTTTCCTCCTCTACGTCTAGACGAGCAGAAACCGCTTTGAAATCCGGTTTGACTCCATTTACACAAACGAAGGAAGGACACATTAAAACTGAAAACCTGATCCAAGGATGACGCAACGACCCTCCAGGTGACCGTCCAATCAGACGAAACCTGGAAGCTCAAACCGTCAGATTTTAAAACAAACTCCAGAGAACTTTCAGGACAGAAGAAGGACGATGGATTAAAACTGTTGAAGCTGTTGGTGCGAACGAATCCAGGTTTAGATTTTAACGTGTTTTCACTGATTTTAACTTCCAAACAGCTGCTGAGATTAGCCGAACTTCATTAGCTGGACTTAAGTTAGCTGAACTTAAGTTAGCTGGACTTAAGTTAGCTGAACTCACATTTGCTTAACTTATTTTAGTCAAACTTAAGTTAACTGAACTAAAGTAAGTTGGGCTTAAGTAAGTCAAACTTAAGTTAGCTGAACTTATGTAAGCTGGACTTAAGTTATCTGAACTTTAGTTAGGTGTACTTAAGTTAGCTGAACTAACATTTCCTTAACTTATGTTAGTCAAACTTAAGTTAACTAAATTTAAGTTAGGTGAACTTAAGTTAGCTGGGCTTAAATCTGCTGAATTTTGTAAGCTGGACTTAAGTTAACTGAACTTAAGTAAGTCAAACTTAAGTTAGCTGAACTTAAGGTAGGTACTTAAATTTTTAACTTATGTTTGTCAAACTTAAGTTAACTCAAATTAAGTTAACTGAACTTAAGTTAGCTGGATTTAAGTCAGCTGAACTTATATTTGCTTAATTTATGTTAGTCAAACTTAAGTTAGCTGGGCTTAAATTAGTTGAACTTATGTTAGCTGGACTTAAGTAAACTGAACTTAAGTTTCCATTGGACATAAACTTGCTGAGCCTTTGTTAGCTGGACTTGAGTTAACTAAATTTAAGTAAGTCAAACTTAAAACTTTAAGTTAGGTGAACTTAAATTTGCTGGCCTTAAGTTAGTCAAACTTAAGTTAGCTGAACTTAAGTTCATTGAACATATTTTAGCTGAACTTACATTCACTAACCCTTTTGTCAGCTAAACTTGAATTTCCTAAACTTAAGTTAGCTGAATTCACGTTAGCTGAATTCGTGACGCCTCACTCCACAGTCTCCACATATCTCGTCTCAAACTTCTTGCGTGTCCGTCTCAGTTTTTCCGTCTTTTTTTGTCCTAGCGCAGATATTGGTGGTAAAATGCTGAGGTTTGTCCAGACGTCTGGTTTCGATGGCACTGTTGTTAATGTTCTAGAAATGTCTATAATCTGTATATTTTGGATGAATGTTGGTGTGATTATTTGCCTGTTTTTAAGTGTCTCTCTGACAGTTTTTTTTATTTCCAACATTTGATGAAAGAATTTTAAGTTTCTGTCAATAATCCGTGTTATTATGATTAAAACTGACTTCTTAAAGGTGTCTGTGCGGTAGTTTTGATTTACTAGAGCTACGCTGTCACAGTCTACATGAACATCCTCCTTCCTGCTCAAAGCAAAGGTACATGAAGAGGCGTCTGTGTGTGTGTGTGTGTGTGTGTGTGTGTGTGTGTGTGTGTGGGGACCACGTGTAACTGGAAACCAGGCGCTGAATGTTCTTCCCTCCTCCGGTGGGTTGAGATAAGATTAGCGAAGAGGAAAAGATGTTCCCACAGGCCTGTAAAGACAGCGGGAAGTGATTCCATCTGTGCGGATAAAAGTTATTTCTGACCACAGAGTCTCACATTTAAATGTTCGAAGAATCACAGCTGATTTCTGTCTTCGTAACAAAAAACAGACCACCGAATCCAACCGAGGACAGAGCGTTCGCTGCTCTTCAAATCGCTGATTTTATTTAGATAAAATAAATTAAAATCTTCAGACAGACAGAGGAGTCGAAGAAGGCTCAGAATCGAAACCAGCGTGACACTTTTATAACCTAAGGTCGCAGTAAAGCTACGGTGGCCGAGAACTGCCACTGCTACAAATAAAAACAATTTTAAAAAAGAAACCAAAGCCCGCTGCAAATAAGAAAAGAAACAGAGCAGATAAAAAAAAAGCCATAATGAAAGTTAACAATGCAAAAAAAAGTGGCGATGGAAAAAAGAGTTACTGCGAAAATGAAAGGATGCAAATAAAAAAGAATGCAAAAAAGGAGTCACAATGGAGGTTACTGATGCAAAAAAAAGAAACCAAACCCCGCTGCAAATAAAAAAGAAACTGTGCAGATGAAAAAAAAAGCCACAACAGAAAATAACTACGCAAAATAAGTGGCAATAAAAATTTTAAAAAGTCACTTACTGCAAAAATAAAAACGCAAAATTAAACAATAACCTTTCGACTTACTTCTCTGCTCGTCACTTTTTTTTGCAACTTCCATAATGGCTTTTTTTATTTGCATTCTTTCCCTTTCAAAGTTAGTAACTTTTTTTTTTGCATTGCCACTTTTTTGTGTCGTAAGGTCACGTTGTTTTTGTATTAAGTAACTTTTTTTGCATTGTCATCTTTTTTTGCTTTAACTTCTTTTGTGGCTTTTTTTAAAATTTTGCTTCCTTTTTTTGCCGTGGGTAACTTTTTTTTTGCATTGCCACTTTTTTTGGGCGTCGTTAACTTACGTTGTGGCTTTTTTTATTTGCATCCTTTTATTTTGTAATACTTTTTTTTCAGCATTGCCACTTTTTTGGGTCGTTATATTCTGCTGTAGCTTTTTTATTTGAATCCTTTTATTTTTTTGCAGTAATAAACTTTTTTGTTTTTTTAATTTTTTTTTATTTTGCAGTTAGTATTTTTTTTTTTTTTACTTTGCCCCCATTTTTGCGTCGTTGACTGCCAAAGCGTTTTTTTTTTTTAACCTGCAGTGTTTCTTTTTTATTTGCATCAGTCACTTCTGTTGTGACTTCTTTTTTTCTTTTGCATTCTTTTTTATTCGCAGCAGTGGCAGTTCTCGGCCACCGTACAAACCTGATCTTCAGAGGATGAACCATCACCTGTGTCTCAGTGAGCGTGCTGTCTCCTCATTGGTCTGTAGCTGTCGGGCATCTCTGTCCTCACTGTGGTTACGGTAGTTAGGAAGATAACACGCCTACACGCACTCACACACACACGCGCGCTGATGTCACTCTTCCATCCGTCTTCCCCAGCTTCCTGGTACCTGCGTCCTGACCGTAGACCGCCGTGTTATCTCCGGTGTTTCCTCAGTGTCACTCTTTCCCTCGTTCTGAATATTTAGTCTGATTTTCCTTTTGTTTCTTATTAAAGTTTCACGTCTGTGCGGTAAAAATCTGATGGAAACGTGTGCAGGCTGGTCATAACAATAATAATTATTATAATAATGATGATGATGATGATGATGATGATGGCGAGGATCAGGACCTGGTTTCATCTCATCGGTGTGGTTTCAGGACAAACTGAGAGCGGATGAGGACGTTTCTCCTCAGACAGTTTCTCTTTATTCCACAGAGTTCAGGAACTTTCTTCTGTGGTTCTCCTCTCTTAAAGGTGCAGTCTGTAATATTTAGTCGAGTGTAATAATCAGAAGTTGGTTTAGATTCTTGTTTTTGAGTTTTGACAACCTTTCAGCATCATGGAGCTGAAACTGGACCGTCCTGATGGATTGATTCAGCTCTAAAGTCTCATTTCCTCTTTTTTATGGTCGATAATCCAGTTTGAACTCGGAGATCTCCACCTGTCCCTTTAAAGACGTCCCTTTAAATCTAAATGACATTTTTACGACCTGATAAAGATACAGAGCGAGGGACGGGTAGACCGGACGGGTGGATTATTAACCAGGTAACACACACACACACACACACACCGAGGTGAGGCAGTGTCCGTGTTCGCTGCTCCTGATACGACAGAGCAGGTGAGACTCTAAAACTGCAGGTTCAGTTCATCTGTTATATTTTCTGTAAAAGTTAATATTTATCTATACTTTTATTCTCCAAACAGCTGATGTCGTTGTTGTTTTGTTTTAGTTTTTAAGTTTCCAGGACGCAGTCGCCATGGCAACAACGTGTTCCGGAATCCTCAGTGGTTTTGGTCGTCACGGTGATGAGCGGAAAGTTCTGGCGCTGAACGTTCTGTTGCTCGGGGAGAGGCAGAGTGGGAGGAGCTCCGTGGGGAACGCTCTGATTGGTCAGTAGAAGAAGTTTTGCCGCGCTCAAGTTACCGCGGATGTCGGAGCTGAAAATGACGTCACAGCCGAGTTCCCAGAGTTTCAGATACCAAGTCGGAAAAAAGCAAAATCGAAGGTGGAAAGAAGATGGCTACGTCTACGAAAGTTATTTTAGCACTTGCCTCATTTCCGGACAAACTTTCGTAGATGTAGCCATCTTGTTTTTGGCTCCCATTTTGCTGTTTTTCCGACTTGGTAACAAAAACACTGGGAACTCCGATGTGACGTCATTTTCAGCTCGGACTTCTGACCTCCGAGGAAACTCAAACTTTCATCATCAACTTTTTAGTTTGCGTTCTTTGCCTTCTTTACAAACAAAATATATCAAAAAAAAAAAAAAAAAAAAACCTGTGAAAAATGTGACGAATGTCAAACACCTATTTTTTATTATTTTTATTTTTTTGGTTTACTTTATTTTATTTTTGTATTATTTTTAAAGGTTAAAAAACACTTTTATTATTTAAGGACTTTTTAAAAAGTCACCAACATTTAAAAAAATTTTTTTCTATTTTTTTTATGTTTTTATTTTTTTATTTGAAACAATTTTTTAATACTGAGAAACACTTATTATTTAGGGACTTTTTAAAAGAAAATCACTAACATTCATTAATTTATTTAAATATTTTTCTTATTTCTTATTTTTCTTAAAGATGGAGAAACACTTATTATTTAGGGACTTTTAAAAAAAATTACCAACATTTATTTATTTATTTATTTTAATTTTTTATTTATTTGTTTTTTTTAAGATTGAGAAACACTTTTATTATTTAAGGACTTTTTTTTATAAATCACCAACATTTATTCTGTTTTATTTTATTTTATTTTATTTTATTTTTTTTAGATTGAGAGACACTTTTATTATTTAAGGACTTTTTATAAAAACATTTAAACACTTAAATTGTAGTTAAATTTTTGCTGTACGTATAATCTTCATATAACAAACATTTATCGCCTCAACCGGACGACACATTTCGTATTTTTGTCCGTTTCTCGTTAAAAACAGAAAAACTTCGTCTGTCAAACGTCTTACAGGTGGGGAGGAATTCCAAACGGGCGTCTGCATTTCCGGTTCGTCCACGACGCCAGAGTTTCAGCTGCGCAGCCGAAATTTCCAGAACTTTTTCAGGAGACAAGGGGCGGAGTCTGACCTCCTGCTGAGAGTGTTAGACACGCCCCCTATGATGGCCCACCCACAAAACGTGCACCAGTTCTTCCCTGAGGGCGTGCACGTACTTGTGCTTGTCGTGAGAGCGAACCTGACCAATGAGAAGACACACCTGGAGGAGCGCGCAGAGGTACACACTCAAACACACACTCAGTGTTACACACCCCCGCTCAGTTATAGCGTTGACGTTTTCAGCGGCGTGTTTTCTTTTCTGTGGCGTTTCTTTAAAGGCTCTCTTGGGTCCAGAATGGCGTCGTCACACCGTGCTGGTTCTCACGTTCGCCGACCAGTTGAAGAAGGCGGGGCTTCGGACGGAACACTTTCTAACCCAGTGCAGTGATTGGCTGAGAGCTTTGGCTGAAAAAGTGGAAGGCGGGGCTTTCTTCTTGGACAACATCTCTGATTGGCCGTCCATCAGAGGGCAACCACTCAGAGAGCAACTGCTCCGCCTCTCAGCCAGAAACCGTCACGGAGCTTTAGAGGTCTCACCTTAACGACGTTCAGTACCTCCAGAGTACTTTATGAGTACTTAGATGGCGCTCTACTCTAAACAAGGATCTTTGTTAATACTGCAAGTGTAAAAGAAAATGTTTGTCTAATCTTGGTGCTACGAATAAAGCTAATTTGTAAATCCTAAAAAATGCAGTTCCTCCAGTGTCCACTTGAGGCAGCTCCTTACACCGAATTTTCCCTGCATCCGGAACGACTCCGATCCAGAATGGCGGCGATTTGCACCGTCAGCCAATTCCAACCGGATCTGTTTGTGAGGCGAATTTCTTGGCGGGTTACAGACAGCGGAATCCGCATTTATCCGCCATGCTCCGGCGTCCGGAAAACTCTTGCGATCAGCTGAGGAGTCCGGCGATCCGCAGAGGAACGGAAAGAAGTCGGTGTAAATTGACACGTTAACTTGAATGGTTACAATCAGCTACGATCGGAGGATACGACCTTTTAGGAGACGATCAGGATGAAGGTGGAAGTTGGGGGTCAGACTCTTTTGGAAAGGACAGTTGGACTTACTTGGGACGTTCTGGACATTCGTGATCGTAGATGATCGTACACAGACACCTGAGCTGAAACGCTTGTTTGGAGTGTTTTTATTGGTCAACAACATCGCCGTAAGAAAAAATGAACTCATTTGAATCTGTTTCTTCTTCTTCTCTCGTCAGCAGGACTAGCCTTCCTTTTATAAAAGTACTCCGGTGCGCGTCAGGTCCCTGCCGAGTCTATCTGATGCCGCAGTTGGTGAGGGTGGGGGCCCGGCACAGACCTTTACCCTTCACCTCGAACCCACAGCCTTTATAGTTGGCCACGCCCCGACCGTCCACCTGCAGGTCGGGTTGAAGGAGCTCCCAAACCCTCTGTTTGGACTGCAGCTCTTTGTCCGGGTCACCTGAGCACGAAAAAAAAAGGGGGAGGAGTCATAAGCAGATCAGATCTCCATGGCAACGTGTCATGATGATGGTAAAGTCATTGGCGGTTGGAGGTTGATGGACGCGCAGAAAGGTCAGGTGGTAGCTGGACGCGAAATTTTCTGTTCGTATGATGTTTGGGGAAGGTCCCGCCTCCTTCGTCTCTGATTGGCTAGAAGTGCTAGAAGTCGGAAAAAAGCAAAATCGGAGGCGGAAACAAGATGGCTGCATCTACGAAAGTTATTTTATCACTTGTCTTGTCCAAATATACAGCAAGCGCTTAAATAACTTTCATGGATTTAGCCATCTTGTTTTTGCCCTGATTTTGCTTTTTTCCGACTTGGTAACTGAAATGCCGATAACTCGGGTGTGACATCGTTTTCAGCTCCGACATCCGACTTTAAAGGTAACTCGAACGCAGCTTAAATTTGTGAATAATCATTTTTTTTGTCGGTTTGTTCGTGATGATGTTACCTGGGTAGTTTAGGAAGGTGACTCTGTCTCCGGGGTTCGACCCTGTGGGCGGAGTCAGAAGCTCGCTGCTGTCTTCGGAGTAGGCGCAACAGAGGATGCGGGCCTGTGAGACCACGCCCCTAACCCTGCAGGCCTTGATGTTGCAAAGCAGCACAGCGAGACTCCCCTGGATCTAGAGAGCGAGAAAAACGGTGTACTTTTAGAAACTTTAAAAAAGACGTGAAATAAAAATTTTAGAGACCAGAGGGACGCCGAGGTTAAATACAGGAAACAAAAAAGAACCAATTAAATATTTCTGCGTAATTTTCTTATTTTTTAAGTCGCTATGGTATAAAAACTTCATTATTATTAAAGACAATATTCGGCACAAAAACGTTAAGTTTATAAATCGGAATATTTAAAAAAATAAACTTGTGTTACCTCCTCAAAGTCTGTTTGTTCTTCGAGTTTGCTGACGACGGTGCGAGGGGCGTCCTCTCCCATGTCCACCTCTTGAACCGACATCGTCCTCGCCAGTGGGTGGCGCCGTATGTTCAGGACCCGTCCGACCCGCAAGTCTAGCCGTGACACGTCTACGCTGAGCTCCGCCTCCAAAGTGAACGAGTCTGAGGTGGGACGAGCTGAGAAAGAGAGAGAGAGAGTGAGTCTTCTCTTCGTTTCCTCTGTCCTTAATTTCACTCCTTATCGTCTCACCTTTCCTCTCTCCTTTCCTCCTTCCTTTCCGATCGTGAGACAGGGGAGGGGAGATGTTTCCTGGAACGGCGGCTGTTGCTCCAGCGGGGAAGGCCGGCTGATCGACAGGTGACTTGGGGGCGGGGCTTGTTGTTTGAGGAGGCGGGGCCGGGGCGAATAAAGCTTTAGCTGAAAAACAAAAATAAAAAAACTGAAAGTTCTTGGACTGACGTAAAATAAACTCAGGAATTTAATCTCAATCTAAATTCGGTTTTATTATGTTTTTTTAATTTCAATCTGACCACAGCGACACAGAAGCGGCTCGAGGGGACAGGAAATCAACCACAGTTGTTTGTGTGTGTCTGTTTGTGTTTGTTTTTATGTCTATTTGAGGACCAGGGACAATATAAGAAAAATAACAAACGAGGACCCAAAAAGGAAAAATTAAGAGGACATTTTTTTGTACTTCAGAAAGTAATCCTGCCCTCGGTTCCTGTTAGTTTTGTGTGTTCAGAAAATAATCATTTTTAAAACATTTTTTCTTACTTTTTTTGACTCATGTCTCTTAAACAACTTTAGCATTGAACATAAATTTTTTTTTTAAAAATCCCCCTTTTACCTTAAATTCACCTTTTTATGCCATTTTTTTGCGCCATGTCGCTGCTATTTTTAATGGTAAAAAAACACAAAATCGCCATATTTCCATATAAAATGACCTAAATTAGCTTTTTTTTGATAAATAGAGTCCGGGCCATTTAAATGATGAGAAGAAAAAACAATTTTGATGCATTAAAATTATTTTTGTAGTGCCAATTTTTTATATTTTTAGCTCCATCCAGCCTCCTATGTCTCCTATGTAAAACAGACATGCAGATAAGAGTTTTTTTTTTCTTACTTTTTTTGACTCATGTCTCTCAAACAACTTTTATCATTAAAAAAAAAATTTCTACCTTTTTTGACTCAAATCTTCAGCTCTGACCTTAAAAAAAAAAAAGAATAATGGGCGGAGCTAAAATGTGGCGACGGAGAATTAGATTGTAATGCGTACCTGTGCGTCTCCTCTGTTTGTCCTGAAGTTGAACCTTCAGCTGCTCGATGTCCTTCTTTAATTTTCCGTTTTCCACCAGCAGTTTTTTCTGGTCTCTGATCGACGACTGCAGGACTGAAAACACAAAAACACACGACTGCAGTTTGGGGTTCGATAACACGCTGTTTCCTCGCCGTGTTGTCCTGTGTCGGATCGGTAACGTAAAGCGTGTTTTTACTCACGTGCTTTCTCTCTGGTTAGCAGCGCGTGGGTTTTAAAATACTCCACGATCTGCTCGCCGTCCTCGGGGTCGAGTTTAATGAGCGCCGCCGCCAGACTGAGAGACACAAAAACAGAAGGTCAAACTCTGAAAAAACAGAGGAACATATGAAAATGTGATCTCTAATATTCGTATGATAATTAATAATAAAAATATGATAATAAAAAATGGTAATGTGTAAAATGATAGTAAAAAAATACGATAATCAAAAATAAAAATACAATTATTAAGATAAAAATACTATTATTAAAATTTATAATAAAAATACTATTATCAAAAATTAACATATAATAATTAAGATAAAAATATGAAAATTAAAAATAAAAATATGTTAATTAAAAACAAAAATAGGATAATTAAAAATAAAAGTAGGATAAATAATAATAAAAATATGTTAATCTAAAAATAGATATAAAAATGCTCATCTTTAATACTAATATAATGATCTATAATATATATTATGTTAAATTATATAAATATGATGCTCTATAATATAGATAGGATGATCTGTAATATAAATGTAAAGATTAATAATAATAATAATATTTTGATCTATTATAATAATATGACTATCTTTAATGTTACTATGATGATCTATAATGTAAATATGATCATTGATAATGTAAACAATGATGATCTATAATCTAGATGTGAATCTGTTAATCAAAGGTCTATGACAGAGTGATCTGATATGACTGTATGTAAATCAATGTCATCAATACTCTGATCGGATGTTTATATAGATGATATCTGAGAGGACATTTGTCAAAGTCACTGCCGGAGGGTTAAACACACACACGCACACACACACACACACACAGAAATGTCAGAAATAATTGAGAAAAGGAAGATCATCGAAACATCATGAGATGATTCCTGTTGACTCAGTCTGACCACAAACATCCTACTGACACACACACACACACACACACACACACCTGTCAGTTTAATATCTCAGAGATTAAAAACAGAAATTCTCTGTTTTTATTATTTAGTTTCTGCTCATAAATTCACACCTGAACCTGACGTGGACGTTTTTGGGCAGAAAGAGTCATCAGTGAAGTTTGGAGAGACGTTATCAGAGCTGAAGGTTTTTCATTTAAATACCATCAAAAGTTCCACACTCACACACACACACACACACACACACACACACACACACACACACACAGTCACACACACACACACACACACACACACACACACACACACACACACAGAGGCTGAGTGAAACCAGCGTATTTACATAATGACAAACAGAAAGCCGCTGACGCACCCGTCAGCTGTAAGTCTGGTTCAGATTTACATACACAAATACACTCGAATGTCACAGACTGATATCTTCATCACTTTACTGTAAAGGAAAATCCCCTACTACTCTTTATCTCCTTCAACACGGACTAAAACCTGTTTGTGACGAGTTAACGTGTTAAAAAAACATGAAAAATAAAAGTTTTTAATTTTAGCAGCAAAATTATCAAAAAAGTTTTTCACTGATTCTCTTAAAACCCTTTATTTATCTTTTTTATCATATTTGATTCAAACTTTTATAAACTTCTATCTAATCAATATGATCAATAAATTACTAAAAAACACCAGAATACAGTCGGATAAACGATAAAAATGTCCTCTTGTGGTTTATTAGTTTACTAAGACAGAGTATCAGGGCCACATTAAGAAAAGAAAAATTTAAGACTTGATAATTACTAACGAGAATAAAACAAAGATGCATTTCTTAAATTTGTCCCGATATTTCTGACGATGTGACGCTGAAATGCCGAAAGATTTAGTATCTCCTTGTTTGTCAAACCAAACTATTAAAATTCAATTCATCTAAATGCTCCACAGCGCTCATTTAAACAACGAACAACAGGTTAGAATATTAGCTACAACTTTATTTATGTAAGAAATTAACTTTATTACTTTTTTCTTGTAAGTAATGATTATATTCCGACTTTTTTCTTGTCATATTAATATTACGACTTTATTCTTGTAACGATTATATTACGACTTTTTCTCATTATGGTTATATTAGGACTTTATTTTTGTAATGATTATATTACAGCTTTTTTCTCGAAGGTAATGATTATATTATGACATTTTTCTCGTAAGTAATGATTACATTACGGTTTCAGTCTTGTAAATAATTATTCATCACAACTTTATTCTCGGTAAAGAAAAATTTTAATTACAACTTTAATCTCCTAAATTATTTTTTAATAATTTAATAAGTCATTTTTTCTCGTAAATAATGACTTTAATTTCCAAGTCTTTTTTTTTCTCTTAATGTGGCTCTAATTCTCCGTTGTACTTTACTCTTTACGGTGTATTAATGTTAAAGATTTGAGTAATTAAAGTTTTTTTAAATAAAAAATAAATTTTCTTTGTTTAAATTTTATAAAAGTTGGTCACGACTTAAGGACCCTGGGAAAATGTGGGTCCCAGAGTGAGACCAGTTTAAAACCACTGATCTACATGAACAAAGTGAACAAAAACGAAGAACCTTTCACCCTGTCATTCTTTAATGTCTTCAAACCTGAACGCTTCTTTAAAAGGTTTCATTTGATCATGTGATCATCAGGTCCCCGCACTGCGAACGTCCCCCGGGGATCAAGTCTTTACAAAGACATGAAAACAAACGCAGTGACACACACACGTGCGACACCTGTTAAACGCAGAAACGACACGACAGCTGCTCTCACGCCTCCTGCTATAAATAACGTCAGCTGCTGTGAGACGAGCTCGGGGAGAAGAAGAAGTACACACTCAAATACTAGTACTACTGCGTTTTAATACTGCGTTTTAATACTGCGATCATCACAGGAAGAGACGGTAAACGTTAAAACTCTGTAAAAAAACACTTTTTAGGAATATTTGGAGATAAATTTAAGATTTAGGTGAAGTTTTGATGTTAAAGTCTAAAGGAGGGTCAACAGTTGGATTTTATATTATTATATATTTCACAAAGTCATTATATGTTTAACCTTTCTACTGTAAAGTCAGAGTTTTAAATACACACAGAAGTTTAACTTTAAAATATTCATCAAATAAGAAATAAAGTAAAACAAACCCTCCTGAATAAACCAGAGTATCATCTGAAGACCGACTCTGTCTTAAAACAACATAAAACAGTTTTTCTTCGCTCAGACACCACGTTTGTCCTTGTCGCTTCACAGTCAGTCACACAAACAGACAACTGAGTCGTTTCATTTAGAATAAAATCAGAAATCTGACCGAGAAAAGTTTCAAAAAGTTTGAATAAAATCAAAGTTCAGGTTGAGAAACGACTCAATCGTGAGTTTGGGGATAAAAACTGTTAAAACAGACACTAACTTCAGATTTAACCTGAACTCTTTACCCTCTGTAAGGACCGTTAATCCTCATATATCATCAGTTTGAAGCTCTCAGACGCGTCCGTCACTAAATAACGAGTATGAAGTTTAAAAACACGCCGCTCCTGTCGTACCTGGGGTTAAAAAGGTCGTCTGCGTTCTCCATGTTGGACGGACGAGGCGCTCGCTCCGACGGTCGGACACAGAAAGTCCAGAGTTTGTCTTCAGCCGGGAGGTAAACTCCGTCAGCTGTCCGCTTCCATCTCCAGCTGGGTGGAGGTCAAAGGTCAAAGAGCCCCCCTGCCCCACCCCCCTCTCAAAAACACAACTTGACGTCCACGTCAAGAAAGAGGATTTTAAACGTAATGTCAGTGATCATTAAAAAATCATTAAAATAACTAATGACACTGTTTAAGTTTGAATTTACATAAAAAATCCTCATTAATACATTTATTTAAATGAGTTTATATATTAACAAACACAAAAATTCTTTAATAAAGTAAAAAAAAAAGAAAATTTTTCTCAAAAACATTAATCCATGAGAAAAATCACTTATGGGTAAATGGTCATGTGGTAAACAGCAGATTTAATATGTTTAGAAAAAAGTCCTGAGTGTAAAAAAAGAGTCATACTTTTATTAAAACAAAAAAAGTGTCAATTTTTGAGCAGAAAAATTCCAAAAATTTAGTAAAACTTTGTATGAGCCGAAAGTATTTAGAATAAAGATGAGATTTGTCAGGAAAAAAAGTCAAAAAATGTTTAAAAATAAAGAAAAAAAAAGTTTCTTGTTCCAGAGACAAAAGTCAAAAAGCTGGAAAAAATTTTTTTTGAGTGTAGGCGCAAAGTTTTTGTAGTAAAGGAAAATTTTTTGTCAACATTAATCTGCGAGAAAAGTCACTTTTGGGCAAATGGTCATGTGAGAAACGGCAGATTTAATATGTTTAGAAAAAAGTCCTGAGTAGAAAAAAACAGTCGTACTTTTATTAAAACAAAATCCTAAATTTAAAAGAAAAATCAAGAGAAAAAAGTTTCAATTCATGAGCAGAAAAAGTCCAAAAATTTAGTAAAACTTCGTACGAGCCGAAAGTATTTAGAATAAAGATGAGATTTGTCAGGAAAAAGTAACAAAAATTTTTCAAAATAAAGTCCAAAAAAGTTTCTTTTTCCCGAGATAGAAGTCATACAGCTGGAAAAAAAAGACAAATTTAAGTAAAAATAAGTAAAAATACAGAGATAAATAAATAAAATAAGTATAAATAAAGAGATAAATAGGCAAAATAATTACAAATGAGTAAAAATAAAAGGATAAATAGATAAAACAAGTAAAAATATGTAAAAATAAAGAGATAAATAGATCAAATAAGTAAAAACAAGTTAAAATAAAATACAAGTATGTACAGTATAAACAACACAAACTGGTAAAACTGTGAATATAAACAGTAAGAACAGTCAGTATCAGTCTGTACTGAAGTGTTTGAGGTGTTCAGGCTCTTCTGTGCTCAAATAGCGCCCTTTAGTGGAGAAAATAAATATTACAACAGCAGCAGCAGCAGACCAGACTTCTTTTTTTCTTTGAGCTTTTCAGTTTATTTAATCCTCACAGACTGTTTTTTTTTGTATATAACATAATGGATCTAAGAGGTCAAATAAAAGCTGCTGGAGACAAATCTTATTTTTCTTTATTTTTATTCTGAACTTTTGGAGCATTTTTTTACAGACAAGTTTGGACATTAATTTAACCATTGAAGGTGATTTTAACATATTCCCACAAAAACTGAGGATGTGATTTAGTTTTATTTTGGAGCAGTGACTCTTTAAATCAAATCCTTCTCACTTAATCATCACAAATGAAAACAAAACTGAATAATTTTGATCTTTTTATCTTCAGTTTTGTTGATTAAAGTCAAAATTTTCGACCAAAACCGACTCGTTTCCCCACCGTGACGGAAAACACCGAGTGATACCGAGCAGGTGAGTCGAACTTTGAGTCATCAGGGAGTGTCACCGGAAGCTGCCACGCCATATTCGGAATTGCTGGGGGGAGGCTCGAGGGTGGGCGGGGTCCTAACCCGGACACACGCTCACTGAAACCGGTCGCGCGCTCCATAGGTGATCCGGAGAGCGCGAGGAGGAGGAGGTGGAGAAGCAAAAGAAGACTAAAAAAGTTTGAAAGTCGAGGAAGTAAAAAGTTCATCTGTACCGGTAAGTTTGTTCGACTCACCTTTACACGCACGAAACGAGTCGGTTAGTCGAGTTATTTCACCTGTTCGAGGGGAGAGAGGTGTGAGACCGCGGCAGACAGGTGTGACCGGGTTCCTGTTGATGTCGACATGCTCGTGGCGACTTTAGAAACTCTGCAGCCGAGAATTTTGTCGAAACAAGAAAGCGATTAACCGAGTGATCGACGCGGCGGTTATTATTTCTTTGTTTTTAAAGCGAAAAGTCGTTTTGAAACTTGAATACCTGGTGTGTGTTTTTTTTTAGTTCTGGATGATTTAAGAGTCTTTTTCAGGGTTGGTCAGTTCTTCTGAAGGCGTTGAGAAGACTGTGTGTTCTCCGGTTAATCGGTCATATTCAGATAATTTCAGCTGCACAAGAAACAGACAATTAACGAACATCTTCTTTTGTGTGATTATCACTAAAAATAACCAGTGAGGAATGAGTTTACACGTTTCTTCCTGGTTTTAAAAGGTGAATTTTCGGTTAATTCGGTTAAAACTTTCTGCTCTAATCGATAAGAGGTGATTACTTCCTCATTAATTCAGACTTTAAGATGAAGCTGATAGTAAAAACGTTCTCATAGATGCAGGATGAGGTCTGTGTAGCCCCCTCTCTGTCTCTCTGTCTCTCTGTCTGTCTGTTGGAGAGTCTTGTGGCGGTGAATCAGCTCTAATTTGGGGGAAATTGAGTTCTCATGGTCTTAACTTCGTTACAGTTAAAGTCTGTTATTCTGCGGGGCCGTAAACAGGACATGACATGCAGAAGCAGAAATACAAAAAAGAGACACACCAAAAAATCAGCTTCATCATCCTGACATGTTAGAGAGTAAGAAAAAGGAGAAGATGTGTTTAAGACAGGAGAGAGACCGCCAAAATAAAGTCCAAACACCTGCAGAGGAAAGTTAACGACAGTAATAATTATAAATGTTTATTTTTAATGCGCTTACAGGGGCTCAAAGACGCCTTACAAATAAATAAAATTAAAAAAAACCACACAATTAAAAATTCAAAAAGAATTTAAATTAAAAAAAAAAGAGAAGACATGTTTGTTTAAGACCGCCAAAATAAAGTCCAAACACCTGCAGAGCAAAGTTAACGACAATAATAATTATAAAAATGTTTACTTTTAACGCGCTTTTACAGGCGCTCAAAGACGCCTTAACAAAGAAAGAAATAAAATAAAAAAACACAATTTAAAATACAAAAATTTTGAGAAATAAAACAAACAATGTAAAAAGTGAAAAAAGACTCAAAATTAAAAAAACAAAACAAAAGAAGAATTCACAGGTTTAATTTAAAATACAAACATTTTGAAAATGATAAAAATGCAAAAGATGAAAAAGACTTTAAACAAACTTCAATAAAACTGGACTCACAGCACCATCTTTTTCTGGTACTTTAATTGTGTTTATTGTATATAGTTTTATTTTCTTTTTCCTTTTTCTAAATTTTTTCGTAATTATAACATTTATTGAAGTTCTTAATATTACGATCTTTATTTTTATAACTGCATTTTTGCACTATTCTGAAGACACAAAATGAAAAGACGATAAAAGAAGAGTTGGCAGGTTTAATTCGAAAAGACGTGTTTTTAAAAGATAACGTCATAATTTCGCAGTTTATGTAAATTATTAAAACTATGAAACCAGAGGAAAGAGTCGTCTCCTCAGGTAGGGCTGGGCGATACGAGAAAACGTTTATCATGATAATTTTTTTTCATATCAGTCGATATCGATCAGTATCAGGATATAAAAATGAAATTTAACAGTGTTTATTGGTCGCATGTCTTTTGAGATGTCTTTGTGTCTCTTTGACGTTTTGTCGTAAGGCGTCGCTCTAGAGAAAGCCGACTGAATGGTCGTCTGTTTCGGCTCCTCGCTCCTCTCGGGGTTTGTAACCTTTAGCGTTGAGCCTTCATGGTCATTTCTGTCGGGGGTAGCACTCATTTTCTTTGTTTCTCACCAACAGTGCTGTCGGCTTCACCTGTTAAAGTGCTATGGTTGGGTGGAGCTGCTGTCTGCTACGACGCTGCAGTTGGTTGATACGAATGACGACAACTGAAAAGTGTATTGATCATGTTTTATGTTGATATTGAGGGAAATTAATTTTTGATATATATCCTCCTCATTTTATCGCCCAGCCGTACTTACAGGATGTCGGACAGGTGCGCCGGCTAATGGACGTTAAAAATATCGTCTAGTTTCAACTTTAAAAACCAAATCTGAGGCTGAAATGTTTCACAGGAATCAAAGCGGTTCAGAGATGAACCAGGAGAACGAAAAACATGAGAAATGAGTAAAAATACAGACGTGTGTTCAGAAACTAAACCTTCATGTCAGTGAGAGGTGAGTTAAAAAGAGGTTTACCCTGAGACTCCAACACACGTGTGTGTGTGTGTGTGTGTGTGTGTGTGTGTGTGTGTGTGTGTGTGTGTGTGTGTCGGCACACATTCACGTTTGTGTGAAGAGTCGGTGGAGCAGTAGAAAGTATTTCACATTAGAGAGAGACATGACTCGGGTTCAGCTGGACTCAGACCAGGACCGACTCGGTCTTTGACTCTTCAGGACTGTTTTTGTTTGAGCAGATCTAAACCAGGGAGTCTGTAAACCTCCTCAGAAAGAACCAGACAGTTAGCTTTATTCATTTATGTTTAAATATATCTATTTCATTTTTATTAATTTCTTTTTCTTCTTCTTTCTCTTCTGTATCCAAAGGGAATAATGGGGAGGGTTAGAAATTATGTGGTAAAAAAAAAAAAAAAAAGCTGACATTTTATTTTTGGTGTTGTATCAATATAAAATAAGAAAAGATGTTTTTAAAAAAAAAAAAAAAAAAAAAGCAAACCACCAGACATTTATCTTTATTTATTTATTTATAGGTATATTTATTATGTGTATTTATTTATGTTTTTATTTTTATTTTTCTGTCTGTTTTGCGTCCCTGGGGAATAATGGGGAGGGTAGGAAATTATCTGGGTTTTTTTTCATTAAAAAAAAAAAAAAAAGAAGAAAAAAATTATTTTTAGTTGTTCTATCAATATGAAATAAAATAGATGTTTAAAAAAAAGGAAAGCACCAGACATTTATCTTTATTTATGTATTTATTTATAAATATATTTACTTATTTTATTTTTTATTTTTTTATTTTTCTTCCTGTTCTGTGTCCCTAGGAAGTCATAGGTATGGTAGGAAATTATGTTGTTTAAAAAAAAAAAAAAAAAAAGAGAAAAATAAATTAAATATGAAATAATCAAAAGATGTTTAGAAAAAAAGAGAGAGAGATTTATCTTTATTTTTTCATAGAAAGATATATTTAGTTTTTAAAATTTTTAATCTTTTTTAATTTTCTTTGTGTTCGGTGCCCTTGGGGAATTTTTGGTTGTTACACAATATGAATTAAAAATGATGTTGAAAAGAAAAAAAAAAGAAAGCAGACTTAAAACTGGATTTTACTCTTAGGCTGTGACTGACCTCTGGTTTTCAAAGCCTCATAAATACTTTAAAAACCGGTCTGCATACAGGACTGGGAGCTAAAATACCTGTGTTCTTGAAAAAATCCAGATGTTAAAATGTTTATTTGTTAAATCTGAAATGATAAAAATAAATCAGTATTTCCAGCTGAATTTGAAAACAGATGGTTCATCCACAGATCTTTTTATTTGAAGTCAAACGTTAAAAACTCAAATATCCAGAATCCAGAGTCTGAAACCCGTGTGAGAAATATGTCAAACATCTGAGCAGCGTTTCATTTTTACCCCCAACTCAGAAAATCTGCGACTTTCCGTGTCCTGAAGAAGTTTTTTACGACTCCGACTTTTTGTAACCGAGAGCGACAGAAGCCCGAGTTCATCAGGAACGAGTTTTCATGGGAAAAGGAGCCGATTCAGGTCATCCTCCTCCTGTTCCACCAGGATGCCGTCCGACCCGTTTTTACCCGGGTCACGGTGTGTGTGTGTGTGTGTGTGTGTGTGTGTGTGTGTGTGTGTGTGTGTGTGTGTGTGTGTGTGTGTGTGCGTGTTAGGAAACATGTCTGTTGGTGGGCGTGTCACTTTAAGAGGGAGTGCCGCCCTGAGGTAACTTCCAGTCAAACAGCCGAGATTCATTCCTACTGTGTGTGTGTGTGTGTGTGTGCGTGTGTGTGTGTGAGTGTGTGAGTGTGTGTGTGTGAAGCAGGTCAGTAACCTGGACTCGATAAACCGCACTGATAAGTGAATTCCTTCAGGTGTTTGTTGAGGATCCGTCACGTTTCTAAAGAGTTCCTGTTAAAGTCCGATGGTTACCTCGGAAACGCTTCGATACTGAGGGACCGGGTCCACTCGTAAAAAAAACGTGATATCCGATCTTTATGAGGTCGGCTGATAACAGTTTTTACAGGAGCTCACTGACGAGAAGTAAACAAGTGCATGAGAGGGAACCAGGTTTTATACGGACCGACCAGGGATCAGTCCCAATCAGCTGTTCAGATTCTGTGATTAATCCGGATCAAAAACGAACGAACGAACGAATCCTTTTCTTTACTCTTTAAAGGGATATTCCGGCGCAAAATTAAGACACCGTAACACTAAGTTAGACACCTCCTCCAGAGATGGATGTTGCCGTAATGTTGTTGTTCTATATTCAGAGTTGTCCTAACTCCTAAGAAAGTTTCTCCACTTCTGTAGTCTATAAGCTGGGCCAAGAAACTTCTACTGTAGTAAAATGAAAAGGTAAAGGTGTTTTTATTGAGCCGAATTATCAATAAAATGATGATTTTGTTAACAGGTATGGATTTATGTGCTGTCGAGTTAATATATTTGAACAAGAGCACAGTAAAGTTAATCAGCTAATTTTCCAATGAGGTTCTGTTACTGAACGGAACTACACCATGTTCTACTGAGGTTAGTACATATAGGGTCACAGACATAGTACTAGACACCAAACATCTTTTTAACTTTGACTCATTTCTTTAGCAAAGAGACTAAACACAACTCACCTACTCTCTTCCAGCAGCTGCTTTTTTGTAGTGAGACCTCAGGCCAGTCCATTACAGACTACAGCGGGGTGCCGCAGCTCAAGGAAGAACATTTATGATCATTTCTTTATCATTTCCTTGAAGTAATAATCATCATATTAATCATTTTACAGACTCAGTAGTTCTTCTGTCTTGGTCGGTCTGATTGTATTTCCATGAAGAAATGATCTTAAATGTTCTTCCTTGAGCTGCGGCACCCCGCTGTAGTCTTTAATGGACTGGCCTGAGGTCTCTCTACAAACAAGCGTCTGCTGGAAGAGAGTAGGTGAGTTGTGTTTAGTCTCTTTGCAAAAGAAATGAGTCAAAGTTAAAAAGATGTTTGGTGTCTAGTACTATGGCTGTGACCCTATATGTACTAACCTCAGTAGAACATGGTGTAGTTCCGTTCAGTAACAGAACCTCATTGGAAAATTAGCTGATTGAACTTTACTGTGCTCTTGTTCAAATATATTAACTCGACAGCACATAAATCCATACCTGTTAACAAAATCATGATTTTATTGATAATTTGGCTCAATAAAAACACCTTTACCTTTTCATTTTACTACAGTAGAAGTTTATTCTGGCTTATAGAGGTGGAGAAACGCCCCCGCTTAAGTTTATGTTTCTTAGGAGTTGAAACAACTCTGAATATAGTACTATGTCTGTGACCCTATATGTCCTGTTGATGAAGTTAGGTGCTGTTCTGAGCATTATTTGTGCGTTTTTACTGATTTTTGAGGAACTCTTATCGTGTGTGAAGGTTCCTGAAGTGCTTACTCAGGAGAAACACCTGCTGAGAAGGTCTGAACCAGAACCAGCAGATCTATAAACCTGAACAGACGTCCCACATGTCTTAGCGGTCTCTCATAATCTCCTTGTTAATTTCTTCATGTTTTCTTCTCAGTGACCAATCAGCTCCTCCTGTGTGACCTCCTGGAATCGATCACCTTATTGACCCTCAATCAGCGGCAGACTGATCAATGATCCTGGACGCCCTCTGACTGATAACCTCTGTTGACCCCTGATCCTGGATTAGCAAACTCGTCTGGACCAGATAAGACTGTGATTGGTCGAGACTCTCGCTGATCAATGGCGGCATCAGAACTGATACAAAGTGACGACGATGTCCGCCCTCACGTGGAAGCGAACGTCACCACGGTGAATCCTCCCACGCCTCCCCGTCCCCCGAGAGTGTCAAACGGCAACCCGCCACGCCATTCCTCCTCGCCGTCTCAGCCCGCCGAAACCAACGAGGACAAGAAGCAGCAGGAGCGCAACAAGCTGAGCAGCCTGCTGATCCACACGCTCAGCAGCAAACTCAAGAAACACTGCGACTACGTCAAGATCAGCGTGCCGGAGGAGCGGGCCAACCGCCTCCCCGCTGAGTGGTGGAAAACCGGCGTGGCCTTCCTCTACGCCATATTCAACCTGGTCTTCACCACCGTCATCATCACCGTCGTCCACGAGAGGGTGCCGGATAAGTCGGTGAGCCCGCCGCTGCCCGACAAGTTCTTCGACTACATCGACCGAGTCCCGTGGGCGTTCACCGTCACGGAGGTCAACGGGCTGATCCTGGTCGGACTCTGGTTCGTCCAGTGGCTCTTCCTCAAACACAAGTAAGACCAGGAACCCTGCAGTTCCTGTAAACAGTACTCAGAGTAAAAGGGGACGAGTAGGCGTGGAAAGAAAACTGATTTTAAAAAGTCTTAGCAGGGGGGGTTTATCGATTCACTGAAATAATCAGCTGATGACGCAACTCATCGGGAAAACTAACGACAAATGTTACCAGCCACCAAACATCTTTTTAACTTTGACTCATTTCTTTAGCAAGAGACTAAACACAACTCACCTACTCTCTTCCAGCAGACGCTTGTTTGTAGCGAGACCTCAGAGCCAGTCCATTACAGACTACAGCGGGGTGCCGCAGCTCAAGGAAGAACATTTATGATCATTTCCTTGAAGTAATAATCATCATATTAATCATTTTACAGACTCAGTAGTTCTTCTGTCTTAGCGTCTCGGTCTGATTGTATTTCCATGAAGAAATGATCATAAATGTTCTTCCTTGAGCTGTGTCACCCCGCTGTAGTCTGTAATGGACTGGTCTGAGGTCTCGCCACAAACAAGCGTCTGCTGGAAGAGAGTAGGTGAGTTGTGTTTAGTCTCTTTGCTAAAGAAATGAGTCAAAGTTATAAAGATGTTTGGTGTCTAGTACTATGGCTGTGACCCTATATGTACTAACCTCAGTAGAACACGGTGTAGTTCCGCTCAGTAACAGAACCTCATTGGAAAATTAGCTGATTTAACTTTACTGTGCTCTTGTTCAAATATATTAACTCGACAGCACATAAATCCATACCTGTTAACAAAATCATGATTTTATTGATAATTCGGCTCAATAAAAACACCTTTGGTTGAGGTTTGTTTATGGCTCCTCAGACCTCTCTGTATTGCTATCGTGCGGTCGTTACCAAAGTTGGTATAACTAGAGAAGCAAGCGGTCGGCAACATTCATCTCTGGGGGGGGGGTCTAACTCGGTGTTACTTAATTTTACGCCGGAATATCCCTTTAATATAGCTTAACACTCCTGTTTCTACATTTGAGCCAAACTACCTTTAAAATATTAGTTTATTTTAAAAAAACTCTTTTTATACTAACTTACAGAAAACAAGTGTGATCTTTTAAAATGTAAACGTCTCTGTTTCCGTACAGATCAATCATCGGCCGTCGCTGTTTCTTCCTGATCGGGACTCTCTACATGTACCGCTGTGTCACCATGTACATCACCACCCTGCCTGTACCGGGGAAACACATGGTGTGCGCCCCAAAGGTAGAAAAACATTCAGTCTATATCTGCATTTACTACTTTATCCCGACATCGGATTCTTGGCTACGACTAAATCTTTAATTTTTGATCATCTGCGCAGCTTTACAACGACTCGACGGGGAAAATCTGGAGGATTCTGAGGCTGATCTCAGGAGGAGGTAAACAACTTTGACTATACAAAGAATCGGATCAATAGTTTTCATCCTGCTAGCATGAAGGCGGAATAATCTAGTAGTGGTAGTTATAGTAATAGTTGTAGTTACTCCTATCTGCCTCTAGGTGGCAGCGTAGTTGATGTTGTTTCTCAAACGTGTTCCGATGTTTTAACTCTGGCCCCTCCCCCTCCTCCTGTGTTTGACCGATGTGTTCAGGTTTGTCTCTGACCGGCTCTCACCTAATGTGCGGCGACTTCCTGTACAGCGGTCACACGGTCATGTGTACGCTGTCGTACCTGTTCATCAAAGAGTGTAAGTAGTACTGCAGTAAAACTTCTGTATTATACTGTTCAGGAGTACGAACGTTGATGGTTGGCACTTCAACAAATACTCTGTATCACCTGAAAAATTTGTCGCAAATATAACAGAGTCCTAAATTATGCAAGGTGTTAGCATTTCCATTTGAACGTTTAGTAACCTACCACATGGTGGTGCTAGAGGTCTCATTTTTCAGTTTACTTAACAGTTAAATATCGGAAACCACTTTATGAAATTTGAGGATTTTAGCGCTTTCACTTTCTGATATATTATATTTTAAAGTTTGGTCCCTGAAACTTGCATTCACGTTTAAAGCAGTATATTATGGTGGCCGAGAAGTGCCACTGCTGCAAATAAAACAGAATACAGCAAAAAAGAAGTCACAACTGAAGTAATCGATGCAAAAAAAAAAAGAAAGAAACAGTGCAGATAAAAAATTTTTTTTAAAAAAGGAGTTAGTTACTTTTTTATTTTTTCATCCTTTTATTTTCTGGGAAAGTAACTTTTTTTTCCATTGCCACTTTTTATTTGTGTCATTAACTTTCGTTATGGCCTCTTTTTTTGTTGCATCCTTTTATTTTTGCAGTAACATTTTTTTGCATCGCCACTTTTTTTTGCGTCGTTAACTTCCGCTGTGGCTTCTGTTTTTGCATTCTTTTATTTTAGCAGTAGGTTTGTTTTTGTTGTTATTTGTTTTTTGCATGGCCAGGTTTATTTTGCATTGTAACTACCATTGTGGCTTTTTTTTTGCATCCTTTTTTTTCGCAGTGAGTAACTTTTTTAAAAAAATTTTTACATCACCACTTTTTTTTTTGCGTTGTTAAATTCCTTTGTGGCTTTTTTTCTTGCCTCCTTTTATATTTGCGGAATCTTAATTTTTTTTTTGCATCATTAACTTGTGTTTTGGTTTTTTTCTTATCTGCACCGCTTCTTATGTTTTTTATTTGCAGTAGGCTTTGGTTTCTTTTTTTGTTGTTGTTGCCTCGTTAACTTTTGTTGTGACTTTTTTTTTTTTTTTGCATTCTTTTTTATTCGCAGCTGTGGCAGTTCTCGGCCACCGTAGTATATAATCAGTGTCCCCTTTAAATAGAAAGACATTAAATGTGAGATACCCCTCCTCCTCGTAACTTCCTACATCTGAATCGTTGCAGACTCCCCCCGCTGGATGTGGTGGTATCACTGGTTCTGCTGGTTCCTCAGCGCCTCAGGGGTCCTCTGTATCCTCGTCGCTCACGAGCACTACAGCATCGACGTGGTGATCGGATATATCGCCACCACCAGGATCTTCTGGTGGTACCACACTATGGCCAACACACACGTACGTACACGCATACAGGTAATAGCTACATAGTGGGGACCATGACGGGGACTTGTGTCACTGTAAGGGGGTCCTTTTTTTATTTCACTGAGTCCGATCAAAACAGAAGCTCTTACTTATTATTCAAAAAGAAATAAGAAGTAAATTTTTAAAAACTATTTTTAAAGATAAGTGAGTAAAAATTCTCTGTTTTAGATTGTACTATAGGTAGAAAATAACACCACAGCAGGAAGTCCGTGCACACTTTTTCTTTTTTTTACATAAATCTGTTTGGCAACTTCAGTCCTGACCAAAACTACTAAATATATATTTTTGAAAATCAGGATTTTAACCCTTTAAGTGCCAATTTAGAAGATGAACTCAGTGATATTGGGAGGAGAATGAACACAAAATTACCTGTTTTCAGATAATATAATTTTCTATGTCCCAGGTAAATGGGTGAACCAGGTGATCAATAATAAAATGACCTAATTTGATCCCCTCTGAACAGGATTGATCACCCTGACTGTAAAAATTATATTTATATAGAGTCATGTCTCTGCGTTTAAAACATGTGGTTATAATGGGAGTCAATGGGACAAAAACAGACACAAAGACCATAAAAGGAAGTTTTTAGAAAATCTGTTTCTGCACAAAAACTAAATATGAATCAAAACCAATTATGTTACTAATCAAAGACATGTCCAAGACTGTGATAACAGGTAAAAAATGTTCTTTTTTTTATTGAAAACAGCTCATTTTGTGTGTATTTTCCACATATCACTAACTTTCTTTTTAAAATTGGCATTCAAATGGGTAAAATTTAAAATTTTTTAAAAATATTTACTAGTTTTGATCAAGACTGAGGTTGATTTATGCAAAAAAAATTTGAAAAAATATTTATCTGATATATTTTTACAGCAGTCAAAGTTCGTGGCCAAAAACAGACACTAAGACCATAAAAGGAAGTTTTTAGAAAATTTGTTTCTGCATGAAAACTAAATATGCAAAAAAAACAATTATGTTACTAATCTAAGACATGTCCCAGACTGAGATAACAGGTAAAAAATTTCTTTGTCTGATCATTTTTTATATTGAAAACAGCTGATTTTGTGTGTATTTTTCCCCATATCTGTAACTTTCTTTTTAAAATTGGCATAAAAGGGTTAAAATTTTGAATTTTTAAAAAATATTTACTAGTTTTGATCAAGACTGAGGTTGATTAACAGATTTATGCAAAAAAAATGAAAATGAAAAATAATTTATCTGACATATTTTTACAACAGTCAAAGTTAGTGGCTGAAAACAGTCACTAATACTTGTAAAGGTAAGTAAATTTGCTGACAGTTTACTGTTGACCATTTCAAAATTTTGATGTAATGTTTTTAAATTATATGGAAAAATAAGATTGTTCACAAAAATGAGGCTATTTGCTGCAATACAGTGAAAGTTTTTGTCAAATTAAGATTAAAAATTGACTCTTATTGGACGTTTTTATCACCAATACTGTATCGGGGTTTAATAACTAACTTCAAAAACGATTACATCGACTATATTTCTTTTGATCGTAGATTTATTCGTGTGTTTTTTCCTTGATGTTAATTGTCGTCCTCTCGTCCGCTCAGTCTCTTCGCCAGGCCTCCAATAACTTCTTATCCCGGACCTGGTGGAACCCGATCTTTAACTTCCTGGAGAAGAACGTCCAGACGACGGTCCCCATCTCCTTCTCGTGGCCCGTGAACCTTCCGTCGTCCTGCAGACAGCGGTACAGGATCGTGGAGGGAGGACGGGACGAATGAGCGGCGTCCAAACCCTCGCTGCTGTTTGTAAAGACGGAGAACTTTGAGAACCAGTATTTCCAGCTCTCCTCTTACGGAGGAGAAACAACCCTGCAGGTCTGCCACCTGAATTTTGGGGGTTTACCTGCTGACCATTCTGAAAGACGGGGGCTCAAAAATACTCAACATGGAGTTTCAAGCTCCGGTGACGAACTTACAGTTTTAGCGCCCCTAGTCTGTGACTTGTGGGAATGTTTGAATCAGGTCTGTTTGACACTGACGCCCTTGCAGCGTTTTCAGGCATTAATTTTAGGATTTATAAATCACCGATTTATCGTCGCTGAGGGTCTCGTTAGCTTTCAGATATCGTCAAAAAGTTTCTGTGTGAGTTTAAAAATTTTTCATTTACGACAAAAATCTTTTTAGAGGAACTTTAAACTCAAACATAATCATACAAGTCCTATCACGTTTGCCTGATGTTACTCGTCTCCTCAAATATCTTCAGTCAAAGTCAATTTCATTCTTGGTAATACTTGATTCTTTGCCGGCGCAAAAACAAACAAACGAGATTTTTTCAGATTTCTTTTAAACTGAAAAAAAGTAGCATCTGTTCCTTTTAGCTCGCTACAGATATGTCTTTAAACTCTGGTTATTAAGAAATTCAGACGTCTTTTCCGACAAAGTGAGACAAATAGAAGAATTCAAAAATTTCCAGACGACGTCTACAAGGACGTTTTCAACTCAGTGTAAAAAGTGAAGGCTGCTGTTGACTGAATGTTCCTGGGAATGTTTCCAAAAGTCTCCCATGAAACGACACGAAAAGTCCTGAAATTTTTCGTACGTTTTACGGATGATAAAAGTTTCTTACTTTAAACGGATGAAAGTTACTGAGAGTTCCTGAAACAAACTTTAACAGGGTTTCTGAATTAAAGAAAAATGTTCTAAATATTGATTTTCCACAAATTTTGCACCAAATCCGAATTTCTCCAGCTACTCAGAAATACGAGTAGCTGTAAATTCATGAAGGTTTGTTAAAAGTGTCTAAAACGGTCGTAGGTTAGGCTACGTCCATGACGACAACGAAAAAATTACATCTTTGAAAAGTGAGATTACTCCAAAAGCAACCAGAGGTTAAATCGCTAGCTACTTAGCATTCTCAGGGCTAACTTTTAGACGCGTCTTCACTAAGATGAGTGTTTTTTTTCTCAGTCGGTGCTGTTAGCTTAATGCTAACCCTCCCCAAAAAAATACGTAAGTGTTTTTGGAGGTAAATGCGCCGCAGAGTAAATTAAAATGTTTACATATCCACATTGAAATCTGTGTATGTTTTTCCAGCTAACTCGCTAGCTAGCTAAAGTGCTAGCAGTTCGTACATTCCGATCGCTAACTTCATCTGGGTCCACATCAGTCGAAGTTCACGAGTGTTGTTGTATAAAAGTTTCTGTAAACTTGATCGTGTTTTTTGTCTAAGTTATGTTTATTTGAGTTGAAATGTGTAAAAACACGTTAATGACGCCGAACTTCAGCGACTTTTTCTGTTTTTAAGTTAATTTTTTTTTACTTGTTTTTCTACGTTTTTTTGTTGTTTTCTTTTAAAATGTCTGTAAGAGAAACTCGGCTAACAGTTTATCGGACTGCTGCTGATTTAAAGTCAAAGTGATGAAGACGACAAACACGAAGTTCCAGTTTCTTTTGTTCAAGTGTTTCCGAATGTTTCATGTTTTCAACGTTCAACGTGGAGAAAAAGTCGAAATATTCCGATTGTTCTGATAAAGATTTATTTTCAGTGAAGAACTGTCGGAAGGAACAACAACAAACTTTTTATTTAAATTAAACCAGAGAAGAAGACTCGCACTTTTAAAACGAAGATCGTCATCTTGTTCACATAATCGCACATTTGGTCAATTGATCGTAAACTGACGGGTACATTTAGCGAAACAAAAAGAGCGCTGCAACTACGATGTTTAACTCGACAGAGAAGGTGATTGTGCGGTTTGTGTTTGTGGGGTCCGAAGTTTCCTCTCCAGAGGTTTCATCCGGCGCTGAGGGTCCAACTGGAGGAAAAACAAGAAAATTAGACGACTTTAGCGGCGTTCGAGTTTCCTCGGAAGTCAGATGTCGATGCTGAAAATGACGTCACACCCGAGGTTCCCAGCGTTTCAGTTACCAAGTCGGAAAAAAGCAAAATCGGAAGCCTTAAACAAGATGGCTACATTTATTACCTTGTCCGAATATGACAAACGCTAAAATAACTTTCGCCTCCGATTTTGCTTTTTTTTCCGACTTTGTACCTGAAACGTTGGGAACTCAGGTGTGATGTCATTTTCAGCTCGGACATCTGACCTCTGAGGAAACTCGAACGCAGCGTAAAACACGATCATCACATTCATATATGACTGACTTAATCTGGACTTTGGAAAGGTCAGGTCCTGGTGTGTAAAGTGTGACCTCAGACTGCCCCCTAGTGGCAACCCTCTTCTCGTAGCTTTGAAAGATGAACGTTTTCATGCACCGTTTAGTCGACTTCTGTTCTCGTCCCAGATTATAAGAACCGGACAAGAATCCATTTGACAGAAGTACGTCTGTCTTCTCTACACTAGATGGCGATACATCGTCTCTCGGCTTGTTACTACCTGTTATTAAAATGCCGTCTACAACAAGCGAGAGGCTAATTCGTCGGACGTTAACTAAAGAAAACACTCAGTGCGTTTACAGTCACAGTTTAATCGGACTAAACTCATAATTCGTTTTTTTTTTTTTTGCCGAATCGGACTTCTCTCGTTGTCGGCGTTTACATGCAGCTGAGAAAATCGAATTATTGACGTGAAACGTGTCCTCCTCCCCAAAAGTAGTGTGTCAATGAGAGTTCTCCGACTCCAATCGGGATTCTCAAATTCCGATTGGAGTCGGGCTAACTCGGGATTTCCAACGCATCCAGAACGGCAGTGGATTTCTCCGTACACCAATTCCTGTCGGCTCCATTTGTGAGGGGAATTTCATGGCAGATTACGGACAGCAGGTCGTATCCTCCGATCGTTGCTGATTGTAAACATTCAAGTTAACGTGTCAATTTACACCGACTTCTTTCCGTTCCTATGCGGATCGCCGGACTCCTCAGCTGATCACAAGAGTTCGACATTCCACATTTCAACTGTTGTCAGAATCTGGTTTGGGATCATCTGAAGGTCTTCCCTGAAAAAATCTTTGTCTTGATGGACGTAGATGTTGCTCCTAAACCTGGAGATATTGTCTAAAACTGAAGATGCAGCATCTATGATTTCCAGTTCTTTGTTGAAAGGCGAAACGTCCCAAGTAAGTCCAACTGTCCTTTCCAAAAGAGAGTTACCCCCAACTTCCACCTTCATCCTGATCGTCTCCTAAAAGGTCGTATCCTCCGATCGTAGCTGATCGTAACCATTCAAGTTAACGTGTCAATTTACACCGACTTCTTTCCGTTCCTCTGAGGATCGCCGGACTCCTCAGCTGATCGCGGAGACGAACAAGTGAAAGGTTTTTAGACGTCATTTCACCCCGATGACACCATGGATGAGGAGATGCTGATTCTAGAAGTCTAGAAGTAGATTTCCTCCTCTGGAAGGACACAATCTACTGCTTATATGTCTATGTGTCTGTCTTTAGAGAGACAACTCGTTATCGTGTGATTGAACGTGAATCTGCGGGTTCCTCGTGATTACCGCTGTCCGTAATCCACCACGACATTCGCCCAACAAATGGATCCGGTAGGAATTGGCGTTCCAGATGCAAAGTTTGATGTGTCCCGATTTCTCCTGTCGTTGAAGAAGTATCAGCCGTTAAAGAAGAGAGTAAATATGAGGGAGCAGAAGAGGAGGTGGTCACATGACGAGCAGAGGGAGGACGGGCTGAAGTATCTGTGATCGCAGACGTTGTGTTGTGCTGACCTAACGATGAGGAGGAAGTCTTTTATTTAGTTTCAGCCTGACCTGGAGCAGCTTCCTGTTGACCTCCTGCTCTGCTTCCTCTTCCTCTTACCCTGAGAAGAAAAGAAAACTCGTTTTTTTCCTGAATCTCTCCGTTTGGAGCGGTTACTCTGCGATTGAACGACAAACACGTACGTAGTTATCTCTGGCGGACCATCCGGGGTAGAGCTGCATGTGAAGAAGTCGCTCCTTCTGAGCCAGATCGTAATATTTCGACTGTTCGGAGCGAGACAGAGCGTGCCACTGAAAGAGAGGAAGAAACACGTAAAAAGAAAGAGAGATCGGGATTGCCAAACTTTTCCTTTCAGACACCCGTCAACAAACATCATCGCCGCTCTCACCCTGCGTCCCAGGATGCGGTTTATGGCGGCGCTCTCTCTCTCCCGCCCCTCCTGCAGGACTTTGTGTCTCGTCTCCTTCATGTAGAGCATGAAGGCGTTCAGAGGTTTCTTCACCAGCTGTGAGCCGCTGAGGGCGAGAGACATCCACCGTACACAGACAGAGACAGAGAAAGAGAGAGAGAGAGGAGGTGTTTCGTTACGCAGATGACGTCCAGGTATATTTATGAGTGTAGCTGACCTTTGACCTGAACCGTCTCGTGTCCAAGCTAATGCTGCGTTACATTTGTGCTCGGAAGTCGGAATTTCGAGCTCTGAGTCGGAAAGTCATCTGGAACGCCCCCTGAAGTCGGATTTCGGACTCGGAAAGTCGGACGATCCTCACCAACCCCGACTTGACGACAACGTCATAATCCAAGATAGCAGCGCAGCGCATCAACAGTGAAAGAGCTCGTCATGTTTTATTTATTCGCACTTCTGTTTAGTTTTCGTGAAATTAAATAAGTCATAAATGTTGAACTGACCCACGTCTAACTGTGAACATGATAATATGGTGTTTGTACGTGTAAAATATTGCATTATGCGTTGTTTAACACTATCGCTAACAAACGCTAACATCAGCTAACAACGGCTAACAACGACTAACAATGGCTAACAACAACTGACAGCAGCTAACAATAGCTAACAACTAACAACGGCTAACAACACCTGACAACGGCTAATAACAGCTAACAACAGCTAACAATAGCTAACAGCTAACAACTAACAACGGCTAACAACAACTGACAACAGCTAACAATAGCTAATAGCTAACAACTAACAACGGCTAACAACAACTGACAACAGCTAACAACACCTTACAACGGCTAACAACAGCTAACAACAGCTAACAATAGCTAACAACAACTAACAGTGGCTAACAACTGACAACAGCTAACAACAGCTAACAATAGCTAACAACAACTAACAGTGGCTAACAACAACTGACCACAGCTAACAACAGCTAAAAATAGCTAACAACAACTGACAACGGCTAACAACAGCTAACAACAGCTAAAAATAGCTAACAACAACTAACAATGGCTAACAACAGCTAACAACACCTGACAATAGCAAACAACAACTGACAACGGCTAACAACAACTGACAATGGCTAACAACCGCTAACAACCGCTAACAGCTGACAACAGCCAACAGTAGGCGTCCATCTTGGTTTTCCGACTTGTTAACTGGGACGCCATCAACTCGGGTGTAGCGTTATTCCCAGCCCCGACATCCGACTTCAGAGGAAACTGTAACACAGCATTAGAGCTGCGTGTTAGCCTCAGTTTACTCCGCTCAGCTTTAAGAATCTTTAAAAAACTTTAAAAATCTTTTTTTACGTTTTTCTCCTTCAAAGAAAAATGACGACAGCGAACGTCCCACTGCTGTCAGGCGACATGTTGAGGTTACTTTAGGTCGTGATTTAAAGACTTCTGTTGATAATTTGAGTCAAAAATCAGGAAAACAAGATTAAGAAGTCTAATAAAAAATTCTTCAAATTTAACGATAATTAATCTAAAAACTACGAACAGACAAACCGTTGTGTTTCCGCCTCTGATAAAGTCACTGTTCTTTGAAATACGCCGAACTTGTCGTTAAGCTCACTTGTTGTTGTTGTGGTTGCCATGGTAGCACTGGCGCAACTTGGAGGGGGCGTCGGCCTGCAGGGCAGCGGAGGCGCTGATTGGCTGGCCGTACAGGGAGGAGGGAGGGAAGTGTCTGTCGCTGTAGAGGAGGAGAGGAACGAGAGGATGGACGGAGGACTGAGGGAGGGAGAGAGAAACGAAGGTTATCGTGATTTTACGAATCTGTGACGATAGTTACTCTACATCTAGACTTTTCTAACAGTTTAATTTCATGAATATAATTGTTTATATATAAACATAATTTCATAAATTTGACTCTTTGTTTGTTCAGAAAAAGTTAAAAGTTTGATTTCGACCAAAAGCGACAGAAGCTCGGGGCGTTTCTGTGTTTCTGCTTTCAGCTGTTTTTATGAGAGAAAAGAAACTGACAAGAGCGCAAATAAACACCACAGTATGGTCCACACACACACACAAACACACACACACTGACACGCCTGGAGCAGCTCCACAGACTCTGAGTCACAGTCACACTGATGGTGTTTGAAGGGAGACATATCGGCTCGAAGGACGGGGTTCACACACACACACACACGCTCACAGCAGCGGCAGCAGTCTGAGTGTGTGACGGGCCGCTCTGCCCCCTGCTGGTCAGATTCAGGTACTGCTGCTGAGGTGGACACCAGTCTAACAGCTGGAGTTTACCTGAAACAGAAACAGAGATCGGTAAAAACCTCGAGTTCAGAATTCAGGGACGTTTGAGCAGAGTCTGGATTTCGTCACTCACTGAAGGTGGATCCTGCAGAGTTCTGGTCCGGTCCGCTCACTCTGCCCACCTCCTGAAAAAATAGGTAATTTTATTATTGATCACCTGGTTCACACATTTACCCGTGACACAGGCCTGTTGTTTTACTCGCCTAGTTTCTGTTTTATGATGTTTATGAGAACATCTGAACTTCACTCTAATTTGTAGTCACTAACGCCACTGAAGGAAGTAAATCTGGAGAAATTAAGAGGAAAAAGTGACTCTTAGTGGACGTTTCTGTCACCAATACTGCATGAGGGTTAAACTGATTATTTTACGTCTGTTACAGATATTTATAATGATTAAATATCCTCAAACTTCATCCAAACATAAATAAGATTATTATTGTTTTATGTTTTTGTCTGAAATCACAGTAAAAACTCTTTAATCTGCAGGGAAAACAAATAATCTTCTGCGTTTAAAATATTTTCATGTGGGTTTAAAAAGTCAGTTCTGACATTTTTACCTCATTTTATATTTTTATTTAAACATGAAAATAATTTACAAGTCATACATTTTTAAAAAGCACAATTAAATCATCTTTATATTTTTACTGACTGAGTCAAATCCTCGTTTAAATGATTTAAAGTGAATTTTATTGACCAGTTTCAGGTCCTAATGAGTCTTTTTTCCTGTTGATTCATCTGCAGACAAACATAAAAAAATCACCTAAAATTATGTAAATGAAAAATAAAACTTAAAGATTTTCACTTTTTTAAATAAGAGAAAAATCACACACAGAGTAAATAAAACTGTATTAATACTTTCTATGATTACATGAGAAGAATTAATAATTTTTTTAACAGTTAAATGATTAATGTGTTTTAAAGTCAGAACTCAAACTCACCCCTCTGAAGGCCGTCGGCTCCATCTGTTGAATTATATTTAATTAAAATAACAAACACTGATTATTATTATTATTAATATTATTATTATTATTAATATTATTCATGGTTTGATAAAGTGTAAGATGAGCTGAACAGAGCGGACTGTCAGACTCGACAGACTTCTGCGATTTTATCTCATCTGTGACGTTTACAAACCCCCGACAGACTCGCTCGCTCGCTCACCCTGTCAGTGACTCTCAGCCTCGGGTTCCTCCTCCGCTGTTGCTCATTTTTGATTTATTGATACTGGCTGTTTGATACAGACACAGACTGGTCCTTATTTTTATTAAAATTACATTATTTCACTTTAACAGAATTACATGATTTTACTGTATTTGAAACCCTCTGTAGAACTAAAGCATGTTAAGTTTGTATTAAATCTTAATTTGGCCATCAGGGGGCAGCAGAGGGAGCTTGTAATCACTGTGCATTTGCATTGCTGTCTGTAAAGTATATGCAGAGAGTTCCAGAGCTCTATAAACCTTATTAAGACCATCAGTGATCAGTGTTGGCGTTCCCCAAGGCTCTATTCTCGGTCCTCCGCGTTTCCACTTTGTTGTTATAAAAATCTGCTAATGTTCAACCTGATTCACCAAATCTTCGGATATTAACGACAGTCCTACGACAAAAAGACGATCACTTTAGATGATCGTGTTTTATACTCTGAGTTTTCTTCTGTAACCCCGCTGAGGTTCACTCTCTTTGACTCAAACGTTTCTGACAGCTGTGTAAGAAGCTCCACGAGGATCCTCCCCTCTGACACCAACGCCAGAGGGCGGAGAGACAGAGGGGGATGGAGGTCAAAGGTCAGAGAGGAAGAGGCCAAGAGGGAGACTGAGGAAAAATACGGTCAGAGTCATTCTCAGCTCAGAGACTCTGCATTATTGTCCAAAAACTGAAGACCGTGAGCAGAGGACTGATGTGAAAAAAAAAAAAAAGGAAAGATATTTTTTAAGAGAAGAGAAAAAAACATGAAACAAAACCGCACAATGAAATTAAAAAGGAAAAAAACAACACAAAACTCTTAAACACAAAATTTTCCAAAATTGTACAAAACAAGAATGGTTTCATTTAAAATAATTTTTTTGTTCTTCTATTTTATTTTTTTTAGAAATATGAAACTCGTCGGTAAAAGTAACAGACGTTACAGATTGGAAAAAGATTTTTAATTTCATACTAGTTATTACTTATTTCCTTATTTTATAAATATAAATACCGTAGGTGAATATTACAAATGTTACAGATTTTTTAAGGTTCTTTGTTTTCATATGAGTTAGTTTTGTGTTTGTTTATTTTTTTATTTTTTTATTTATATATTTATTTTCCAATGTATTTATTTATTTGTGTTGAACGTTACAGACTGTAAAATATTTTTGAGTTTTTTGGTTTTATTCAAATCAATTTTTTGTGTTTTAATTAAAATAAATAAACATAAAAGCCTTTGGTGAAAGTTCCAGACGGGACCTTTAACGGCGGAACCTTTGTGTCCGGAAATGTTTCCCGTTGGAGCGGAGAGAAGCAGCAGCGCAGCATGAAAAGATGGAAGGACTGAACGTGATGTTTGTTTCCGCGGAAGATTTCGTGGATTATAAACCGTTTAAGGCGGAAATCCTGAGAGAGCTGGTCATCGAGAAACTGACCACGGCGGCCCGGGAGATCCTAGCGGTGGTGGAGAGAACCGTGTCCGGCTACGAGGAGGAGGCGGCGGGGCTGAGGCAGGAGATCGTCCGGCAGAGGAGTCAGATGGAGGCGGTTCTTCAGCCCCGAGAATCCCTCTATGAGCTCGGTGAGGAAAAAGAAACAAAAACAAAAAAACAAGAAGGAACCTGAGAGCTATTTTTAAAAACAACAACAAAAAAATGAGTAAAAAAAAATGTAAAAAAACAAACTAACAAAAAAAACTTAAGAATAAGAAAAAGGAGAATAAAAGTGAAGAACCCTTTAATAACTAAAACCACAAATTATGACCTGAAAATTCAATTTTTTTGGAGCTGAAATGTTTATTTTACTGACTACTGAAATCCAAAAAAAATCCAAAAATCCTTAAAAATTTTAACAAATATATGAAAATTTTTTTTGTTTGTTTCCTCATTTGATACATTTGATATTTTTGGAAACTACGACGGAGTACTGGGGCCACATTAATAAAAATAACAAAATTAGACTTTGAGATTAACGTCATTGCTAACGGGAATAAAGTCGTAATAAGATCAAAATTTACTGGAATAAAGTCGTGATAAAATCATTACGAAAAAAAGTCGTAATAAACTCATTCCATACAAGAATAAATTTGTAATAAAATCATTATGTACGATAATAAAGTCGAAATAAAATAACTTCTTAAGAGAATAAAGTCGTAATAAATCATTATTTACGGGAATAAAATCGTAAGAAAATCATTACTTAGGAGAATAAAGTCCTTAAAAAATCTTTAATAACTAGAATTAAGTTTTAATAAAATCATTTCTTACTAAATTAATGTCGTAATAAAGTTAATTCCTTACGTAAATAAAGTCGTAGCTAATATTCTAACCCGTTGTTCGTTGTTGAAATTCGATTAATTGAACTTCAGTATTACGGTTTCACAATCAAGGAGATAATAAATCCTTCTGCGTTTCAGCGTCACATCGTCAGAAATATCGGGATAAATGAAGAAATGCATCTTTTTTTAAAATTCTCGTTAGTTCTGATTTTATTACGACTTTATTCTCGTTAGTAATTACGAAGTCTTAATTGTTTTTTCCTTAATGTGGCCCTAAAACTCTGTCGTAGGAAACTGATAAACCATAAGAGGACATTTTTATCGTTTATCCGACTGTATTCAGTTTTTTTTTTTAGTAATTTATTGATCATATTGATTAGATAGAAGTTTATAAAGTTTGAATCAAATATGATACAACAGGGATTATTTATGATTATTCTCATTTCTTCTCTCTGTTGTTCAGACGATGAAGACTTGGACATCTGTGACATCTCAGTCAACGCCGATGAAGACGAGAGCGACAACATGGAGGGAGAGGAGCAGTCCGTCGGAGAGGAGGACCAGAAGGTCACCAGTCCGGGTTACACTTACCCCAGAGACCCGGATTATCAGATACCAAAGAAAAGGTTCGAACACCTCTAGATAGGAGCTTCTGTACGGTGGCCGAGAACAGCCACTGCTGCACATAAAAAAAAAGAATGCTAAAAAAAGAAACCGAAGCCTGCTGCAAATAAAAACAGAGACAGTGCAGATTAGGGAAAAAAAAACATATTGGAAGTTACCAATGCAAAAAAAAAAAAAAAAAAGAGGAAACCAAAGCCTGTTGCCAAAAAAAAAAAAGCCACAACGGAAGTTAACTATGCAAAAAAAAAAAAGTGGTTATGGAAAAAAAAAGTTTTTTATTTTCACTGTTCCTTTTTTTTTCATCAGTAACGTCCGTTATGGCTTCTTTTTTTTTTGCATTCTTTTTTATTAGCATGTTTTTATTTTTTTTTTCCATAGCCACTTTTTTTGTGTTGTTAACTCCCGTTGTGTTTTTTTTTTTTATCTGCACCATTTCTTTTTTTTTCCCATCAGTAATTTAAATTGTGGCTTTTTTTTTGCATTCTTTTGTAATTACCTGTTTTTTTTAGATTGCCACTTTTTTGCGTCGTTAACTTCCGTTGTGGTTCCTTTTTACATTCTTTTTTATTTGCATCTTTCTATTTTCGCACTAGGTAACTTTTTCTTTGCATTGCCCCTTTTTTTGCTTTGTTAACATCTGTTGTGTTTTTAAAGAAAATTTTTTAATCTTCACTGTTTCTTTTTTTTCATCGGTAACTTCAGTTGTGGCTCATTTTCTTTTTTTCTTTTTTTTTCTTTGCAATAGAGGCTGTTCTCTGTCGTCGTTTTGTTTTTGTCGACCTGTTTCAATTTTAATTTCAGTCTTTGCGTTAAATATTTCGTTATCGTCAGAAGACCTCTGTTTACGTTCCGTCTCGACTCGTTTTCGTCACGTGATAAAGGTTCGTTGACGACGATATTTCATTGATGAAAACAACACTTCTCTGTCGGATCATTTCTTGATTTTTCTGTTCGACGACGTCAGGTCCACGCTGACGGTCGTTTCTTCTCGTTGATCTGATTCGGTCTCACGGTCTCGGTGGAGGATCTTACTCTCTCTCTGGTTTTGTTTTCTCCTCGCAGAAGTTCGTCGATGAAGAAGAAGCGCAGAAAGAACGAGGACATCAGCCTGAGAGTCTGTCTGCTCCAGGACTCCAACACCACCATCCTGAAGAGAGGCGGTAAGAACATCAGGAACGTCGGGAACGTCAGGAGCTGAGGTCTGACGGAGCGATTTAACGACGTCTGTTTTTTGGTTTTAGTGTCCAAGTCGGAGATCCTGGAAGTGCGGTGTCCTCGTGGTCTTCAGGAGCCCGAGTTCCTGGACCTGCTGAGGTCCTTCTTCCCTCAGCTGATGGGACAGTTCGACGCTCTCACCACGGACACCTCCAGGGTTCTGAAACCCCTGAACCTGAAGACCCTGACGCCTGAGAAGATCCAGAGGGCCATCCAGTCCAGAGGGAAAGGAAGATCAGCTCTGTACATCCGGATCAAGGTAGATCAGCAGAAGTTTGAGTCTTCTGGTCTCCATGGAAACAGCAGTCTAACCTCTGAACGATTTCAGGACGGGACTGAACCCCAGAGCACGCCGTTGAAAACCGACGACCCAGAACCCGGTGAAGCTCAGGCCGGCGTGAGGTGAGTCAGTTTCTCTCTGTCAGAAGATGCTCAGATGTTCCTCCACAATCAGGAAACTGCTTCTCTCTCTCTCCAGCTCTGGCAGCAGTCCTGTAGAAGAAGAAGAAGAAGAAGAGGAGGAGGAGAAACCTCATCGAGGTCAGGAGACAGAGGAGGAACACGGCGGAAGATCTGGAGACATCAGAGCCGCCGATTCTGATGGAGACGATGGAGATGATGGAGACAAGGGTCTCGTTGAGTCCGATCTTCTGTACGAAAACGCCGAAACAAAGGAGGCCACTGATCTCCATGAAGACCCTGGAGCTCCTTCTCCAAGCTCCGTCTCTGTCAGCGTCAGCGTGAGTGAAGAAAGCGAGGAAGAAGATAAAGACGAAGAGTGGACGCCGGAGGAGATGCAGAATCTGATCAATAAACCTCATTCCTCAAAGATGAGACAGATGAACCGCTCTGGAGTCCAGATGAAGAAGAAGAAGAAGAAGGAGATGGAGGAGGAGGAGGAGGAGCTCCAGTCTCCGTCTGAGGTCTCCACCGTGGAGAGTGGAGCTCCTCTGTCCTGTAAGGTCTGCAAAGCTCTGAAGACCTCCAAGAACATGTTGATCAAACACTCCTGGAGTCACGTGGACGACCCTGAAGGTCTCTGCGGCGTCTGTGGAGAACATTCCGAGTCTCCAGAGGAGCTGAGGAGTCATCTGAACGCCCACAGGAGAACATTCAGCTGCATCGTCTGTGGGAAGACCTTCCTGTCTCTGGTGGGTCTTCAGAGACACACTCCTCTCCACTCCGGAGAACGCCCCTTCAAATGCGAGGTGTGCGGGAAAGCGTACGCCTCCGAGAACACGCTGAAGAGTCATCGATGGGAACACGTGAGGGACAAACCCTTCAAATGTGACGTCTGTCAGAAATCCTTCGCCTTCAAACTGCAGCTGAGGATCCACTGCAGGACCCACTCCGACAAGAAACCCTACACCTGCGACAAGTGCGGGAAGTCCGTCTCCGACCTGCAGTCTCTCTACCGACACAACATGATCCACTCCGGCGAGAAACACTTTGGCTGCGGCGTTTGCGGCAAACGTTTCGTAAGTCCCACCGGTCTCCGGCAACACGAGAAGATCCACACGGTCCGGGACAAAACCTACCTCTGCGAGATCTGCTGCAAGTCCTTCCACAAGCAGGGCCAGCTGAAGGTCCACATGACCTCCCACGGCGAGAAGAAGTTCATCTGCGACATCTGCGGGAAGGCGGTGTCGGCGAAGAGTCGGCTGAAAGCGCACATGAGGATCCACACCGGGGAGAAACCGTACGTCTGCTTGGAGTGCGGGCGGAGGTTCAACAGCTGCAGCCACCTGAGGGAACACCGGACGTCCCACTCAGGTCTGAAACCGTACCTCTGTACCGTCTGTGGGAAGGCCTGGGCCTGCAGGAAACACCTGGTGGTCCACATGAGGATCCACAGCGGAGAGAGACCCTACAAGTGCACCATCTGTGACCGCGCCTTCACCCAAGGACACTGTCTGAAGACCCACATGAAGAGCCACCAGGTGGAGGAGAAGCCGCCGGCGGTGGGGGGGCAGATGGACTGATCCCTCAGAGGGGTGTGTGGGGGGTCCTCACATGAACATTAAAGAGGTGGAGACGATGATGATGATGATGATGATGATGAAGATGTAAATCTGTCTATTATGGGTGGGGGTGGACGTGTAATCTCGAGGTGTTAGCGTTAGAGAAGAAACCGTCGAACTTTGAGACGCTGATAAAAAAAAAATGTTTTGTTTTTTTGGTTGTTAAAAATTTTATATAAACCTGTGAAAAAAAACAACTTAAAAGTGTTTAATCATGTTTGTACGACGGAGTGTCAGCGCTACGTTAAGATTAAAAAAATTATGAAGACTTTAAGATAAAAGTCTTTACTAACAAGAATAAAATCGGTGTAAAATCATTATTTATGTACGACAGAGTATCAGAGTCCCGCTAACAAAACAATAATTAAAACTTCGGGATTAAAATCAAAACTAACGAGAATAAAGTCGAAATAAAACTATTTTGAGAATCAGGAAAATCACTTCTTACGTACGACGTAGTATTTGGGCCACATTAAGATAAAAAAAACTCAGGACTTTGTAATTATTTACGAGAATAAAGTCTTAATAAAATCATTTACGAGAATAAAATCATGATAAAATCATTCCAAAAATAAAGTCGTAATAAAATGCATATTTACGAAAATAAAGTCAGAATAAAATCATTAATTATGAGAAATTCACAATAAAGTACTTACGAGAATAAAGTCATGACATCATTGTTATTTATGAGAAAAAAAATTGTAATAGAATAATTATTTACAAGAATAAAGTTGTAATAAATTTTTTTCGGGAATCACAAAAATCACTACTTACATATGATGTAGTATTTGGGCTACATTAAAATAAAAAAATTCAAGACTTTGTAATTATTTACGAGAATAAAATCATGATAAAATCATTCCAAAAATAAAATCGTAACAAAATGAATATTTACGGGAATACAATTCGTAATAAAATAATTATTAGAATAAAGTCAGAATAAAATGATTATTTACGAAAATAAAGTCACAATGAAATCATTAATTATGAGAATAAAGTCATGATGTCATCGTTATTCATAAGAAAAAAAAATTGTAATAAAATAATTATTTACAAGAACAAAGTCGTCATTAAATGAATATTTACGAGAATAAAGTCGTAAAGTAAATAAAGTCTTAAAGCTGCTTTTGTGGATTTATGATTTTATTACAACTTTTTTCTCATAAATAATCATATTACGACTTTGTTCTTGTAATTATTTTATTACGGATTTATTCTCGTAAGTAATTACAAAGTCTTGAATTTTTTCGTAATGTGGCCCTGGTACACCGTCGTATGTTTTCATGTCAACAACACGTTTTTGAAAGAAGTTCTTCTAGAGGAACGACCAAACAAACAGGTCCAAAGTTGTAACGCTAACAGAACAGGATCTGGAGGAACATCACCAACAGGTTAGTCACATGACCAGGTCTAAAATGGACCTTCAGAGGGGCGGAGTCTCTCAGAGGTTCTGGACTCTGTGAGAGACTGCGTGAGCGAACAGTTCAACAGTTCTAGAATAAAGTTCCTGGGTGGGTTTCATCGTCTACAGAAGATCTAAAGAAATCACTGTACTAAAGGGGGACGAGGACCAAAACCAGGACTGGATGGTCCTGATCTTCAGACAGGACTCTGGAGTGGGAATCACCTCATGGACTCAGATATCGTCAGTAGATCAGTGACCATCAGATGATTCTTGGGGCCTTCATACTTTGACTCATTCTGAACAGACTCTGGAGCTCCGAGAAGGAGCCGTTTCTCTTCAACTGTAGACCAATAAAAATCTGTTTTATTCCGTGTTTTTCCTCATTAATGTTCTTTCTAACATGACTAAAGTCTTTATCAGTTATTTTACGATATATTTGTTCATTTAAGATCGATATACATGAATATTAAACGACCCGACGGTCGATATCTCAGGAAAGGTGAGTAAACCGCGGCGGAACCTTCGTGTCAGAACATGTTTCCTCAGGACAACATTAATGAAGTCACGCCCCCAAACATGGAGGGTGAAGATTTGTTGTCTGTTTCCTCCGTGGACCAAAAACTTCCCAAAGTGGAGATCCTGAAGAGACTCATCACCGAGAAACTGACCACGGCGGCCCGGGAGATCTTAGCGGTGGTGGAGAGAACCGTGTCCGGGTACGAGGAGGAGGCGGCGGGGCTGAGGACGGAGATCGACCGGCAGAGGAGTCAGCTGGAGGCGGTTCTTCAGCCCCGGGTCTCTCTCTGCAGGATGACCGGTGAGTACCTCAGACTGTGGACTAAACCTCAGACCAGATCCTGATGGTTTAACTTCATACCCTCCAGATCCGGGAGGACCTGAACCTGGAGGTGAAGACGAACTTATTTAGGTCCGTTTGGTGGTAGTTCTGGTTCTGGTCCTGCAGGGAAAGAGAATCCGTACTGTGAGGATCAGCAGGCCAGTTTCTGGTGGTTTTGGTGCTGTGGGCAGGTTCTAGGAAACCTGGATCTCCAGAGAACTTCTCAGCAGATGAAGCATGAAGGTCTCCAGAACTTCCTGTGTACCAGATTAGTTCTTCTGTTCAGGTCCAGATCTTTCTCTTCTTCACTTCAGATGGAGGCGAGGACCTGGGTCACTCTGAAGATGAGGGGTCAGTGAAGACCGGGGTCATTAACCTTCATGTGGGTCTGCTGCAGGACTCTCATCCCCGGTTTCTCAGTAGGAACGGTGAGAGAAGAACTTTTCAATGATAGTTTGTGGTTCTGTCCGTGTGAGACATGGTTCTGTTCTGGTTCTAGTGGTCCAGTCTGAGGTTCAGGAGGTGAGGTGTCCCAGAGGCTTGAAGGAGGAAGAATTCCTGGACCTCCTGAAGACCACCTTCCCTCAGCTGTCCAGAGAGGTCGAGATCTTCTCTGTCGACGCTTCTGGGAAACTGAAGACCCTGGACCTACGGGACCTGACGCCAGAGGAGATCCAAAGTTCTGGAGGATCAGTTCTGTACATCCGAGAGAAGGTGGGTCATCATCAGATCTTCTCCTGAACCTGACAGGGTTTGTAAATGTTCCTCCAGATGAGTTGAAGATGAACGTTCCTCCTTGTTTTTGTCCAGGCAGCAGACGACTCTGTGAAGAACCCGACAAAAGAGGACGCCACCACCAACAACGACAACAACGGAGGTCCATCTCTGAAGACCCCGGGCAGGAGGAGGACTTCTCTGAACCTCCGAGTTTGTCTGCTGAAGGACTCTGAGACCAACGTCCTGAAAAGAGGAGGTGAGAAGACCGAGTCAGAGGTTCTCAGGGTTCTTCTGCTGGAGTCTCCACAGACCTCCGATCATCATGTATCTTCAGTATGTGTGTTAGCTCCTCTAATGAGGGTCCTTGTGGTCCATCGTCATCCTTGAGCGGAGGTTCTAACCACAGGAGAACTTTCTGAGAACTTTGACGTCTTCTGTTTCTTCTTCTTCTGTGTTTTAGTTTTGAGGTCTCAGGTGCAGGAGGTCAGGTGTCCTCGTGGTCTTCAGGAGCCGCAGTTCCTGGACCTGCTCAGGTCCTCCTTCCCTCAGCTGACGGGACTGTTTGATGCTTTCACGGTGGACACCACGAAGAAACTGACCCCCCTGAACCTGAAGACCCTGACGCCTGAGAAGATCCAGAGGGCCATCCAGTCCAGGGGGAAAGGGAGATCAGCTCTGTACATCCGGGCCAAGGTAGGACCAGGTGGACCTACAAAAAAACACCAGGACTTGATCGATCAGTTTTTATTTATAAATCAATTTTCATACAAAAACCGATGAAGCACAAAACAAATCTACTCCAAACCCTGGTTCCCACGGTCTAAACGCAACAAAAACAGGTTTTAAAATGTGTGAAATTAAAAAAGTTGATTTTGTGGAAACAGGAAACGCCGTTTTCAGTGCTGCCAACTCTTCAGTGAGGAAAGTAGCTATTGGACGCTGTAAGGGAGAGGAACAACGTAGTGGGAGAGACAAAAAGTGAGTAAAAAGGTGAACAAAAAAGTGAGTTAAAAAATTTAAAAAAAAAAAGTGAGTAAAAAAGTAAATAAAAAGTGAGTTAAAAAGATTAAAAAAAGAGTAAAAATGTAAATAAAAAAGTGAGTAAAAAGTGAATAAAAAAGTGAGTAAAAAGTAAATGAAAAAGTGAGTAAAAGGTGATTAAAAAAGTGAGTAAAAGTTTTTTTTTTAAAAAGTGAGTAAAAAAGTAAATAAAAAGTGAGTTAAAAAGTTTAAAAAAAGAGTAAAAAAGTGAGTAAAAAGTGAATAAAAAAGTGAGTAAAAAGTGAATAAAAGTGAGTAAAAAAGTAAAAAAGTAAATAAAAAATCGAGTAAAAAAGTAAAAAAAAGAGTAAAAAAGTTAATAAAAAAAAGGAAATAAAAAATTGAGTAAAAAAGTACAAAAAAAGTGAGTAAAAAAGTAAATAAAAAATGAGTGAAAAGTGAATTAAAAGTTGAATGAAAAAGTGAATAAAAAGTATGTTTAGAACTACAAAAAAACTTTCTTCTGTCGATTCTTGTTTTTTTTTAGTGTCACCAAACCAACCCTCCTCCTTTTTCCGGGCTTGGGACCCGAAAAATTGACCCAATCGAGACAATTTGGTGGAGTTACTGAGTTTTTAAAAGTTATGTTTGTTTTAAATACAACAGATCACAGTTAAATCTTTTTACTTGAACATTTTAAACAGTTTGTCCAATCTAAATCTAAAAGGGATGTCTTTCCTGTCATTCCTTGAGTACGCAGTGCCGTAGTGAAGAAATACATAAATCTGACACTAAATAGTACAGTAATTTGAAATATGTGTTCCAGACAGTCATGAATATCGTGTTAATAAGACAAAAGTTTCAGACAGTCTCAAAAGAAATGATGATAGTTTGCTAAATCCGAACCACACGTCCTCCAACAACTCGATGTTTCTTCTGAGTTGGTCTTAAAAAAAATCTCATCATGACGTTTTTCCATCTGAATTCCCGTCAGCTCGGTGAATTTGTGGTTTTCCACTTTTATTTAATCCTTTCCGACATCGACGTTTACTATGAAGGCTGGTGGAATTAAGGAGTCTTGAAAACTATAATCCAGATTTTAATTTCTGTCACTCCCAGATTTGTAAATCGAGACAAAGATCTTTAGAAGAGAACTCGTCGGTTCCTCCGTCAGGATCGATAAAATCACTGAACTGGTTTAAACTTCTCTTTACTAAAATTTTACTTCAAGATTGAAAAACTGTTTTTAAATCATTTCAGGACTCCAGGAGCTTCATGGAGAAACCTCCTCCTTCTGATGGAAGAGCTGAAGCTGTGGATGAAAGTTCACCTGATGGGAGGTGAGTCCCTCAGACTGGTTCTTTCAGCGTGGAGACTCTCTCTGATGATGTCTGAGCTGAAAATGATGGACCTGCTCTTCTTCTTCTTCTTCTCAAAAAGAGTGGAAGAACTTCTCCAACACGTGGGAGCGACAGAAGATGGTGTTGAACATGATGGAAGATCACAGGACTTCAGAGACCCCAATTCTGCCCGTCATGGAGCCGACAGCGACGATGGAGATGATGGAGATGAAGAGTGGAAACCAGACGAGAACTGTGAAGAAACCGAGGAGATGAAGAAGAAGAAGAAGATCCGTTCATCCGTCAGAACAAAGAGAAGAAAACCGAAGCTGTCGTCTTTGAAGGTGGAGACCAGCGGAGCTCCTCTGTCCTGTAGAGTCTGCAGAGCTCTGAGAGGATCGGAGAACATGTTGATCAAACACTCCTGGAGTCACGTGGACGACCCAGAAGGTCTCTGTGGAGTCTGTGGAGAACATTCAGAGGATCTGAGGAGTCATCTGAACGCTCACCAGAAAACCCACAGCTGTGACGTCTGTGGAAAGACCTTCCTGTCTCTGGTGGGTCTTCAGAGACACGTTCCTCTACACTCCAGAGAGAAACCGTTCGAATGTCAGACCTGCGGGAAAGTGTACGTGAGTAGAAGCAGTCTGAGGAACCATCAGTGGGAACACGTGGAGAATAAACGACATGGATGTGACGTCTGTCACCGATCCTTCGCCTTCAAACAGCAGCTGAGGATCCACAGCAGAACCCACACAGGTGAGAAACCCTTCACCTGCGACGTCTGTGGGAAGTCCGTCTCTGACCTCAATTCCCTGTCCAGACACAACCTGATCCATGCCGGGGAGAAACGCTACGGCTGTCGGTTCTGCGGGAAGCGCTTCTTAACTCCAGGAAAAGTCCGAGAACATGAGAAGATCCACACGGTGAGGGACAGAAGATACCTCTGTGAGATCTGCTGCAAAACCTTCCACACGCAGGGTGAGCTCAACGCTCACCTGAGGACGCACAGCCAGGACAAGATCATGTGTGGCGTCTGTGGGAAGGGGTTGTCCTCCAAAGGAGCTCTGAGGAGACACGCCTTCATCCACACCGGGGAGAAACCGTACGAGTGCTCGGTGTGTGGGCGGAGCTTTAACTCCAGCAGTCTTCTCAGGAACCATCTGAAGACCCACTCAGGGGTCAAACCGTTCGTTTGTAGTATTTGTGGGAAGGCGAGCTCCAGGAAAGAACATCTGATCGTCCACATGAGGACCCACAACGGGGAGAAACCGTACAGGTGCACCGTGTGTGACCGAGGCTTCACGCAGAGTCACTGTCTGAAAACACACATGAAGAGCCACCAGGGGGCGGCGGAGGAGGAGGAGAGGGCGGCGGCGGGCGGACAGACGGACTGATCATGTGATAAAATTCATCAACATGTTGGTATATGAGGTCGTTTAGTTTTTAGTTTTCCAGCTGAGAAAAAGGTAAAAACATCGAAATATCACAAAATGTAAATATTAAAGTTTTGGATTTAGTGTTTTTGTTTCATCAGACACTGCATTTTCTTTACTTTTGACAAAACTTTGATTAAAATGAGAAAAAAAAAACTAAACTACTTGATACTCAAATTAAAGACAGGGTTATTAGTAAGTATGTTCATCTTCGCTGGAGGTTACACAACAGGTCTGCAGACGCGGTCGTTCTTCTGCTTTAGCGTCTCGGTCTGATTGTATTTCCATGAAGAAATGATCATAAATGTTCTTCCTTGAGCTGCGGCACCCCGCTGTAGTCCTTAATGGACTGGCCTGAGGTCTCACTACAAACAAGCGTCTGCTGGAAGAGAGTAGGTGAGTTGTGTTTAGTCTCTTTGCTAAAGAAATGAGTCAAAGTTAAAAAGATGTTTGGTGTCTAGTACTATGTCTGTGACCCTATATGTACTAACCTGAGTAGATCATGATGTAGTTCTGTTCAGTAACAGAACCTCATTGGAAAATTATCTGATTTAACTTTACTGTGCTCTTGTTCAAATATATTAACTCGACAGCACATATATTGATACCTGTTAACAAAATCATGATTTTATTGATAATTCGGCTCAATAAAAACACCTCTGGTTGAGGTTTGTTTCTGGCTCCTCAGACCGCTGTGTATTACTATCCTGCGGTCGTTACTAAAGTTGGTATAACTAGAGAAGCAAGCGGTCGGCAACATTCATCTCTGGAGGGGGGGTCTAACTCAGTGTTACGGGGGATTTGACCATAAATTAATTTCATGCCGGAATATCCCTTTAAACCGTAACAATAGCTGTCTGTATTTGCCATTTGTAGAAAAGAAACCACATTGAAAAGCATTTACGAGAAGACAATAAAGACAGACAAAGTAAGTTAATAAAATTGAGTAGCTCATTGCAGCAAATTACATCAAGTCAACAACAGGGGGCGCCACAGGTTTTGTTTATAACCTCCTTTCAGTTTGCTGGGAGTGTTGTGTCCTTTTTCCTGTTAAATATAAATCTAAAACGAATTTCTTACAGATTAAATCAGCACTTTGGTCTCATTGCATTTTACATACTTTTGTATCAAAGTCTAAAATGGTGTTTTGGTTTAACTCTTACTGAAATAATTGATCTCTGAGCACATTATCAGGATAAGAAGTAGAGTCAGGACTCAGAAGACTTCGGGTATCAACAGGACTGTGTACTGACTGCTTTATGACTTTTATTCGGGAACTTCACGATTTAATTCGCGATGTTTTCTCATCCTGCCTTCGTCCTTTTTTGTACGAAGACGACGAACTCCGACTGTGTATTAAAAAACATTAAATATTAAAAACAGTATCTGGAACCTCTGGGTTTATGTTTCACATCGGACCGTTTCTATGCCAGCACGAGACGTTCGCGCCCATTTTCGCCGCAGCGTCACTTCCGCACAGAGAGAGCTCGTGAAGACGGAGACAATAACAATGTCGGACTTCAGTTTCATGTCCAAAGAAGAGATTTTAAGAGGAATTATCACCGAGAAACTGACCACGGCGGCGAGGGAGATCTTCGCCGTGGTGGAGAGAACCGTGTCCGCGTACGAGGAGGAGGCGGCGGGTCTGAGGCAGGAGATAGACCGGCAGAGGAGCCAGCTGGAGGCGGTTCTTCAACCCCGGGTCTCTCTGGAGAAAAAAGGTAACTAACCCTAAAAAGGTTCGTGTCTGGACGAGCTTACAGGGAGAGCTACCCTGGTGTCGTTCCGTTCAGTAACAGAACCTCATTGAAATATGCTGATTTAAATGTACTGTGCTCTTGCTCAAATATACTAACTCGACAGTACATATATCCATACCTGTTAACAAAATCAGGATTTTATTGATAACTCGGCTCAATAAAAACACATTTACTATAGTAAAGATACTTAAAAAGGTAACTAACCTCAGTAGAACACAGTGTAGCTCCGTTCAGTAACAGAACCTCATTGGAAAATTAGCTGATTTAACTTTACTGTGCTGTTTTTTTAAATATACCAACTCGACCCCACATAAATCCATACCTGTTAACAAAATCATGATTTTATTGATAATTCGGCTTTATAAAAACACCTTTATGAAGCCGAATTATCAATAATTTAATAATTTGTGTTCTCTTAGGAGTTAGAATGAGGTGTCACTAAATATCAAACAGATATTCACAATTTATCAATACATGAATGATTACTGATTCATGAATAGTAATGACTGTTTGTGACCCTTTTCTCTTAACTAAGAAGCTGTGGTCAAAGACGAAGAAGGTCATGAGGAGGTCGTTCTAAGTGAGGAAGAGGAGGAGCGGTCGACACAGCAGTCAGGTAAACATCCTGTGTGTCTAACTGTGTATAAACTCAGAGAGGATGACTCTTTATGCAGACGATGGTGTGGTATGATCAAAAACTGACCTGACATCCAATAACTGATCCAAACATGACCTCTGACCCCACCTCTGTCCAGGTGTGGAGGACGCTGGGAGCGTGTGGTATGGTGAAGATGAAGCTGAAGAGCAGCAGATCTTAGCTCTTTTAACATCTCCAGGTTATGAAGAGACACAAGACGACTGTAAGGACCCAGATTTCCAGGTTCCTCCAAGGTTATAAATCCAAGTAAAACCAGTTTGGTGTTTGGGTTGAATTTCTGTTTTCATGGATTTCACTTTATTCTGTTTGGTACTTAAAGATCTGGACTTTAAAATCTTGGTTTCAGAGATTTAAACCTGCTCACACTTTTCTGTCCTGTGGGTTAATTTCTCCCAGAGTTCGTTCTGGCAGGAGGAGGCCTGGCAGACCTCGACTCATTGACTCCCAGAACCATGTAGACTTCAAGATCCGCATCCTGGGGAACACTCAGATCGACGTGCTCTCCAACTTCGGTCAGACCTCTCTCTGCTCACCAACCACGACGGTATTATCTTGATCTCACAGATGAACCTCATGGTGTTTTTTTTATTCATGTTCCAGTGTTGTCTAAATATCCGGTCCAGGACCTGAGGTGTCCTCGAGGCCTACGGGAGGCCGACTTTCTGGACCTGCTGAGGTCCACTTTCCCTCAGCTGGCGGGTCAGACGGATTTAGAGTTTTTCACGTCCGACAGATCGAAGCAACTCTTTCCTCTGAGCGTGGAGAGTCAGACGCCTGAGGAGATCTACAGGAGCATCAGACCGGGGAAAACCACCCTCTACATCCGCCTGAAGGTACCGAGCAACAGCAGCGTGTGTGGAAGACCTTGAGATGTCTTTTAAGATTTGTGTTTATTTTTCTCGGTTATTTTCCGGTCGCAAGATCTATGCGGAGTGTTTCCTTTCTTCTTCCTGTGGCGCAGTCGTCCGTCTCTAAATCTTTGGGGTCAATCTTGTTTTTTTTTCTTCTCAGATGGCGGGGGATCCTCGGAATGGCGGGGACGGTGTAAACCTGCAGGGATCAGAAGTTTCTGCATCAACATCAGCTGATCAAACCCTCAGCAGGTGAGCAAAAACTGAACCCTGAGAAGACTTCAGGTCCAGACTGTTGGTGTCTTTAAAGACCGCGATCAAACCACCCAAACCGAGAGAAGCGCAGGATAGTAGGGTTGGGCGGTTCAAGATTACCGTAATATATTCCAAACATCATACATTGACATAAAGCTCAGATACTCAGCTGTCTGTCAGCGTTGGAATTTTTTCAGATTAAACAAACTGTTAAGGAGTTACGGTGTTGAAGCTGTGTAGCACTCTGCTGATACCTCGTGTGTTTGGCAATGACTGCCTACCTCATACGGTTACGACAATGTAGTAAATCTTATAGCAGCGTATGCCCACAACTTTTAGCTTTCCAACACCGTTTAAGTTTTTCTGATCGGACAAACTTTGACGGCATTACCGTAATAACACTCCGGCCGGCGCCAGCACTTTGACGGTATTTAAACTGGTACCGTTGCTTTTGAAAGAACCGCCGATATACCTGAATACCGTATCACTGCCCAACCCTAGAACACAAAGTTCAAAAACTCACATTGCTTTGGTTCTGCTTCAGGTCAGAGGACACCATGGCTTCAGAGGAACCAGACTATGAAGACGGACAAGAATCAGGGTCAGCTGGTCTCTTTGCTCCGCTGGAATCCCCAGAGATTAAGGAATCAGACGACTGGGAAGCAGAGGAACCTGAAGAGACGAGGGACGATCAGCCGGTCAGTTCCTCCCGTGTCCCAACGACGACCCAGTCATCTCTGAAGAAGTGGACCCTCAACGGTGAAGCTCTCCTGTCCTGCAAAGTCTGCCACGCCATACGAAGGTCCATGAACATCCTGATCCGACACTCCTGGAACCACGTAGAAGATCCCAGAGGGCTTTGCGGAGTGTGTGGCGAACATTCAGAGTCTGCAAAAGAGCTGAGGAAGCATCTCCAAACCCACCAGAAAACCCACAGCTGCCTCCTCTGTGGAAAGTCCTTCCTCACCGTCACCGGCCTCAAAGGACACATGGACCGGCACCAAGGAATCAAACCATACGAGTGCAGGATCTGCCACAAAGCATTCCCGGAGAGTGGAGTGCTAAAAACTCACATCCTGACCCACGCCAAAGAGAGACCGTACAAGTGTCCAAACTGCCGGAAAGCCTACAGCTCACTGTCCGACCTAAGAAGACACATGGTCGTCCACTCCAAGACGACCCAGTACAGGTGCAACATCTGCGGTCAGAACTTGTGCAACTTCCACAGTTTGTCCACGCACCTTATGAGGCACTCGGAACAGATTACGTAGAGGGACCTGGACCTGGACTCAGGGTGTGAAATCTGCAGGGAAACAAAATCACACCTGCCGCTTCAGGATTACGTGAGAAACCATACAAGTGTCTCATCTACGAGAGCAGCGACTGTCAAAGTAAAAGTCTACAGAGAGACATGAACCGAAGAAAAACACAGATTCAAGGGTCGGCTGTAACCCCCAATTCTCACCGCATCCGGAATGGCAGCAATTCCGTTTGTGAGGTGAATTTCGTGGCAAATGACGTCTAAAAACCTTTCACTTGTTCGTCTCCGCCCGTTTGCATGGTGTGAAATACGATCCTCCTGAAACACGGAGTGTTTTATTTTGAAAAGAAGCCGGATGTTTTATTTTGTGTCTGTGCCCGACTTCCTTTCCAGCACGGGTTAATCTGTGCTGAATTTATCCGCCATGCTCCGGCGTCCAGAAAAAATAGAACTCTTTGAGGAGTCCGGCAGAGGAATGGAAAGAAGTCGGTGTAAATTGACACGTTAACTTGAATGGTTACGATCAGCTACGATCGGAGGATACGACCTTTTAGGAGACGATCAGGATGAAGGTGGAGATCGGGGGGTAACACTGTTTTGGAAAGGACAGTTGGACTTACTTGGGCCTTAGGCGAAACGTCCCAAGTCCAACTGTCCTTTCAACGAAGAGTTGGAAATCATAGATGCTGCATCCTCAGTTTTAGACAACATCTCCAGGTTTAGGAGAAACATCTGCGTCCATCCAGACAAAGATTTTTTCAGGAAAGACCTTCAGATGATCCCAAACTAGATTCTGACAACAGTTGAAATGTGGAATGTCGAACTCTTGTGATCAGCTGTGGAGTCCGGCGATCCGCAGAGGAACAGAAAGAAGATTGTAACTTGAATGGTTACGATCAGCTACGATCGGAGGATACGACCTTTTAGTGGACATTCTGGATGCGGAGGAAATTGGGGTTCACTCTGAGTCCTCGGTTCAGGTTCAGTCCTGCAGAACTCAACGTCGAGCTGCTTTGCTCTCAAAAGTTCTCGCTGTCACCTGAAGACCAAAACTGGATAAAATTGTTTTTCAACAACGTCTCTGTGTGTTTGTGAAGCTGATCAATCAATCCTGATTAATAAAACACAACGGGTGTTACCTCAAGAGCAGGTCTGCTCCAAACTCCATGGTTTACAAAGACCCAGCATCAAGACTGGAGTCCCATCAAACAGGCAAGACTCAGTCTAAGGGCCTTAGCTCATTGGGATCCAGATCAGTAAAATCTGTCGCAGTTTGACGACTTACCCCCGAATCCCACTGGATCTGGAACGGCTCCACTCCGCTCCAGAACGGCAGGCGGATCAAATACGCAAGCATTTAGCGCCCACTGGATCGGGTTTGCTGCCGCCATCGGAGGAGAAGCGCCCGCGAGATTACAACCCTGGCCTCTCCTAATACTAAGTGAAGAACAGTTCAATGTATCGACTTTATTTTATTTTGAAAATTGACCGGATATTTTACTTTGTAACCACATACAACTTCAGCTTTGATCCGCTTTGAATTGATGTGCCGTGCTTCGGCGTCCGGCAAAAATAGAAGCCTTGCGGAGCCGGATGGCGGACCGATTCTGTGGAATCACACACATTGATTATAATGCTTGCGTATTTGATCCGCCTGCTGGCCAGAGTGGAACAGAGCCATTCCGGATCTTGGGGGTTTTAGCCGTAATGCTGCGTTCGAGTTACCTCGGAAGTCAGATGTCGGAGCTGAAAATGACGTCGCACCCGAGTTCCCAACATTTCAGTTACAAAGTCGGAAAAAAGCAAAATCGGAGGCCTGAGACAAAATGGCGACATCTACGAAAGTTACTTTAGTGCTTGCCTTGTCTGAATATAAGGCAAGCGCTAAAATAACTTTCGTAGATGTAGCTGTTTTGTCTCAGGCCTCCGATTTTGCTTTTTTCCGACTTGGTAACTGAATTGTTGGGAACTTGGGCGTGACGTTATTTTCACTTCCGTGGTAACTCAAATGACGCATTACGGCCTGTTTTTAATTTATTGATTATTAATTCTGTCTATCAGGATCCATCAGACCACAGCACAGTTCCCCCCTCAGACCTCCTTAAATGGTCTCAGGTCCAGAAAAGTCTCTGGTGGTTCTGGTTCTATCTGGTCTCCTCTCATTAGTAGATGCAGTGATGGACTGAGTGATTCTGAGTCCATGCGGTGATTTCCACTCCAGAGTCTGTTCTGGTTTTAAGTTCCTGAAGATCAGAACCATCCAGTCCTGGTTTTTTATAACATTACAACTTTTTACTTGTTTGGTTTTTACTCTATCAGAACTTTTTTAAATCAAGATCAAGATTTTTCAAAAAACAATGAAATGTTTCACTTTTAATATTTAAATGTTTTTATTTTTGCACCATTTTCAGCTGAATAAATGATTTACCATCATTAAAACACTTAACTCTGTTTTCAAAACTTTTTAATCAGGGTTATAAAATAGTCCATCATGACAAACTTACGGCGGCTAAGAACTGCCACTGCTGCAAATAAAAAAAGAGTGCAAAAACAGAAGCCACAACAAAGGTTACTGATGCAAAAAAAAAAGTTACTGCAAGAAAAAAAAAGGATGGAAATAAAAAAAAACAATGTGTGCTGCAGGGGACCAATGAGAAGATGATCAAAGACGTAAGTGGAAAGGTTATTTTTTAATTTCACTAAGTAACTTTATTTTCCATCGCCACTTTTTTTGCACCATTCACTTACATTGCAGCTTTTTTATTTGTATCCTTTTAGTTTTGCAGTAAAAACCTTTTTTTTTTTTTGCATCGTTACCGGCACTGTTTCTTTTTTCTTTTTGCATCGGTAACTTCCATTGTGACACTTATTTTGCATTCTTTAATCTTTGCGGTAAGTAGCTTTTTTTTTTTCCATCGCCACCTTTTTTTTGCGTCATTAACTTCCATTGTGGGTTTTTTTTTAATTGAACCGTTTCTTTTTTTTGCATTGGTAGCTTTTTTTTTTTCCTTTTATTTTCACAGAGAGTAACTTCTTTCTTTTTCCCATTGCCACTTCTTTTTTGCATTGTTAATCTGTTATGGCTTTTTTTATCAGCACTGTTTTTTTGTTGTTGTTGTTTTGTTTTGTCTTTTTTGCAGCCGGCTTTGGTTTCTTCTTTTTATTTTATTTATTTACATCAGTAACTTTAGTTGTGACTATTTTTTTTTTTTTTTTTTTTTGCTTTATTTTTTAAATTTATTTATTTATTTTTTGCAGCAGTGGCGGTTCTGGGCCACCGTACAAACTGGCTGTAACCACTCGAAATAACGTGATAAATCATTTGGTGGAATAAATTAATGTAGGTCCACTCTGGGCCTCAAATCATAGATGCCGTGATGCAGTGTTTCCTCCCGGACATTATTCTTAGTTGCACCCATCTTTTGACTGTCAATGCGAACCTGCGTTATAAATATCGTGTAATAATCGCATCTTTACGTGACATCCGAACATGTATTACTGGATGAGGAGAAGCAGCGGCGGTTCGGAGACTCTGGACGGGCCCGGAAACATGTCTAAAGCGGAGATACTAAGAGGAATCATCACCGAGAAACTGTGCACGGCCGCGCAGGAGATCTTAGCCGTGGTGGAGAGAACCGTGTCCGGGTACGAGGAGGAGGCGGCGGGGCTGAGGCAGGAGATAGACCGGCAGAGGAGCCAGCTGGAGGCGGTCCTGCAGCCCCGGGTCTCTCTGGAGAAACAAGGTTCGAGTCCGGACGAGTTTAGAGGGAGAGCTAACCTGGTGTAGTTCCGTTCAGTAACAGAACCTCATTGGAAAATTAGCTGATTTAACTTTACTGTGCTCTTTTTCAGATATACTAACTTGACAGCACATTAATCCATACCTGTTAACAAAATCATGATTTTATTGATAATTCGGCTCAATAAAAACACCTTTACCTTTTCATTTTACTACAGTAGAAGTTTATTGGCCCAGCTTATAGACTACAGAAGTGGAGAAACGCCCCCGCTTAAGTTTATGTTTTCTTAGGAGTTAGAACAAGGTGTCACTGAATATCAAACAGATATTCACAGACAAGAATATCGTTTTTATTAATACCATCTTCAGTCTTATATATTTAAACATGCAGGTATTCCAGGCAGAGATAGGGAAGTGAAACAGAACTCATGTAAATGTACAGATACGGTGGTCGAGAACCGCCACTGCAGCAAATAGAGAAAGAATGCAAGAAAAGGGAAGTTACAACAGCAGTCACTGAACCTAAGCCCGCTGCAAATAAAGAAAGAAATGGTGCAGACAAAAAAAAAAGCCACAACGGAAGTTAACAAAGCAAAAAAAAAGGTGGCGATGCAGAAAAAAAGTTACTTACTGCGAAAATGAAAGGATGCAAAAAAAACAAAGCCACAGCGGAAGTGAGCTGACAGGGACCAAAAATGACAATGCCTAGATCAAAAAACTCTGGTGCATCATCTTTATTGGTCCCCGTTGTGTTTTTTTTTTTTTAATTCTTTTTTTCCATTGCCACTTTTACATCGGTAGCTTCTGTTGTGGCTTTTTTTAAATAATTTTTTTATCTGCACCATTTATTTATTTATTTATTTAATCTGTTGCTTCTGGTTTTTTTTTTTCTTTTCTTTTTTTAATCTGCATGTTTTTTTGTTGTTGTTTGTGTTTTTTGCATTGGTAACTTCTGTTATGCTTTTTTTTTCATCTAATTTTTTCTTTTGGCATTGATAACTTCCTTTGTTTTTTTTGTGTTTTTTTTAACTTTAATCTACACTTTTTGCAAATTTTTTTGCATTGGTAACTTCCGTTTTGATTGTTTTTAATTTTCTCTGCACCATTTCCTTTTTCTTTGCATCAATAACTTTCTTTTTGTGTTTTTTTTTTTAATCTGCACTTTTCTTTTTGCATCGGTAACTTCTGTTTTTTTTTTTTTTTTTTTTAATCTGCATTGTGTTTTTTTTTTTTTTTTTGGCTTCGGTAACTTTCCGTTGTTGCCTTTTTTTTTTTTTTTGCATTCTTTTTTATTTGCAGCAGTGGCAGTTCTTGGCCACCGTAACAGATACTTATAACTAACAAAAAATGTTAATTTTTTTATAAACAATTTTCAGTCTTTTGTCTGCAAACATGCAGGTATTAGAGTCAGAGAATAAAAGTGAAACAGAACTCTTTTTTAACGTACAGAGATATAAAAAAACAGTAATTTAAAGTTGATTTTCTGTATCTTTTTCTGCTCGTGTTAAACCTCTTCATGGTTGTAAAAGTTCATTAAAACATGAATTTATATTAAAGATATCTGTCCGACGTTCTTTGATTTTACCTGAAAAATATGAAGCTCTGATCCAAGATGAAGAAGAAGATCATGAGGTGGTCGTTCTGAGTGACGGCGTGGAGGAGGAGCCGACACAGCAGACGGGTAAATATCAAACCTTTATACTCATCGATTTAATGAAGGAGGTAAAATCTGCATATTTTTGAACTACGTTTGGTTGAGGACTCCATGGCTTCTCCTCTATGCAGATGACATGAGGGTTTAAATTTTTCGGCGTTTCAGCCTGTTAAAAATCCAACATCCTAATGAAAGTATGACCTCTGACCCCACCTCTGTCCAGGCTACGAGGACACAGGAAGTCTCGGTATGTGGTACCATGAAGATGAAGATGATATTGAAGACGAAGAGCAGCAGATTCCAGCTCATTTAACGACTCCGAGAAGTGGGCGGAGACGAGACGACCTGAAGGACCCGGATTTTCAGATTACGCCGAGGTGACCATGACCATGTCGGGTTTATCACGTTAGCTTATAGCATCCTAGCTAGTTCAATAAGACGTGTGTGACAGAGAAAAACAGCTGTTAAAGTTTGTTGTTTTGAAACCTGCTCACACTTTTTTGTCCTGTGGGTTAATTTTTCCCAGAGTTCACTCTGGCAGGAGGAGGCCTGGCAGACCCCGACTCATCGACTCCCAGAACCACGTAGACCTCAAGATCCGCATCCTGGAGAGCTCTCAGATCGACATTCTCTCCAACAACGGTCAGACCTCTCTCTGCTGAACGACATTAACCCCGATTCCCACTTTCATCCTGATCGTCTCCTAAAAGGTCGTATCCTCCGATCGTAGCTGATCGTAACCATTCAAGTTAACGTGTCAATTTACACCGACTTCTTTCGTTATCGCGCGATTGAACGGGAATCCGCAGGTTCTTGCGATTCCTGCTTTCCGTAATCCGCCACGAAATTTGCTTTACAAAGGGATCTTGTAGTAATTGGCATATGGCGAAAATCGCCGCTGGTCCGGATGTGGTGGACATCTGTCTTCGATGAACACAGGTATCGATGATACTCTTCTTTTATCGGACACAGTAACCCCGCCGAAGACTCCTCCTCCTCCTCCTGGGGTCGGTGGCGGTGGGTTTGGCTGAGAAATTATGCAAATTAGGCGATGGCGTCATCTAGTGACTGATAGCGACTTTTACGATGGCCACTAGCGAAATTTTCTTACTAAGGAGTTGGCAACACTGGCGAGGCGGCCGACGGCGTCCATTCTAGATACCGTCGACGGTCCAGACTGGACACTAACCGGATTTCTTCTTCATGGAAATAAAGACACCAGATCAGACAACTCGTTATCGCGTGATTGGACGTGAATCCGCGGGTTCTTGTGAGTTCTTGCGATACCTGCTGTCCGTAATCCGCCACGAAATTCCCCTCACAAACGGATCCGGTAGGAATTTGCGGACGGCGAAAACTGCCATTCCAGATGCGGTGGAAATCCGGGGTCAGGTTCTTATTTCGATCTTACCGACAAACCAAACCTCACGTTGGTTTTTGATTCGTCTTCCAGTGTTCCCTAAATATCCGGTCCAGGACCTGCGGTGTCCTCGAGGTCTACAGGAGGCCGACTTCCTGGACCTGCTGAGGTCCACGTTCCCTCAGCTGGCGGGTCAGACGGATGTAGAGTTTTTCACGTCCGACAGATCGAAGCGGCTCCTTCCTCTGAGCGCGGAGAGTCTGACGCCTGAGGAGATCTACAGGAGCATCAGGCAGAGCGGGACGGGGAAATCCACCCTCTACATCCGCCTGAAGGTACCGAGCAACCGCAGCGTGTCTGAACATCGACGGTTATAAACGTTTTAAACCTGAAGTTAACCGTTGACACTCGCTCTTGTTCCAGACGGCAGGAGATCTTCAAGACGTTGACTTCCTGCAGAGACCGGGGATGTCCATGTCCATGTCAGCTGATCGGACCTTCAGTGGGTGAGCAGAAACACCAGATTCAAACGTCTCTGGAATTTACGGGAAACACTTGGTCTGATCTCGTGTTTCTGCGTTCAGGGCGCCGTCTGAAAAGAGGAAGCGCGGTCGCCCTCGCCTCGGAGAAGAACCCACCCACCACCGTCTCAGAGTCTGCCTGCTGGACGGCGCCTCACAGTCGGACGTCTTCTCCAAAAAAGGTGAACATCTGACCCAGGAGTCGGACCGGACTTACCGGTCTACTCAAGGTTGTTAACTCGAGACTTTTCTGGTTCCAGACCTCCTGAACTCCCCGATCCGGGACCTGAGGTGTCCCCGCGGACTGCAGGAGGCGGACTTCCTGGCGCTGTTGAGGTCGTCCTTCCCTCAGCTGTCCAATCAGAAACCTTTCCACGTCTTCAAGTCGGACCGCAGCAGGAGGCTCCAGCGGATCCGAGCGAAGGCGCTGACGCCGGAGGAGATCTACAGGAGCATGAGGAGCACCGGGGTGGAGAAGTCGCTCCTCTACATCCGCCTTCAGGTCGGCGGTCCTGATCCGAGACCTCGTCACTGTCCGAGGTTCCCTGAGAATCAAAGTTAAAGTGTGTTTGTGTCCGCAGACCGAAGAGGAAGAGGCGGAGCTTCAGAGGAACGAGCCAACCGTCACGGCTTCCCCGTCTGCTGCTGCCGCCGTGGAGACGGAACCTGACGCAGCCGGACTCGGGTCCAGGTAATCCAGGAGAGCGGTGATGTGCCTTGGTCAATCTGCCGAGGGTTAAGTTGGTGTTCGGGTTCATGTCTCTGTTAAGTGAACGCCAAATTCACGCCAGATTTAAAACGCCTCTCTGTGGAGGAGTAACTCTACATCTCTGCTCCACAGCTCCTCGCCATTGCCACCGCCGCAGGAAGCAGAGGGAGCTGACGGCGAAGCTGCTGAGACACAGGTGGACTCCAGCGAGGACGACGAGGTCAAAGGCCAAGACGAAGACTGGAACCCCGATAACAGAGAGTCCACGTCGACGCCACGGGTGTCTCCTGTCCGGGTGGTGGCGGGCAGGAGAAACCCGTGCAAGGTGTGCGGCGTTTGGTACAACGTCCAGAGCAGCCTCATCAAACACGCCTGGACGCACGTGGACGAGGCGGCGAGCGTGTGCGGCTTGTGCGGGCAGCAGTTTGAGTCCGTGGACCAGCTGAAGGACCACCTGAGGACCTACCAGAAGACTTACAACTGCTCGTACTGCGGGAAGTCCTTCCTCACCGTCGCCGGACTCCAACGCCACACCACGCTGCACACGGGAGAGAGACCCTACAAATGCGACGTCTGCTCCAAGACCTTCGCTCAAACGCACGCGCTGAGGCTCCACCGCTGGGTCCACGCCGCCGACAAACCGCACAAATGCGACATCTGTCAGAAGGCGTTCGGTCTGAAGGCGACGCTCCGCGCTCACCGGATGACGCACACGAGGAAGGACGGCTACCAGTGCAACATCTGCGGGAAGACTCTGCGTGACGTGCGGTCTCTGGCTCGCCATAAGACGACGCACTCCGGAGAGAGGCGGTACGGCTGCGGGGTCTGCGGGAAGCGGTTCAAACTGGCGTACACGCTGAAGGCTCACGAGAAGACGCACACGCGCCGGGAACGACTCTTCCTCTGCCACATCTGCTGCAAGAGCTTCTTCTCCAACTGCGGTCTGATGGCGCACATGAGGACGCACAACAACGTGCGCCCGTTCCCCTGCGTCGTCTGCGGGCGAGGGTTCGTGTCCAAAGGCGAGCTGAAGGTGCACCTTCGAGTCCACACCGGCGAGGCGCCGTACGGCTGCTCGCAGTGCGGACGCCACTTCAAACGGAAGACGCACCTCAACAACCACGTCAGGAGCCACCTGGGCCTGAAACTGTTCGTGTGCAGCGTCTGCGGGAAGGCGTGTTCCCGACAGGAACACCTGACGGTCCACATGAGGACGCACAACGGCGAGAGACCGTACCAGTGCGGCGTCTGCGACAAAGCCTTCACTCAGGGTCACTGCCTGAAAACGCACATGAAGAGTCACCACGGGCAGGACGACGCGCTCCTGAACGCGCCGTCCAACTGAGAGCAACCGAACCGAGACAACGGCGACTGAGGGCAGCGGCGGTTCTGAGTTTGAAAGTCGAGAATCAAGACGGAAAGAAGAAGAGAAACAGTTCGAGAGTTTGGGTCAAAAACAAAAAAGTGAAATTAAAAAAAACTTGATTCGGCAAAAAGACGATAATTCGCCGCTCTGAGATCGTTTTTGATGGCTACGACAAAAAATGAAAGTTCGATTTGGTTTGACGGTCGAGGAGAGTTAAGACTTTTTCGGGATTCATATCTGACAAAAGAGACGTGATGGGGAACCAGACCTGGGACAGACCCGGACCGCTCTGTTCCGACATCTGTCCAGAACTTTAAAAAGTCGAACTGAAAACGAACATTTGGAAACATCGAGAACAAATCACAAACTAATCAGTTTAATTCTTTATCTGTGAAAAAGTTTGAGTTTTGGCCGAAGAGAAGAGAGAGAGAGAGACCGAGGTTTGTTCGTAGATTTTAGATTTTGAGGATGTAAAAACTTTTTATTTTAAAGGGATATTCCGACGTCAAATTAAGTTAGGGTCAAACACAGAGTCAGACCCCCCCCTCCAGAGATGAATGTTGTCGACCGCTTGCTTCTCTAGTTATACCAACTTTAGTAACGACCGCAGGATAGAAATACAGAGAGGTCTGAGGAGCCATAAACAAACCTCAACCAAAGGTGTTTTTATTGAGCCGAATTATCAATAAAATCATGATTTTGTTAACAGGTATGGATTTATGTGCTGTCGAGTTAATATATTTGAACAAGAGCGCAGTAAAGTTAAATCAGCTAATTTTCCAATGAGGTTCTGTTACTGAACAGAACTACAGCATGTTCTACTGAGGTTAGTACATATAGGGTCACAGACATAGTACTAGACACCAAACATCTTTTTAACTTTGACTCATTTCTTTAGCAAAGAGACTAAACACAACTCACCTACTCTCTTCCAGCAGACGCTTGTTTGTAGTTAGACCTCAGGCCAGTCCATTACGGACTACAGCGGGGTGCCGCAGCTCAAGGAAGAACATTTATGATCATTTCTTCATCATTTCCTTGAAGTAATAATCACCATATTAATCATTTTACAGACGCGGTAGTTCTTCTGCCTTAGCGTCTCAGTCTGATTGTATTTCCATGAAGAAATGATCATAAATGTTCTTCCTTAAGCTGCGGCACCCCGCTGCACTTAGGGATCTACTGGTCAGGGCTCCCCTACAAAGAAGCATCTGCTGGAAGAGAGTAGGTGAGTTGTGTTTAGTCTCTTTGCTAAAGAAATTACAGTAGAACATGGTGTAGTTCCGTTCAGTAACAGAACCTCATTGGAAAATTAGCTGATTTAACTTTACTGTGCTCTTGTTCAAATATATTAACTCAACAGCACATAAATCCATACCTGTTAACAAAATCATGATTTTATTGATAATTCGGCTCAATAAAAACACCTTTACCTGGTTATCTGTATTGCTATCCTGCGGTCGTTACTGAAGTTGGTATAACTAGAGAAGCAAGCGGTCGACAACATTCATCTCTGGAGGGGGGGTCTAACTCGGGGTTTGACCCTAACTTAATTTTACGCTGGAATATCCCTTTAAAGCTGCTGTTAATAATCTCATATCCACAAGATAAAGACTCGAGTTCACCCGATCACTTCAGGGGAATCAGGAGGGTCGGTACATTTCAGTTACTTACGAACTTTTTATTTACTCTGATCCGTCGCAGTCGGCAAACGTCCCTGCGCCGACGATGACAGAGCTGTTTGGTTTTCATGTACAGAAATGTGTTTTCACTTTTTACAGTTTGATAAAAAAACTTTCTCTGTCTTGTCGACGCTGCATTTAGGGCCAGATGGAATTTCCACGACTCTTAAAAAGATTCCGTCAGTTTGAGCGTGACGTTACAAAGTTCGGTTCTGGTTTCCTGGTCCTGAATGCAGCTCATGGTTCTTCTTGACATCCTTGTTCGCTGTAATCCGAAGAAACCCGTTTGTTTGTCGTGTTTCCTTGTGAACGACTAGAATAAAAGTCACTCTGGGGAAAAAAAAAACGCTGACTCAGCAGGTCGTGGTGTAAAAACGGTTTTTCCTCGGGGTCGCCCGGGTTCAGGGGAGCTCCAGCATGTCGTGTTCGGCCAGGATTCGCTGCGTCTGGGCGTGCACGAGCTTCAGGGCGTGGATGATGATGCGCAGGATGGGCGTGGCCTCGCGCTGGTTCTGCACGCACACAAGCTGCAGGAAGTACTGTCTGTCCGGGAGAGCGAGGAAGACGAACTCCGCCGCCTTCCGCAACATCCACGGGTGGTGGGGGGCCAACGCCACCTTGTAGGCGTCCCTGAAGGCAGCAAACAGAAGGAGCGCCGGTTAATTAAGTTAAATAACCTCAACAGAGATGTGACTCGGGTCGTCATGGTTACCTGCTCAGCTCTCCGGGTGTTTTATATCGCCCATCTGCATCCGGTCCTTCGGCTAACCCCTCCAGCATGAGCCTCAACCACAGCAGGGAGCGGTGCAGCCGCAGCAGCGTCCTGCAGCCCGAATCCGTGCGCCAGGAGAAGTTGACCACGCCCTGATTTAGCTCCGCCTCCACCATTGATCTCACCGAACGATACGCCTTGAGGAGGAATCAGATAGTTAGAGACGATCAGGTTTCTTTCAGGCATGTTCTCGACGGTCTTCTACACTTACCCCGAGTTTGAGTCCTGAAGGTGCCGGACCACGTTTCCCATGATCCTCGGCGCTACGTTTGAGTGACAGCTCTCGGATCAGGACGACCTTCTCCCTCACCTTCTGAGAGAAGAAACCGACCATCGTCCCGAGAGACTCCATGAAACTGAGAGAGAGAGAAAGACACGAGTTTAACCCGAAGTTTATCGGATTTTTACGATCAAAACAAAGATTAAGATTTTAATCCGAACCGTGTTTCTAACGCTGTGTTAGAGTTTCCTCAGAAGTCAGAAGTAGGAGCTGAAAATGATGTCACACCCGAGTTCACAGCGTTTCAGTTACAAAGTCGGAAAAAAGCTAAATCAGAGGTGGAAACAAGATGGTTACAAGCAATCTTGTCTTTTCCGATTATTAGGCAAGCGCTAAAATAACTTTTGTAAATGTAGCCATCTTGTTTCCGGAGCAAAATCAGATCCTGAAAAGAGATGACTTCAAGTACAAAAGTTATTTAAGAAAGTTCTATTTAATTATCTAAATAAGGAAATAAAAATATTAGAAATATTGATGTTCAAATGTTCAAATTTATGTTCAATATTCAAAAATGATTTAACTTATTTAAATTTTAATTTAAATAAATATTTAAATAATAAAATATATTTATTACAAAAGAATTTATGTAATATAATAAAAATATCTAAATTATTTATGTTCAAATGTTTAAATTCACGTTCAATGTTCAAAAATTATTTAAATTTAAAAAATTAAAATAATTTAAATAAAATAAAAATAATTTAAATTATTTATGTTCAAATGTTTAAATTCACGTTCAATGTTCAAAAATATTTGAATTTAAATAAAAAATACAAATTATTAAATGATAAAATAATTTTCAAAATTATGTAAATATCAAACTAAAAAATATTTAAATTATACATGTTCATATGTTTGCATTGATGTTCGATGTTAAAAAATCTTTAAATTTAAATTAGTTAAATTTGAATTAAAAAAAAGATTTAAATCTTTAACAAAATATCTAAAAAAAAGATTATTTTCAGACGGTGAATGTTAAAACGACCTCAGTGACAAAGAAACTAATAATCTTTGAAATTTTATGCATCAGGTGGGAAAAGTTTTTTTTCTTTTAGGCTTAAACTGTCCGTCATCAGTCGCTGCCTTCAGAAACATGTTTATTTTTTTTGTGTGTATTTTTTTCACGAACCAGAAAACCCGAATTCCTAGAATCACCGGTTTAACAGATTTTATCGTCATCGTAAAGTTCGGTAACGACGGTTCGTTTACTGGAGCAGCTGATCCCAGCTCTGCAGGTACGGCTCCAGGAGGACGTCGTCGTCTTCTTCCAGACTGGACTTTAAAAACTGAAGGAGGGACCGAACCTGGAACAGCTGACCTGGACACTCCTTTATGATGGGCGGGGCTTTACCGAGCTCCGCCCACTCCCCAGAAAACAGCGGAGGCTCGGGCTAAAAGACAAAAGAAAGAGAGAGAGAGAAAGAGACAGTGATACGTTTCCTTCGTGCACTGATGACCTTATCGACAAAAACGTGTGTCATTGATAATAAAAATACAAATAATTTCTTTATTTTCAAATTAAAGTTAAAAAAAAAGTGAAAAACGACAGATTGTAAAATTTTTTGTTTTACCTTTGGAGTATAAAAACTCAAACATGGCTGCCAGATGCTGTCACAGTCTCGGACTCCGCTCTGAGCTGAGGAGAGACAGAAACAAAGACCAGGATCAGGTCTGCGGGTCGTCATGGACAACGTTCGGTTTTTATAGAAGAGCGGCGAAGTGAGACGAACCGGAACTAAGGAAATTAGACCCACAAGAGAGTGAGACAAATTAACCGAATCATGTCCAGAGTTTAGACATTTTTAGATCAGTTAATTCTTATTTAAGATTTCTGTGATTGTGTTCGTGTCCTCCATCATACGGTGGCCGAGAACAGCTACTGCGGCAAAAAAAAGTGTTAATAGAAAAAAAAAGTTTCTTACTGTGAAAATAAAAGAATGCAAAATAATTTTAAAAAAAACAACGGACATGAAGCTAACACGACACCGACATCCTTCAGTTCAACTGTAAGTAAAATTAATCAATAACCTTTCTACGAACTTCTTCGCTCGACTTCTCACCGTCCTCTTCTGTGCCTAGATCGTAAAACACCGATGCATCATCATTATTATTAACTTCCGTTGAGGCTTTTTTTTATTTGCATCCTTTTATTTTCGCAGTAAGTTTTTTTTTTTTTTTTTTTGCATCACCACTTTTTTTAGGTTGTTATCTTCCTTTTTTTTTTTTTTCCCAATTTTTTTTTTACATTGTTAACTTCTGTTGTGACTTTGTGTTTTGCATTTTTCTTATTTGCATCCTTTTATTTTCGCAGTAACTAACTTTTTTTCCCCATTGCCCTTTGTTTGGTGTCTTTAACTTCCTTTGTGTCTTTTTTTGTTTTTAATCTGCACCAATTTTTTTGTTTTTGTTTTTTCTTTTTTGTGTTATTTACTTCTGCTGTGGCTTTTTTTTTATATGCACCATTTCTTTTTTGCATTCTTTTTTATTTGCATCCTTTTATTTTTGCAAATTTTTTTTTTTCTATCAACACTTTTTTTTGTGTCTTTAACTTCCGTTGTGGCTTTTTTTTTTCTTTTTAATTTGCTCCATTTGTTTGGTTTTTTTCTGTTTGTTTTCTTTTTTCCTCGTTAACGTCCGTTGTGGCTTTGTTTTTTGCATTTTTTTATTTGCAGTAACTAACTTTTTTTTCCATCGCCCTATTTTTAAAATTATTTTTGCATCTGTAACTTCCATTGTGTTTTTTTTTTTTTTATCTGCACCGTTTCTTTTTTTTTCGCATTTTTTTCTATCCGCAGCAGTGGCAGTTCTCGGCCACCGTACCATCATGTTGGAAATCACAGTGTCTTCCACAAACAACAGATCCTCTACAAACACGACACACACACACACACACACACACACATACTGAAAAAACACAACAACTTCATCTAAAAACCACCAGGGGGCGCAGGCCAACATTTCCCATCCTGCACTTTGGGTCGAACCCTGGAACCCAAACTGTAAAATTAACTGTGTTAATCTAAGAGGCGGAGCCAACATGGCCGACATCCAGTGACGGCGGAGAGAGACTCACGTAACCAGAAGGAGCTGAGGAAGAGGAGCAGCGCCAATATGGCTGACAGCAGCAGGAACCGAGGCAGCGGCGTCCGCCTGAGGAGGAGAACCATGGTGACCACGACTAACACACACACACTAATACACACAAACACACACATGAACACACACACAGACCCTCTAACTCCTGCTGCTCAACACACACTCATGCTCGCACTCGCTCGCCCCTCTCTCGCTCTCACAGGTATCACTGACACACCTTTAAACTTGACCTTTGTCCCGCTCGTCCAGACACACACACACACACACACACACACAGATACACACAGGAGCACCTGGAAATCCAAATATGGTCAAAACGTCGTCTAATTCAAAGGCCTCCTGAGGTGAAGGGTGTGCGGTGAGTTCAGGGTCTGGACAAACTGAACTCTGGTGGGTTTAAGGTCTGCGCTGACTGTGGGTCAGACGAGGGTCTGTGGTGAGTTCAATGTTCAGACAGACGGTCGGACAAACATGTTTGTTTGGAATCTGATGTTCTGTCAACAAACCAAAGTCTTCAGAGAGACCGAGGAGGTTAAAGGGATAATCCCATCAAATTAATTTAGGGTTATAAAGACGATAAAGAAGTTATCATAAATGTTCTTCCTTGAGCTGCGGCACCCCGCTGTAGTCTGTAATGAACTGGCCTGAGGTCTCACTACAAACAAGCGTCTGCTGGAAGAGAGTAGGT